AAAGAGAAATAGTAGAAGGAACAGAAGGAGGAACAGAAAATGAAATAGGAATTAGAAAAAGAAGAAGAAGAAGAAGGAGAAGAAGAAGATATGGTAACAAATCTATCAAAGAGACAAGTCCTGAAGAAAATATAGAGGGGTTAATTGGAAATCAATAAGAAGCTAAAATTAATAAAATAAATTCGGGTGGATTCTATTAATAAATAGTCAACTGATGAAAATATTTGAATAAATTAGATGTAAAATTAGAATATATCAAAATATTTTAAATACCCTAGGCGTGGCATTATGCCTAGGCGGCTTTTAGTTGTTAGATTTTATTAGTTAAATTTTAACCTTAAAATAGAAGTTGTAAATTACAAATAAGGGATGGTTTATTAAAGTTCTTTTTATTTTTATTTTGGAATTATATCATGTTTATTTAATTTTAAGTAGATTAGATAGTAATGGAATTAATATTACCACGTCGTACATATTGTATGGCTATAGGCTATAATGGGACAAATTACTATGGTATGCAGATACAATCTAATACTAATAATTGCAAATATATTGAAACTATTGAAAGTAAATTAGAAGAAGCTTTAATTAAATCAAGTATGTTAGTAATTAGGAAAAGTAAGAATGAATATGTTAACTTAAAAGAATTTAATAGCTCAAGTTTTTTAACAAGTATAAATTGGACAAGAGTTGGTAGAACTGATAAGGGAGTACATTCAGTATGTCAGATAGTATCATTTAGAGGAAGTTTAAAAGTATCTGATAATGACTTACAAGAAGAATTAAATATAATAATGAAATATTCTGAGGAGGATTTAAATTCTTTATATAATGAAATTCGAGAATGTAATACAATAAAGAATCCTTTAATCACAAATCCATTATTAAATAATTGTAGTAATAAAAAAAGTATAGAATCGGATAGATCTAAAAAGGAATCTTTAGATATAGTGATAGAAGAAACAATTCAAAATTATTTAGTGAAGAAACTTAATTTAATACTACCACAAACAATACGTATTTTTACTTTAATACGTGTATCTAAAAATTTTGATGCAAGAAAAGATTGTTTTAGACGTCAATATGAATATATTATGCCTGAATATGTTTTATATCCAGTGAAATTTATTAAACAAGATTTGTATGAGAAATTACAAGGGATTGCACAATCTAGAATTATAGAGAATAAAAATAATTTAAAAAGTAAATATAGAAATAAGAGAAATAGAGATGATTTAATAAATGACTATAATTATTGTGAAGATGAAGATATTGATGAAAATAATAATGAAAATGATCAGGATTTAAAAGAGCTCAGAATAAAAAGATATAATCAACATGAATTATTAAGATCTAATAATTATAACCTTGATCATTATCCTTATATAGAGGAAATATGTTTTAATAGAATTGAAGAATATGAATTGAATGAATTAGAATTAGAGAGATTTTCAAAGATTTTGAATCAATATACTGGAACTCATAATTTTCATAATTTCACATCAAGATTAGAATATAATAATGCATCTGCATGGCGTCATATAGATAAGATAAATGTTAATAGATTACCTGTTAAAAATAAATTAAAATTATTGAAAATTACAATAAAAGGCCAGTCATTTTTATTACATCAAATACGTAAGATAATTGCTTTGGCTATTGAAATATATAGAGGGAGTGCTCCACTCTCTTCTATTAATTTATGTTTTGGATCAAGAAAATATTCAATACATCTAGCTCCAAGTCAAGGATTACTTCTTGATAGAGTATATTATGATCATTATAATCAAAGAATTAGTTCATCAGTTAATTTAAATGATGTTAATATACCCTATTTAATATTTGATGATTTAAAGTTACAATATGTAAAATTAATTGAAGAATTTAAAATAAATCAAATATATCCTGTTATTGAAAAATATATTTTAGATGGGAAGTAAGTTTTAAAAAAAAAAAAATATATATTATTGAAAATTCATATTTTTAATTTTTTTTTTTTTAGGTGGAACGAATGGATTGATACTATTAATAGGCATCCTTTTATAATTGACAATTTTGCAATGGATATATAAATATTTAAATAATTTTCTTTTTTTCTTCTTATTTTTGTAAATATTAAATCTCATTTTTAATAAAGAGTTTTCTTCGTAATAATATACTCATATGATGATAATGTATATTCATCCCTTCTGTAACTCTTATTATTTTAGCTTCAAGAATTAGTTCACCATTGTTAGTTTCTTTTAGTTCTCCAATAACTTCAACAGTTTTCCCATCATCAATATCATGTCCAAAGCACTCAAGATCTCTAAAATTCATTTAATATTAGTATTATAACAGATTAATTAAAGTAGGTAGATATTTTAAATATATTGTTAGTGAAGATCTTAACTTCTAATACTAATTTTTCTTTTTCTTTATTTATTTTTATCTAATGAAAGAAGTCTATTTACTCACCTTGTAATATTTACAACGAGTTTATTAAGTTCATATTGTAATACAAAGCTACATTCAGAAATATCTAAATTTGTTACAATACCTGCTACACGAATAACTTTATTAATCCATTGTTTATCAAATACTTCACTTAATATAAGTAATTTGACATATTTATAATCATGAGAATATAGAAAATTATTTGATTTCTCTCTTATACAACTCAATTGTTCCATTTTAAATGGATTATAGATTATATTTATAGACCTAAAGTCTGTACTTTTAGAATATTAATAAGTACATTAAAAACATATGAAGATATATAAAACCGCCTCATAACTAAAATATTGTAAATATATTTCAAATAATTTTTTATGAATAGTATAAATATTATTTAAATCCTTTAGAAGTGAAGATATTAGATATATTTAATATAATTTATTCTAAAAAATTCAGGTTTAAAAAGAAAACAATAAAGAAGAAGTGACAGGAGTATTGTAATTGGAGCTAGGTAATAAAATTACAATGACATTAGAGATATACTTTAATTTAAAATTTGTAAATATGGAATTTTATTTAAGCAAAGTATATAATAATCTCAAATTAATAAATTTAATTTTTAAGTAGCTAAATAACACGTTTATAGCGCCAGTGGGTGATGTGTGCATTTGAAGTCTTGTAGCATGTACCATGTCAGAACAGAATGTCACTTCTGTAAAATATAAATAATAAGTAAAGAAAGTAAGTAATAAAAGATGTCAACTGAAAGTACTGAAATTCATGAATTGCGTGAAGTTTTTGATCTCTTGGATGGTAAAACAGGATTAGATGTAGGCTTTCTAAGAGCAGCTGCAACTTGTATGGATATACCACTAGATAATTCTGTAATTGGACGCTTAAATACATTAGCTGAAGAATCTGGTGGGAAACTAGATTTTGCAGGTTTTGTGACCCTAGTTAATAATGGTCCAGAAGCTAAAGTATTTACAGTGGAAGATGCTGTTAATGTATTCTCTTACCTAGATGTAAAGAAGACAGGAACAATTGACTTGGATGACTTAACTTCTTGTGCAACACACTTAGGATTAACTAAAACAAAGGAGGAATTACAAACTATGCTTACTAATCTGGATAGCGATGGAGACAATGCTCTTTCACCTGATGATATCTTGACAGCCTTGTACCGTTACTCAGAAAGGTGTTAGGAAATCAGCTAGTATATTTAAATATAATTTAAACAGAATAGAGAAATAAATTTCCAATTTACTAGTATTGACAATATATATGATTAGTTAATATATACTTTTTAGAGTTTGTATTACTACTGATATATTTAAATTTCTAATTTATGGATTTTGATGTCTTATACTAGGTTGTTTAAGTCTTGGTGTAATTAAACTTGCAATTTCATGCATATCACGATCTTCTGGTATAGGAGAAAAACTTGTGGGAGATATTTGAGATCTACCAATGGGAGTTGTAATATATGAAGCTGAATCTGAAGTAAAATCTGGATTTGCCGTTGTATTAAATGTAGAACTATCTACTTCCCGGGACACAACCGAATCTCTGACATTATACATCTTTGTTGCAAAAATTCTTGTATCACTACCAGTAATTACACCTGTATGCTTATTTGAATTTAAAACCCTAGAATTAGAATATTTATAATTTACTTGGGGTTTATAATGAGATTCCTGTATACCTTGATCATTCAAATATCCATCATTTCTAATTTGTGTACCTAGTGACCAAGAAAATGAACGTCTAGGTTGTGTTTTACTAAGATAATCATTAAAATTATCATGAATATCAGGTTGATATCTTCTATAGCCTGTATAACTTCTTTGAAATCTCTTATTAGGTGGTACCAGACTACGTGGTATAAGATCTCCAAGCTCATTAGATGAAATTTGTTTTTTCAAAGTATTTATGACATTTTGATTAATTTCAATTTGTTTCTCTGCTTCATTTAATACCTTCCTCAATCTCTCATTTTCCTGTAGCAATTGTTCTTGATGATGTTGAGCATTTTCCAAAGCTTGTCCACTTTCGTTAAAATTATCCTCTAAAGCTTTAAGCCTTGATTCAGTATCTTGATAGATCCTCTTTAAATTAGTATATTGAACTGTCTGTTGTTTATATTTGTTATCAATACTAGTTAAAGATGTCTGAAGACTTGTGATTATATGGTTTCCTTTTTCTATTTCCTTACAAGCTTCTTCTAAAGCCTTTTCTACCTCACCTAATTCATTTTTATTTTCTTCCTTTTCTTGAATTAATTTCTTATAATTATCAGATGTACTATTGTATTCACACCTTAATAATTCTAATTCTCTCTCAGTTCCCTGTTTTTCACTTAATATTTTCTTTTGATATTCTGAAGAATCTTTTATCTTCATTTTTAACTCTTCATTTTCTAATCTTCCTTTTTCAATATATTCTTCCAACTCAAGTTTTGAATGACGTAAAAGTTTACACATATTTTCTAATTCTTTAAATTGTTCTTCTAATTCACGAATTCTAGACTCATTCTGTAGTCTTTCTGTATTCCATTGCATTAATTGTTGTCTTCTATCATTTTCATAAGAATTTCTAATTTGAGTTAGATCACTCTGATAATGTTCAGCTAAGGAATTCATCTCTATATTAAATCTACTAGATAATTCATCTTCACGTTTCCTAGATAATTTTTTACTCTCTTCAAGTCTCTCTTTTAGAATAGAAGCATTATGATGCAGCAGGTGAATTTCAGATTCATATGACTTTATTGTAGACTGTTGACTTTGACAAATCTCACGAAAATAGCACAAATGACGCAATAAATAATCTCTATAAAGAGTTTCACTTGCTGATTCGAATGGTAAAGTTAAATGAATTATCTCCTTGTAATGGTTTGATTCTACAAAATTGACTGAACAGGAATCAATAGACGAAAAACTTTTGGATACTCCAAAACAAGCACTATCCATACTCTCCACATTAAGTATAACCATTAGTGGAATACTCATATTAAAATTATCCAAACGATCCACAGTATACTTATTTGTATCGCTGTTATTTAAACTTCGAATCCCGCTATTGCTTCTTCTAAAATTGCCCACGATATACTTACCATCATCTATACAAAGTTTTGAGCGATTTAATAGATCAACCAACATATTTGGGAATTCATAAAAATCCACTAATAATCGTTGATCTAATTTAATATTCGAAAATCTAATACCTTCATCTAGCTCACAACATAATAAGAAACTGAAATCATCGGATTTTGTTATTTCTATTAATATACGAGAGTGATACATTGATCCCATGTTATTAGAAGTAAAATTCCCTTTATTTTTTGTAAAAATTCTGAAATCTACCAAAGTACTAGGTACTTTTGGTATATCATATCTATTATATTCACTTATATTACCTATTTGGAATTTTTCTGGTTCTCTTGAATTTGGAGTAGATGGGGCTGTACTAGAACATGTTGACCCCATATTCCATCGTATATGTACTGGTACATCATGTACTACCAAACCCTCTATATTACTTTCATTTCCACAACCATTTAAAAAGCTGGAATTTCTACCATATACACTACCAGAGCTATAACCTTGAATCAACTTCTTACCCTCTTCAGAAAAGACAGAGTTCATGTCATCTGGGATTAATTGCAAATAGTCCAGACGAAAATAGCTGGATTAAAAGTAAATTCAAGTATATATTTATCTGTTTGATATGAAGATATATCTTGTAATCTCCTGTTTTTGTATTTTACTTTATATTAACTTTCAGGTTTTTGTTAAATTTTTGCAATCACTCACCGCCTATAATTTTGTGGGGTATTCCTCAGTTCCATATTAATATTCTAAAACCTGTGCAATTTTAAGTTTTAGATCCTATTAATTATATCTTAATATTTATCAATGACTAGTTATCCTCCCCCTTTATATCACTATCAATGGATTTAGCTGAACCTTGGACTACATAGTTATTCTCTTCTGTAGAAGCAACTGTTTCATCAAGACTCTTCTTTAGCGCTATATTATACCTTGCCTTAGATTCTAGTTCAGCTTGTATCTTCATGTGAATTCTATTTTCTGCTATAATTGCTGCAGCACGCCTTGGCCTTGATGAACAGTTACTTGTTTGAGAAGATGATTCTTCAACTCTAGGACGTTTAGTACCTTGCTGTATATTAGAACTATCTGTACAATTGTTTTGAGATTCACCACTATAAACCTCATTATGAGTAGTTGCATTATAAGCTTGTTTTTGTTCATTTATTAATCGGTTTCCAATAACTTTCACCTCTTCATGTTCCTGATAATTTATAGATATATCTAATTGTTCATCATCTTCCCAATCTTGAGGATTAGGCATTAGATTAGGGGAAGTCCATTGTAATGTTCTAACATGAGCTGCAACTGATTTAGCCAAAGGTGATAAATTCAAACCTTTAGTATTATATCCACCTTCTAATACTGATACAATCCTCCCATTGCAACACAAGTTAGCAATGCTAACTAGCTGTTGGGTAATCCATGCAAAATCGTTTTCAGTACAAGCCACAAATCCTTTACCAATAGTGTCTATAAAGTGTGCATCAAATCCAGCTGATATAAAGATAATGTCAGGTCTAAATTGAAGCAACTTTGGTAGAAGTAACTTTTTGATTTTGGAACGATATATATGTGAATTAGTATTTTCAGGTAGTGCAACATTGCAAATATATGGCTGAGTTGAATATTCTTCTGGTCCAGTACCCGGATAGAATGTCCCATCGTATGCATGAATACTAGAGAAAAATATATTGCTTGAATCTGTCTCATCACGCCATATCTTGTAACTTGATATATCTTGTTGAAAGTTTAATTCAATACCTGGGCATGGGTTCAGTCTAGTTTTGATATGTCTATCTTTGGGTACAATATTACGAACAATTTGCTCAGTTCCATTTCCATGGTGTATATCAAAATCAATAATTGCAATACGACCAATTCCATGACTTGCATACATATATCTACAATAAGCAGCCGCTATAGCAATATTATTTAATAAACAAAATCCCTGGGTTCCAGATGGAGAACCATCATCACGACCAACTGATTGAGCAGCTCCCCAAGTACCCATATGATGACCAGGAGGTCTTATAGCACAAAAAGCATTTCTATTTTCACCACGACAAATTGCATCTACAGCATTGATTACAGCACCACTTGCTGCAATAGCTGCCTCCCATGAACCAGGAGAGAGTCCCGTATCTTCATCTAGTATTCCAAATGAGTATGGTCGTTTCTCCCAAATTAGGGCACTTTCTGCAATTTTATGTTGTAACAGTCTAATATAGGCCCAGTCATGAACACGCAAAATATCTGCTAAAAGTGTTGATGTGGTTGATTCTGTCCATTGTAGTGTTGAAAATTCATTACTACGTAAAATACCAACATTTGGAGTGGTTAAAACATCCAACCTTGTGGGATTTTCACGCACTCTGTTTATTATTCTGGCACGTCTAATTGGTAAATCAATCGGTTCTGGTAATGATATATGGTTGTAACAAATGTTTGTAGTAAAAATATGTGTAGATACAAGTCCATCCATTGGGCCATCAACAATATTTGGATCTGTATTGTCAAATTCTGAATCTTCTCCATTTGTTGCTACTTCAACTGAAAGCCCAAATACTTTTGAAAATTCGTCTCCTAATCCCAACTTTTGAGCATGGAATGATAGCAAATCATACTCACTTTCTGAAATAGGATGTTGTTGATACTCTAAATCTGACATTAAAATATAAAAACATCTCCAAGCAGCTTTATCAATGCAACATTTTAGTAAATTAGCAGTGTTAGTTGAAGTTTGTAATGGGTCTGAACCTCCATGAGCTAAAATAACACTTAAAGTATCTGGATCTCTACTTGAAATAGCATAATGGACAGCTTGATTACCTGAATGATCAGCTAATGTAGCTAAAGCTCCATATTCAAGTAGTACTGAAACAATTCTGGAATCTCCAAAGCTGCAGCCTAAGTGAAGTACTGTAGCTCCTGATGAATCAATTGCATTTATATCTAACTGTGTTGTATGAGATGAATTATTATTCTGTAATGTATATGGTAATAATAAACCCAAGCACCTCAAGGAGTCTTCATACCTATCTGCAAATACTGATTTACATAAAGCTAACTGGATTACTGGAATTCCATTATATGGAGTAGTTAAATCAATTGGAATTATACCTCCTTGCTCAGTGGCAAGATCTATTGATTCTGAATCTGTTATATTTTCATCTCCATTATCTTGTACACAGCGAATAGGCTCTTCTGGAATTGGAGGACTCAAGATCATTTCTAATATATCAGGATATGCGTTCAACAGGGCTAAATGTAGTGCTGAGCATCCTAGAGCATCTCTGTCATTTATCATATATCTTAGAGGGCTATGAATATATTCTTTTAAGGTTTCAGTATCACGAGCAATAACAAGTCTTTGAAAAAAACTTGGTTTAGGATTAAAAGTGTGGGTTATTGAATTTTCTACATCTATATCATGATTTGTAGATGTCTGAGATGTAGGGGGTATCACGATATTACTTTCAGACATTGGATATACAAATTCCATAGGATTCTCCTGAGGAACTTCATCATTACTCTCAGTATTAGTTGATTCAGATGTGTCAGATTCAGATGATATTCTACCTCCAGCTTCAGTATTTAATAATGTCTCCGTTTCAATTGGAGAACTAATATCAATTACTTCTGTTGGTATTGCCTCCCCCTTGACTTTAGGTAAGTCCATGCTTGAAGCTAATATTAATAATTTAATGGAGACACCAGCCAGAAATTTATTAGTGGTTTATTTATTTATAAATAATATTTAGTAATCAAAACTAAACAATTTTGTGCAATAAAGTAACCGGTAACACGCTAATATATTTTGTGTCACTAATTTATGACTAGATCATTCTAAAATAGCCCGCAATAATACCGGTAATATGAGATATGTTAGTTTAGTATAGTATAGCGCTAAGTATGACGTGGGGATTGCAATATTTAAGATCTTAAAAGCTAGATTTATGGAATTTTAGTGGGTAAACATAAGTTTGATAAATTAGATAAAACTAGTAATGATGAAGAAAATGAAGCATTAGCATCATATATTGTGTATAAAGGATAAAGGATATAGTTTACAAATACAAGGTTAAAAAGGTAGTCTTTGCTCTTTGGAATAGCCAATTGTGGTCTGCAAGAATCTTGGCAGTATCATTTTAAATTCACCTTAATAGATGGTACCCAATTTATTATATTAGGTATATTGAAAATAACTCGTATAATAGGGCATTATTCAATATATTTTAATAATAGGAAGTATAATGAGTGGAAGTCTGAAGCTATGCTTGTATCTCAAATACAGGTAACAAAAAAATCAAGTACTAATATTCAGAGACAATTAATAAGAACTTTTAAATATAATAAAAGTAATATTGGTAATTTTTTGGCAAATTTAGAATTTGAAAATGTTCCTGATATGGTCTAAATTAGTTTTTGGAGGGAAGTTAAATGAATAGTTTCATTTAAATAGTCAATTTTATAGTATTGTTATAAATGATAAAATATATTAAATAACAATGTACTTAAACTACCAAAAATTCTGTGTATTTATGATATTATTGAGGTCTACTTAAAGATACGAAGAGGAAATATAGTGTATTTCAGATAAGAGAACAGGATTTGAATTTGAAAAGATAAATAATTGCATGAACTTTTTATTAGTATTTTTGAACAAAGCTCTGAAATCTATATTATATTACTCTTCTGAGATTATCCAACTAGGTCAATTGGAGAATATATATTTAGGTATAAATTATTCTAAATTGTATGGAATTAAACATTTGTTGCGTCTTATTTCAAACTTGAAATTTATATTTCCCACATCCTATATAGAAATTATATAATGAATTATATTTCAGATAATACTACTAGTGACTCATGTAACTATGAAAAAATTAATAATGCTAGTGAGAATGTTAGTACTAATTACTACAAGAATAATGCTGTAGGGATCTCTTGCATCGGGTAATTTTGATTATCTAATGACAATAAATCGCAGGAACACAATAGTTTATCTCTATCTAAACTTCATTCTAGAGAAGATTTATTGAGTAATAAGGCTAAACTACTAGATATGAATATACTTCTAAATGTAAAAGAAGATATCGTAACTATTATAAATAATTTCTTGGAGTATCTAACTGAAAATTTGTCCGAACTTTTTGTTGGGAATTATAAGAAGTTGCCAATTACTTGCATATAATATAATACTAATATTAAGTATTTCAACTTTGTGTTTATATCTAAATAGCTCTCTTTATAAAAAATCTTGTTATTATATACATGCACTTTCTAATATATACATTCTTTGAAATAGCACCTAAGGAGTTCTTATTTGTAGTGGAATTGTACCGCCTATATATTTATCAGCTTTTTGGTAACTATTGCTTTAATATATTAGTTTCAACTTGGCTACTTAGGAATAACAATTGGGTACATTAATTATAGCATATATCTGATCCAATATATAGGTTTTTTTTTTTTTTTTTATCTTTGGAGGGCAAGCTTAGTTGAAGTCACTAGAGAGTTCATTTACAAATGACTTTAACTGAAGTTATTTTGGAACCGCATTGCACTGAACACTCAATTAGAGTTGGAAGTGAGACTTTATTCATTCAGGCTTTGGGGGCAGGATGTGAAGTTGGCCGTTCTTGTGTAGTAGTAACATTTAAAGGCCGTTCTGTCATGTTTGACTGTGGGATTCATCCAGCTTTCTCTGGTATTGGTTCCTTACCAGTGTTTGATGCTGTAGATATTAGTTCAATTGACTTATGTCTAGTAACACATTTTCATTTGGATCATTCGGGTGCAATTCCATATTTTGTAAGTAGTACAGATTTTAATGGTCGTATTTTCATGACAGAACCAACAAAGGCTATTTGTAAACTAGTATGGCAGGATTATGCTCGTATGAATCGTTTTTCAACAAATTCTCCTGTTCCTGTTGATTCAGATGAGGCCCCAGTATCCTGTGTAAATTTATATACTGAACCTGATATAGAAAAAGCTATGAAGCGGATTGAAATCATTGACTTTAGACAGCAAGCTGAAATAGATGGAGTAAGAATTTCATGTTATGGAGCTGGACATGTTTTAGGTGCTTGTATGTTTCTTGTTGAGATAGGAGGGGTTAGGATTTTATATACTGGAGATTATAGCCGTGAAGATGATCGTCATGTACCACGTGCAGAGATTCCACCAGTGGATGTACATGTTCTGATATGCGAATCTACTTATGGTACAAGGCTACATGAACCTAGAAAAGATCGTGAAAAACGCTTTTTAGGTTGTGTACAATCTATTTTATCAAGGCAAGGTAAATGTTTACTCCCAGTCTTTGCGATTGGAAGAGCTCAGGAACTATTGCTGATACTAGATGAACATTGGGCTCAGACTTCATGCCTACATAATATCCCAATATATTATGCATCTCCAATGTCTGTGAAGTGTATGAGAGTATTTGAAACATATATAAATCAATGTGGAGACGCAGTTAGAAAACAAGCTGATATGGGTATAAACCCATTTAATTTTCAGTTTGTTAAGACAGTCAACTCCATTTCTGAAATTAAGGATGCTATTTATAGTGAAGGACCTTGTGTAATCATGGCAGCTCCTGGTATGCTCCAAAATGGAACTTCTAGAGATATATTTGAAGTTTGGGCACCAGATAAGCGTAATGGGGTTATTCTAACAGGTTATGCAATACGAGGAACTCCAGCTTATGAGTTGAGGAGGGAACCAGATATTATTCAATTAGGTGATAAGTTAGTTCCTTTAAAAGCAAAGTTTGATCAGATTTCATTTTCTGCTCATTCAGATTTTGCTCAAACTCAGGAGTTTATAAGCAATTTGAAAGTTCCAAATGTTATTTTAGTGCATGGAGAAAGAGGAGAATGCAAAAGGCTTAGAGATAAACTAACTGAACTTCGTCCATCTCTAGCTGTTTTTGCTCCTGAAATTCTTCAAAAAGTATCTTTAACTTTTCCAATACAGCTTAACATAACTGCAGTTGGTAGTATTGCTGATACTATAAAACGAGAACTTAAACAAAATTCAATAGAAGATTCTATAAAAACTCATAAGACAGCAGATATTGAAGATGCTTTAGTCATTGCTCGTCCATTTGAATCTACCTTAATTATTCATCCAAATGAGCTATTTCAAGTATTAGGAACTAAGAGATCTTGTATAAGACATACACTTAAAATAAATATTCCAGGTAACTTACAACTTAGTGGTATTGCCAAAACTTTACAAGGTATTTTTGATGACGTACAATTTGAAGAAAATTTGATAACTGTTCATAAACACTCTATTTCTCTATATAAGGGTGCAGATTTAGATTGTTCAAATTGGGAGCTTCTCATTGAATGGAATTCAAGTTTAATTAACGATCTAGTTGCTGATTCAATTTCATTTATAATTGTTGACCTTATTGGAACAAATCCCACAAATGAGGTCATACAACATGTTCCAGATGATCTTCAGGAATTGCCAGAACAAAGACTAGCCACTTATGATGAAAATAGATTTTATAAAATCCTCAAGGAATATCTTTCCTCTAATTTTGGGCCTTGTATCCCTGGGAAAGCTCCTCAACATCAAAATAAACTTGAGCATGAACAAAAGGAACATCATCAAGATTTCTATTTTTATGCACATAAACATGGTAATGAATTTAATGATGAGCAGTCACGCTCTATTGCAGTCACAGTACTGTTTAAAGATAGACAAGTTTTAACTTATCCAGTAGATCAACAGATTCAGGAATCAGTCATTAAAGTTATGCATAGAGTAGAAGAGACAATTCTTCCATTAAAGTGGAGTCCGAATAATTAATAAGTGCATTGTATTTCTTAGACTTGTCATTTAGGAATTATATAAAGATTTATAATAGATACCTATAATTTGTAAATCTATGAAACTAACCTTGTCTACTTAACTTAACACCTTTAAATGTATCTAGTTTTATTGTACCTTTTTCAACAGCTCTCTTATATTCTCTCCAATTCCCAACTCGCTCATCCATAGAGGCACTCCAAAGTTTTCTTTGTATGCACCTTCGCTTTTCTTCATTGTGTATTTCTTCTAACCTTTGTCGTTCAAATTGTTCATTAGCAGCTTTGCATCTCTCACTATATTCTCTTTTCTCTTCATATTCTTTCAAGATTTTTTCACACATATCTATGATCTCCTTTTGAAGTTCATTTGTACTTTTGGACTGTTCTTCCATTTCTATTTCTTCTCTACTTATTAACCCCTTCCGCTGTTTTTTCCTCATTAATTTCATTTGTTTCTTTCTTTCTCTCAAGACTATTTCTTCGGCTTGCTTCCATACTTGCTTATATTTTAAACGACTTTCTGACTTCTGCAATTCTTCATAGCCTCTATTCAGTATATCAAAGGCTTCTCTTGCAGATTTGTGAGAGCATTTATCAGGGTGGATAAGTAGTGACAATTTACGGTATTGACGTCTAATAGCCTCATAAGAGCTATTTACTGGTAATTTCAAGATTTCAAAACTATTCACAAATACTCGAGAAGTTAATCTTAATATCTCCTCATCAGCACTGCCTAGGGAGTCAGTATTAATTAAAACTTTACTTGTATCTAAGTATTTAGAGTCGCCGTTAACCTGAAATTCTCCGTTCTGTATATATTTTGAAATTTCGTCTATTTTTTTAAAGCCATTTCTATTCACTTTTTGGTAAGGTTTATTTTCTTCATCAATTTCTTTAATGAATAGCGAAAAAAGTTCATCAGAATCTGTTTCTAATTGAGTATCCTTTGAACTAGCCAAATTTATACCTTCCAAGTGTATACCTTCAGAGTTATCATCTTCTTTAGAACCCATAAATGTGGGTTGAAGCCTTCAAGTATTTACAAGTTTTAAGCCTGTAACACCTCCTCTTAAAATCCTAGGGCGCCTAAATACCCCGCCTACAAGGGTAAAGTGTAATATTCTACATGCATGAAGATATTATCAGATAATAACAAAAGTGTAGCAAAGTGACATTCCTATCTTTCAGAATGAACATTCTACATATTTAGGGTTGTGCAAACTAGAATTAAGGCTAACCTTATTATTACTCTTCGGTAGCCATTTGGGCTACTAATTCTATTTTCTTCTGCACACGTTCTCTTCTCTGCTCCTTAGTTAATTTAACATGACGTACATATTGAGAGTGAGGTGTCTTAACTACATTCCCAATAATTGTCTTCGGGACTTTTCTCTTCTCCTTCTTCTTGTGAGTTGGATCAACATGGATTGCCTTAACAGCCTTAATATACATATCAGCTAAATTATCAGCAGTGATACCGGCCTTAATGTACTGAGAAAACTGACTTCGATACTTATCTGGATCTTCTTCTTCTAAAGTCCTCATATAGTCAGCAACATGTTTACCTAATAGACGATTCTTCAGAACTTCTGCATCAAATGAATCTTCAGTATCACCTTCCCCTTTAACATACCCCGGAAAGCGAGATGGTGAGTGGGGAATATATATCCCACCATCCGCAGCACCTTTCATAGCTGCAAATACACGATTGCCACATGTTGTTCTTGCTAAACCTACATCTAAGATACATTTAAATGGTCTCCTTTCTTCCGCATCCTCCTCGACATGATAGTCATCACCTGTTATTTCACCTACACCACTGAATATAGTATCCATACTCAATTTCTTGAGTACACGTCTGGCACATAACAAACCCGTGCAATATGCAGCTGAAAAGTTCGAAAAGCCTACTGGGACACCATAATGTACTAGCTCAGTAGAGTCTGCTTGACAAAGAACACGATCCCCCTCAATAGTAGATGATATTATCTGACATATCACTCTTCTATTTGTACTTCTTACCACAAGACGATATTTGGGGGAATTATATTTCGTCTTATCTTGAGTAATCATGGCACGACGAGCCTGATAATCAGTTTTGCCTTCACGACGACGGCGAGGTTTAACTTGATATCTGCTAAAATATGCCTTATTCTTCACAACCTTTACAAATGCCATCTTGAATAATCTCTATATAAAGTAAAAATTTAATATTCAAACCCTATTTCCACCAATCACAAAGGCCTCAGCAAAAATATTTCTGGATTATCCGCAATATAAAAGCTCAATTCAACTAACCGGTACAATTTCTTAGATGTCTACAACAGTGCAGCTAATTTACATTCTATATTATAAAGCCTTTCAATATTACTCTGATATAATAGTAAATAAACCACCGCAGCTATTTAGATTAGAATAGCTAGGGCTGTCTTTAAGCGCCATAAATATTCGTCTCAAATATTTTTGAGACAAGTTAACTTTTACATACCGGTTCTTTTCAGTTATATAATACTTTTTAAAACTTGTCCTGTCTCTAATATCCCAATAATTAGATATATAGAGACACGTCCACTATTAAATTTTAATACATACACTATTTGTTAAATAGTTAAAGATTAATTTTACATCACACTAGAATGTAAATTTCATATTTAAAATTACTTATACTAAACCGCATTATAAATACTTAAATATTTCATTGGCGGTGGTTAGTTTTCAGACCTTAAGCTTGAAGGATTAGTTCAAGAGGTTCAAACTTTCCTTAATAAGGGAAATATTAAGAAAACGATCTTTTCCAGGAATTTAAGTAAAGGAATACAATAGAATGGTGGCAGCAAACAAGTCAACCTTAAACAAGAAGTCTAGTGGGGGGTCATCTTCTAAGAAGACACCTAATCATCCATTATTTGAGAAGACACCAAAGAACTTTAGACTAGGTGGAGATATTCGTCCAAAGAGTGACTTAACTAGATATGTACATTATCCACGCTATATATTACTCCAACGTCAGAAGAGTACGATCTTAAGACGTTTGAAAGTTCCTCCAGCTTTAAATCAATTTACTTGCACATTGGACAAAAACCAAGCATCTCAACTTTTACGTCTTATGGGTAAATATAAACCAGAAACTCGCCTTGAAAAGAAAGCTAGGTTACAAAGTGAAGCTCAAAAGTTAGCTGCAGGTGAGGTATTAGAAAGTAAGAAACCAATATTTCTGAAATATGGTGTTAATCACGTTACAGACTTAATAGAGATGAAGAAAGCAAAGTTGGTTGTTATTGCATCTGATGTTGATCCCATTGAAATTGTTTGTTTCTTACCGGCATTGTGCAGGAAAAAAGATGTTGCATTTTGCATATTAGGAGGTAAGGCAAGATTGGGTAAGCTAGTTGGTAAGAAGACAGCTGCTGTCATAGCAATGGAAGCAGTAAGAAAGGAGGATCAGGCTGAATTTGATATGCTGTGCAGGAATTTTATGGCTCAATACAATGACAACTTAGAGTTAAGGAGGAAATGGGGAGGTGGAATTATGGGAGTTAAGGCACAGCATGTAATTAGACGTAAAGAGAAGATTCTTGCAATGGAACAAGCCAAGAAAGTGGGGCTCGTTGCATAGAAATATAATTTTTAATTTAGATTTGCATCTTGATATAGATTAGATAGATAGCTGAGATGATGAGGGTCAAACCCTGTTAAAATAGAAAATTAAGGTCACCTTGATTACTTACTACTGTAATTGTATGGATAGAGATTATCTTAAGATTTTAGTTTATTTATTTGTTTATGTACCCAATAGGTTGACTTTATTAAGCCACGTAAGCCTTTATATTATAGGTGTTTTGACTTTTTTAGGTATGGTTACGGCGCCGTGAACATGTAAGTAGTGTGGCATCCCACAGGCCTATGGCTTTTAAGATTAACAAGGTTTTTATTTTCATGTTTCTAGGTATATTGAAGTATTCATGGGTCAAGTAGAAAATTAAATATGAGGACTTCAATACCCAATAAAGGTTTAGATGATTTAAGATCAAGTAGACAAACAAAAGAAGGTCATAATAATGATCAAAAGAGGGAAAGGAATGATACAGAAGAAGAGCTTGTGAAACTACTGGAAGAAAATTTCAAACTGAAGGAAGAGCTAACAAGATATAAGGAAGATATAACTAGTACAGATGAGCTATATGGCCAGATGAAAAATTTGTTAGACGAGAGTATATCCAAACTTAAAGATAAAGATGAAGAGATCCAGAAAATATTGAGTATGTATGATACTTCAAATATAAAGTGGAAATCTTATGTATCTAGTATGGCAAAACAACTTAGTATAAATAATGAGAGGTTTAAAGACATAAATCAAGATCGAGATAATATTAAAGATAAACTTCGAAAATTAGAGAAACAAAGTGCAGAACAAGAAACAAAAATCTCAAGTTATGAGGAATTAATACAGGTAGATCAACTTCTTTTACAACAGTATAAATTAGTAGAAGAAGGGTTAAGAAGTGAACTAGACAAACTAACCAAGGCTAGTTTAAATTTTAAAAATACCCTAGAAAAATTACACAAAGATTATCTATGCGAAAGAGAAAAGTATAAAATAATAATTGAGAAACAAAGTCAAAAACTCTCTAATCTATCAGTCACTGTTGAGAAATTTAAAGGACGCTTCACTTATAATATAGGTAATAAAAATGGTATACTTGATAAATTACTTGATCAAGAAGTACTAGACAAAGTTAACAATTTTAAGGATGAAGAAATTATTAAGGGAATAATGAGTCCTTTAGAATATGAACTTGGAATATTATGGGCTAATTATAATGAGGATACCACTAAATTTCTGTGCCAGATTTTAGGGAGTTGTATAGGATTTGATGAGTTAGTATCTATTGATGCTGCAACTAACTTTAGACAAACAAATAATATATACAAAGATCAATCTAATAAATTGTGGTTTCATAATTATTGCAAATATGTAGCTACTATTGTTAAATTATACAGAATATTTGGGCAATGCAATATTCTTTTACAGTATATACAGTATAAGGCATATAGACATCTCTCTGAATCTGAAGTACAGAAGATAATAAACAATACAAACAAGGTAGGAACAATTAAGTGGGTTTGTCTATTCGGATTAGAATTAGGATTTTTGGTTGTATCTTTAGGTCATTTGATTTCAAAATACCGAAATAGAAAAGTATGCAAGCTTGGCGAAATTAACAAATCCTGTGATGCACTACTTTCTACTTTAAATATTCCATTTTTAGATTTAACTCTTAAAACCTTGGATGAAATATTTCAAGCTATTTTGAATAATAATTTAAGTCCTGGAGTTACTTATGATATAATAACAGAGCTAAGGACAAAACTGGATTTAATTGATGAATTAGAGCAGACAAATCTTAGCTTATTAAGTAGTGAAGATAAAAGTAAGAATACCAATGAATCTAATAATATGAAATTAACTTCAACTAAAAGAAATATTCCACTATGCTCTATAGATGCAATACTTAATATAAATATTGCACTAGCTATTATGAGCCGAGTTTCAGGTAGCTGCTTGGATATAGATAAATTCTCCTACATCTTTAGGATATCTCTGGATTTGTCTGAAAAGTTATATTCTTTATGTGGCAAGTTGAGTCTAGTGGGGGTTCATTATCCAATAGATTATAGTTTATATACGTGGAAAAGCTCATATTGGTATGATATAATTCAAGGCAAAGATAGCAAAAGCGAAGCTTTGAGTCACTTAGTGGATTTACAAAAGTCGGCCTTCAAAGATATTACTAACTGTACTGTTCAATTAAATAAAAGTAAATCTGAAGATATAAATGCGACATTTTTATCTATTTATTCCATATTACAAAAACTAGAATCATCTTTTGATAGTCTAATTAATCCTCTAGAAAAGACAAATTCTGGTAATGAATCACTTGAAATTATTCTTAGCCGAAACATTAGTGAAAAAATCAAGGAATATCTAGAAAATGAAGATTCAAGTGAAAATTCAATTATTCAAGAAGTAGAAGATATACCTACAAATCAAGATATATCCAACTCTAAGCAAATGGATAGCTTAATAATAGATACCAGTTCTCAAAATATACCTAAACTACCCCAATATCAGAGTATAATGGAAAATCCAAAAAAAGAGAGAGCAAAGGCTGAGATCTTATCCAGGCAACTAAGTGAAAAAGTACGTACTTTAGAGAAGGAGTTGGTAAACCAAAGAGTTTTGTATAGTTCATATAAGACTTTAGATGCAGAATATAAAAAACTCCAAAATTTGAAGCAAGATCTAATGAGTAAAATTGAAGTGTTTGAAATTCAGACACAAAAGGATGAGAATCAAATTAAACTTGATGAGGATAATATAAGAAAGTTAAAACAGCAAATCGATGACTTGCAAAAAAATCTGGAAATTCAGAAAAATATCCCTAAAATTAAAGCTTATAGCGAAGTAGATGTTCTAGAACCTATATATCTTAGAAAATTCATTCGTATTTTACAAAATAAGATATATTTAATGGAGATGGAGAAGTGGCAACTTGATTTAGCAAAATATAATCCAAATGACAGGATGAAGCAAATTTTGTATTATAAGCAAATTCAGCAGTTTAGGCAAATGCCATTATTAAATTCTTTTGGATGTAATACTTTGGATTCATTAGCAAAAAAATTATTGGATTTACAAAATGAAAAAAAAAGAGTTGGAAAGGATTACAATTATACAGGACAAGATTTTAAGGGATATTTGGAATTGGAAAAAGTTGATAATCTTGTCAGTACTCAAACAAGTGATACAGAAGGAAACAAAACTCAACAAAGTGAAGATTTAAATACAAAAGATATTGGGAAACTATTTACTGATGTTACCAATGAGCATAAGACTCTATTAAATCTTATAAGTGATTTTAAGAATATACAGCATGAAATTTTGGTTCATAGATGTTCAATGCCAATATTTGGGATGACAAACTCACCAGAAAACAAGAATATTGTAGATATATGGGATAAATATACAAAGCATGATATGGAATTAAGATATCGCTTGAAATTGCTTAAGAAGTCGGTACAGAGCATATTACTAGGAGTACAAGGTTTAAATGGTACTAACAAAAGAGGAGTACCTAATTTAAATAAACATAATTCTCTGTTAACATATCCTCAGGAGCTAGGAGATATTGGGGAATACATAAGTAATATAAATGATCAACCTATATCAAAGATGATTTTAAAATTACCTTCTAAAAGTACTAAATATAGTAGAATAGACAAAGAGAACTTAGTTGTAACTCCAAGTCAGTGGAATCAGATAACTCACTATCTTGTTCATTTATAATTTAATGTAAACTTCAAGCTTACTGGTTAATATAATTAGATCTTTTGGGAATCTTCTTCTTCTTCTTCAGATGAAGATTCCATTTGCCAAACTATATCTAAGTCTGATTCCTGTACTGTGTTGATATCAATAATACTTAAGGGAGATGTTGTAATTTCAGGTGATTTAACTTCAAGAATAGGAGATATAGGGGGATCAACTGGAGGTTCTGATATCGTAGGGCAGTTATTTACCATTGATAAATTTTGTAATGAATCATTACTATCAGCTGTAGGATTTATTGGAGGTGTGCTAGTGGTTGGCTTAGTTACAGACACATTAGGATTAATAAAGTAATTGCTCACATTATTAAAATATTGAGAATATTCAGGTTTCATAGAAACAACTTTCTCTGATTCTTTATTCATATTGACATCTTTAATTTTTTTAGAGATATTTTTTCTAGGCATGAAAGTAGCAAGTGTTCTTTGCATAGCTTTATATACAGAGATGAAAGGTGGTTCTTCAAGAAATCTAGAGCTATGACCAAAACTTTCTATATACTTTAAAATATTAAATATTTGATAACCAACTTCAAGTGAAACCAAGAATGTTCCAGTCTCTATATCTATAATTGCAAATAGTAGATGGAGAATAGAGATGTGTAGTGAGTCAATTGCTTTGTAAGTAGTAGGTACTTCACTATAAATAGACATAAAACCTTTGTTTTTGATTACTATATTCATAGATATATTTATAATGGTTTTATCAATAAACGGGAGACTATCCTGAACTGTAGTAGGTGAACTTTCAATTAATCTCAACTCTGCATGTAATTGTCTTATTATCCTATATACATTTGAAATAGATGTCAAGATTTGATATACCTGATCTTCAGCCAATGAAATTTGTTCAAGGAATTCTGATTTCTGTCTATATAAGGGCTTTTCAAGTTCTTGGACTTTGTGGATCTCTTTAAACAATTTGTCAAAGAATCCAAGAGCTTGAATAATAAGTTCGTTATTATACAGGCACTCTGGGTTTGGTTGTTCTTCAGTATTAATAATAGTATCTAGCCCAAAAGCCAACTTGCAATGGTGATTCTTTGATATATTGCCGATTATTCCAACTAATTGATTACATTTATTGTTATTTTGGGTATTAAATAGGTTCTCATACCAACAAGGGGTAAAATTTGTTTGAAAGATTTGTTTCATAAATTTGGAAAGCATTGAAGAAAATAAAACAACTCCAGTCTTCCCTGAACTAATAACTAAAGTATTAAATGATTGCTTTATACATCTGTTAAGCTCAAACAAGTGACCATATAATTTAATATTATTTTTATTTATCAAATTCACTTCAAAATAAGACTCTAATGGAATTTTTTGATTTAACCTTAGTAATACCATTAAATTTATAAATTCTATAACTTGAATACTCATATCTTCAGAATCAGATTCTTTAGAATTAAGCATTGTAATACGTTCTGCTACTAAGTAATAAATTATATCCCATAGAATTAACCTTACTTTTATAAGTAATGGTATAATTTGTGGTATAAGTACAGTAACTATTGAATAAGATGAGTTGGAGTACTTTTGTTCCCTTGAGGTAGTTGGTGGTTCAATAACGCCACTGTACATTATAAGGTAGCTTAATAAATCCAGCGACTTTACAATTCTAGGTATAGATTTATCTACAATTTCCATAATATCTCCACTTATATTAGATATAAGGAGCTTTACTTCATCAAAGCTCCTATCTGTTGTCATTTCGATGTCTTTTATAAGTCTATTAATTAGTTCACTACTATATGGAGTATATCCAAACTTGACCAAACTTGTACAATCTGAAATATTATTTGATATACTTGGAATCCAAGTGGCTAAACTAACTAATCCCTTGGCTTTATTAATGAGATCAGCACTCTCAGATTGCATATATATCCAAAAGGCGTAGCCTTGTAGGCTATTTTGTATAGATTTTAGTACGTTAAGTGTAGACATCTTACTTAACAATAGACATAGTCCTTCAACTGTATCATTATGTATTTCACAGTATATTGGATGCATATTTAAGATAGCTAATATTTTCTTCAATAGTTTTGGTACTTTATTTGTAATTAGATGGTTGGCTTCTCGTGAGATTCTTAAGCAATATATCAAACTAGTTCTAGCTATGATAATATTCAATTCACACTTCACTATACTTGCCTTATTACAGTCACAATCCACTATTCTAGAGTTCTGATTTACTGATAATCTATTATCCAAGAGTTGAGTTAGAACTAATACATTACTTTCTAAGTTTACTACATCTTTAGACTCTAATAAAGATACAAGTCTTCGGATTACATCATTATCAGCCAATACAGTCATTTAAACTACTTGTACACAGTTAATTTAAGGAATTATACAACTAGATAGTAGATACATTCATTAGCTTAGGCTACAAGTATTCACCACCAAAGCGGCAACAGTCACCCCCTGACATAGTAAATCTACAATAGCCACTTTGCATCTAGAATTCGCTAAATTCATTACTAAAAGGAGTGCATAAAACTAAAATCTGGAAGATAAAATAAAAAAATGTATTCTTACTGTATCTTTACTAGACAAATATCCCTATTAATAAAGTTCTATAAACAGGACGATACATATCAAATCTAATAATTAAATTAGTTACTAAATATTGTTAAAGGTAATAGTGTGAATTATCACTTCAAATTTTAATAGTTTGGTGTTTATTCACTCTTCTTTGACAAAGGTCCCTTTTTCACTGACATAAATACCATCAAGAAATTTGCGGATATCCTTATTCCTAGCCAAAGTACATTGATGAATTAAGGCAGCCGAACGAGATACAAGTTCTAAATCGGTACCAGTGATAATAATTTCATCCTTTACAGAATTTGACTTCTCAACAATTACCCCAGGTAACATCTTCACAGTACGAACTCTCTTCTCTCCAAGGAAGTTCCTGATTTCAATCAATGTACCATTATTAGTAATATTAGAATTTATTGGGAAGTGAGAATATACAAAACGCATCTTATATTCAAACTTCTTCATAACACCAATCATCATATTTTTGATCGCTGAGCATACAGTGTTTATAGCAGATTGGTGACGAGGGGTACCAAACCAAACTTCAATACGCACAAACTTTCCATTTTTACATAATTTAATATCTACTGGCAGATGATTGAAAGATCGTGTAACGGAACCAAACTTCCCTGTAACTGTAACAGTACGTGATTTGACTGAAACGCTTGTGCCTTCCAAAACACGGAATGACTCATGTGCAAATATATCCTTCATTTCCCCACCGAATCAGGCCGTCCTCTATAGAAAAAAACTATTACCTCTTGGTTTATATAGAAAAAAAGTTAACCTTCTCCTTGACTACTTTTCGTCTCTTCATACAAGCTGCTTTGTTTTAAGTTGATATGACCGCTAAAAGGTTTAAGCATAACAATTACTACTTATAGACTTAGAGACTTTATATAGCAAATACCTTTACTAAGACAATGGTGCTAGCAAATACGAGACGAGACAAGACAATCATGCGGTAAATTTGACCGCTAGTAGTTACATTAATTGATTTTAAGTAGGTTTTTGGGAGCCTCTTAAAGGCAGGTTATTTTCATTACTAAGTTCTAATATACTATTCAACAAGAGAGAATTTACATGTAATTACTTACTAAGTACATTCTCCTATACACATATCTCTTAATATCACTAATTCAATTTGAGATGATTAGTTCTTCACTTGGAGAATAATAGATACTAGAAAGTACACTTAAGTATTACTTCTAAGCCGCCAAGGAAATGCAGTCCTAAGCTCTGATCTAAGTAGATTCACAATGCAGAGAGAATTAAAAGTAAAAAAGAAAGACTGTGACGAAGTAGATAAACCACCACCTAAGAGTGTTTGGTGGGATGAAGAAACCATAGCTTTACATAATCAAGAGCGAGGTACAAGAATAGTGATAAATGAACCTGATACTCCCTATAATGGGTCCTTAAGCATCTCTGAAGATGAATCAGATAATTCAATAAGAGATGTAAGGCATATTAATCCTCAAGATTTATGTTCAAAGCTTAACGAATATGTGGAACAAATGAAGAATGATGAATATAATATACGATCACCTCGAGAAACAAAAAACCATGATTTTGAACAAAAAAGAAAATCTCACTATAATGAATTTCTGATAGCTAAATTAATAGGTAGAGATATATCTGATGATAGCTCAGATGGAAACACTACTTGAATAAATAGTACTAAATAATAACCAATAACATACTATACACTTATTTACAAAAGGCACAAAAAGTTACACTGACTATAAGCCTAAAAAAGTCTTCATCGGAACAATATATAAGTAATTTAGTCGGTCGAATAATCTCCTTGAAGAAGAGTCCTTTTAAATTCCAATTCGTCAACTTGAGCCCCAAGTCGATTACATATAATCCTCATGTCATTCTCCGCAGTTCCAAGGCAAGTAGTACCACCAGGAGAAGGAGTAATATTAAATATCAGACCCTCATCAGTTGTTATCTTACCTTCACCCAATAAGAGTTTTCGCTTTGATTTATCAATAATTTGAGGTCTAATTCCTCCAAATCCATGAGCATATTTAATATCTTTAGATTCTAGGCTAGGGATGATCTTTCTGCAATCTTTAATAAATAAGTTTTTGTTGATAATTGGAACTTCAAAGAGTATATTTCTTAATGCATAATTACGCAAACTAGAATTACAGAATAAATCTTTATAAACCAAAGCAAGATTTAAATCTGGATTTACTATTTTAAAAAAGTCGACAATAGATCCCAAGTTGTTGCGTTCCAATAAAGGTAATGGAAGTGCAGTTGGCCCAAATCTAGTTGTATCCCTCATTATAAGGTCTGGATCACCATGAACAGCTGCAAATGGTAATTCAGGATTTTGAATAGTATATACCTTGCCATTAAGAAAAGGTCTAGAAGAAAAGTAAAAGCTTCCAGCAACTGGGAGACAACTTAGGTTAGAATTATAACCAAGTTTCTTTGCAAATAATAAAGAATATCCACATGCGCTTACAACAACATATTTACCATAGAATTCACCTCTATTTGTGATAACCTTATATAGATCTCCATTTGATGACATTCTAATAATATCTAGAACTCTTGTATTCATACATGTTAATAGATGCTTTCCTTTAGAATTCTCACATACTTCAGTAGCTCCCTTTAAAAAAGAGATAGCTAATTGATAATAGTCCACTCCTGTATGCTCATCAGGAACATAAATCGATGCAATAGGGTCTGGTCTATATGTAATAGTATTTTTATAAGCTATACATGGTTCTATATCACCTATCTCTCTTTTTCCAAGTAAATTCATATGTGGGTATAAGAACTTAAATTCATTAAAACGTTTCTCAATTATTTCACATTCAAGTTCACCTACTCCAAGTACCATCTTACCAAGTTTGAATATTACTTGATCTCTCATGCTAGGTGAAAGTTTTGTAGCATAATTTCTCAACATATTAGCTTGCCTAAGTACTTTACGAGCTTTTTCCAAATTATAATTTGTTTCAATATCGCCACAATGAATAGTTTGACTATTGCTCCGTCCATTTGAAGCAACTTGAGATACATCTCCATGACGTTCTATTAAGCAAATACGTTTTAAATTCGTAAAACGTGATAGTGTATAAAATAAGGCAGTTCCAGTAACCCCCCCTCCAATAATAATAACATCATGGCATGCATCACTTGCTACCTTAAGAGGTGATGTATTTAGTGTCCCAGCCTTTAATTCCGAATTTCCCAAGTTAATATCAGTAGTACTTTTATTTACATCAGAATTCTGCCTATTATCTGTATCCCGACTAGGTTCTTTAACGGTATTCTTTACAGATGTCAGTCGTCTCGTATTACTTAATATGGACCCAATGTAAAAACTCCTTGAGATGTGCAGAAATTCCCTATTTACAAATTTTCTGAGCATTCTAAAACCTTGGTCATAAGCTTTAAATTATTTTCCACCACCTAATATAAATGTAAAAAAGAGAAAAAAGAGAAATCTAGTAATATCCCCACAATTACCCACAATAGGCGGTATATTATATTCAACTGCAAATAAGGAGACACTTCTCGGAATCGCTTTCTTCTAAAATATACGGAGAGATACAATCATTTTTAGTATTGATCTTTAATAAGTACTAATTTATTGATAAGCATTGTCAATATTCCTTATCCTACTCTTTTTTTCTTTGAAAAAAAAGAAATTGTAACTTAGATCACAACTTGATGTTGAGAGCAGTTATTCAAGTCTTCATAAAGCTTGTTTTCCTTCAGACTTAATAACTTATAAGCTTCACATGGATCCAAATCCATAATATTCAGTAATAAAACTCTTACATAAGCTATATGTCTTAAAATATTTGTACAGAGTTCTACCTCACCTGCTAAATTCACTGCTTTATCTATAACTTCGGCTGGAATACCAGCCAATTGTGCGACATTCATACCATAAGATTTAGGGCATATTCCACGGACAAATTTATATAAAAATGTTATTGTTTTAGTATCTTGGCTCAATTTCAGATCCATATGAAAGGCAATAATACTAGGATCCTCGCTAAATTCTTGGCAAAGCAAATGCAAGTGAGTTGAGAATAAACATCTACATTGAATATGATGTGATATATATTCTAAAGTAGCTACACAAATAGCAGTCCCATCAAAAGTTGAAGTACCACGTCCCAGTTCATCCACTACAACAAGGGAATTTCTTGTAGCATGCTTTAGAATAGTTGCAGTTTCTTCCAATTCCACCAAAAAAGTACTTTTCGCTTCTAATATAGAATCATAAGCTCCAATTCTTGTGAAAATCCTATCTACTAAAGTTAGAGAACATTTAGAAGCAGGTACAAAGCAGCCAATATGAGCCATTATTACAGCAATGCATGTCTGGCGCAACACAGTCGACTTACCGCCCATATTGGGACCAGTAACTAATATACATGAAGCATGCACATCTCTAGTATTGAAAAATATATCATTATCTACAAAACCACTATTAAGCCGTGCAACTACAGGATGTCTGCATTTAGTAAGTTCTAAAGTTGATTTCCCTGAATCTTCCAAAAAAGTTGGTCTACAAAAAGGGCCATCAGTTGTATCCATTGACACAATAGATAAAGCAATAAGTACATCTAATTGTGAAAGTGAATCGGAAATAGCAGAAAATGAAGAGAAATGAGAGTGGAACATCTTACATGCTTCCTGAATATATGGAAATAAACTATTTTGCAATTGTTCTTCTCTATATTCCAATTCATATATTAAATCTTTAATTTTATCAGTGTGAAAACGAATAAAACCTTTTTTTGATGATGTTATCTCCAATTTCGGAAGTTTAGATCTTGGAATATTATCAGGACACTCTACTTCATAGCGATATTTCATATGAACAAACTTAATAGTTGTATTATTTAATTTAGAGCTAATTAGTTCCAATTCAGAATTAAGTTTATCCTTGGTTTCATTAATTAAAGACAAATTTAAATCATACAAATCATAATTTCCAGATGCTGGTATCCATTCATTATTAATATCTTTAACAAACCAAGATCTTAATATTTCTACAATTCCGGATATTTCTGGTAAAAAGCCTCCAAGATAAGGTTCAGTTGCTTTTTCTTCACATTGTAAATTATTCACACCAGTTAAAGCTAAAAGTAAAGTGGGCATAGTTTTTCGTAATTCAATATCTCCAAAATTGGATCTAATGCATTCGAGAACTTTTTCAAAGATTTCCAGAGAATTAAGAAAGTCCACAATCTTTTTTTGGATAACATTTACGAAAAAAATAGCACCCCTAGTATTTTGTAGAGCTCCAGTTGTTATTCTATTTATAATGCGCTCAAGATCAAGATTTGAACCAGGTGAACCATTACCATTAGGAGATATTGCTTTAAGTTCTCGGCAAAAATTAAATAGTACATTAGGGTGATTAATAAACCATTCAACACAATCTAGACGCTCATTTATTCTATCTGCATTAGTTAATGGATGAGAAAGCCACTTTCTGAGAAGACGTGTACCACCAGGGGTAGAAGTATGTTTTAAAAACCCAAATAAAGAATTTTTCTCATCACCTTGTTGTGTTTGTAAAAGTTCTAAATCTTTAAGAGCCCCAGCATCTAATAAGAGGTATTGCTTTTCATCTGGGTTGTATTGTTGGAAATTCCCAGTCAGAATAAATCTATCACATAATAAAATTGATTTTAAATAATTTAATGTCCCAGATAATGCTGTACATAATGCTGTAGACTTAGTACATAATTCATTAATTATAGTTGGTATCTCAACATTTACACGTTGAAAGTGTTCTATAATATCTTTAGATGCAAGAATTGGTTCCATAAAATCTCTAAATGAAGTCAATTGTATTGTAGGAGTAGTATTTTTTAAATATCTCAAAATAGGCAATGGAAGATTTCCAGATAGATAGACAACTTCTCTAGGCTGTACTTGCGTTACAAGTGTCTTTACCATAGGAAAATGATCACCTATTTCTTTTAAAATAGATAATTCACTTTTACCAGTTGTAATATCCACACAAACAATTCCTATTTCATTAATAATGTTATCTGGAGCTTCATCATTCACCTTTGAAAACACGTATATAGTCATAAGGATTCTTGCCATATCATTAAGCATATTGGGTCTGACTAAAGTCCCATTTGTAAAAAATTCATTAACACCTCTTTTTACTGCCTTATCTTTTTTAATACCAGATGTAGTTTTATTTCTTTCTTCTAATTCTTTTGGAGTTTCCATCTGTTCAACTACTACTACGCGATATCCATAATTAACCAGTTTATTAGCATATGCATGTAAAGCTGCCTCTGGAAATCCAACATGAGGTTTCCCATCTCCACTCATCCAACGTAAATCACATAATCTTTGAGATAAACAAGCATCAATATAAAATAATTCATAAAATTTACCAATTTTAAAAAATACAAGTTTATCGAAGTGATCTTTCTTTAATTCCCAATATTGTTGCATTGCTGGAGTAAAATGATGCTTCTCTTCTTTAGCAAGTTTACTATTTGAATCTGGTACCCAAACTGTAGATGGATTATAATTTGGATCTGTTGGATATCTTCCATTAGAATCTTTAATTTTCGTTAATTGAAGCCATGGTGGAAAAGAGAACTGACGTCCATATTGAATAATCAATTCCACATATTCTCTAAAAAATTGACTTCCTTGGGCAGCAGTAGTACTTAGAAGTTTTTTTGCAACCTCCTCATCCTCATTAAAGTCATCTCTCTCCATATCAATATTTTTAGGTAAATCTTTGTTTAGAGACTTAATATCTGGAAGATTCATACCTAATTTATTATATTTATTTATTTCAATGCTTGAATCAATAATTAACTCATTTGATTCTTCATCATTCATTTCATATAATAAGTTATCAAGGTCGGGAATTCCTTTATTTATCTCATTATCTTCCTTATATAAACATGACTGTCTACAGATTTTCTTAATTAAAAATTCGTCATCATCATCATCGCATATTTTCCTTATCCTTCCACTACTATTTATAGGATTTAGCTTTACAGATGTGCTCGTTATTGGAGTAGTTTCACACGTTGTAGGAATACTTCGTTCTGCTGAAAATAATTCCAAATTATCCAATATTTCCACACAATTATTTACTTCTACACTATTTTGCATATTTATCTGTGGTGTTAAATCCCTAGAACTTGAATCCACTTCACAGTCCATAGTCTGTAAGGTATTCTTAGCAGTTATTTCACCTTTCCTTGATGGTGTAAAGAATGATAAAATACTTGATTGATAACCATTATTAGGATTTCCAGTATTTGTCGTATTTCGTTTAACCATATTAAAATCCCTTATATTTTATTAACTAAAAAAAGTAAGACCTCTATAGATAAATTAGAGTAACCACCAGAGGTCCAAACCAGTTAACTTTTTCAATAAAAACACGCAAATCAAATACTTAAAATATTAATAGTTGCTTTATCTCTTTTACCTACAAAGTCACGGATAAGTAACTTTTCTTAAGAGATAAAAAGAATTTCAGGTGTGGGCTTATCGTAATACTGGTAAACTTAGCGCCAAAGCCAATAACCTAAAAATAAATCATAGAAATCCAAATAATATTACAATCAGTAGGTGGAAACATCATTAAAGCCCTTTATATAATCTCTATTATATTAAAAAAAATTAACACAATAATACTAGATAGAATAAGGGCTTAAAAATTGTCTATTGAGATACCTTATCTAGGAGATTGAAGTTAACATTTAGGAAATAAAGTAGAACGAATAATAGGAGCATCATTCTGAATAACAAGATCTAATCTTGCATCTAAAGTATTGTTACATGCTATCCTGCGATTCAGATTTGTTAAAATAATACCTCCGGTACAGAACTTGCTAGATTGATCAGCATTAATAGGAGCTGGAAATAGGGTATTATCTGTGTCAATAGTAGCTTCTATAGATATTGAAATTCCACACTCTTGTTGTAAAATATCTTTATATTTCTTAATAGCTTTGGGGATAGCATCTCCAACAATATTGATGTCACTTTTACGACATTGTATCAGAACCTTAGGTTCCAAAAGTCGTAACATACCTTGAGTTATCAAGTCAACTAATAAAGGTTCATAAGTAGTAGGATTAGATGATAATTCACACATTTTCTTTCTTGCCAATTGAACTACCTCTTTTAATACCTGAGCCCTAGCAGCCATCTTCTTAAGCCTTGCCTTATTAATGGCAGTACTTCTAGCAATAGCTCGTTCTATTTCTAGCCTTTTAACTTTTTTTTGAAAATCTAGACGAATTTGTTGTTTAAGATTTTGTACAAGTTTAAGTTTCTCAATATTAAAATCTTGAAGAGCTTTTGCTTCAATTTCATTTGCTTTATCTTTTGCTTCATTTAAAATGAAGCTAACCATCTGTTGAATTTGTTTCTGTGCCTCTATATCATCCTAAGATTACAATGATCCCAATTTAATATTATTCTTAAAATCGGTGACAATAAAATAACCTAAATATTTAACTTACCATCTTGTTGCCTTTAAAATATTCAATAAATTAAATGAAATGATCCTTAATATATAAAATTCACGTTATATTGTATATTTGGAATAATAAAGTCTTATATCTCCCCTAGCTTTGTACTATTTAAGAAACAAAGAAGTTTAGGACCAATCTAAACTTTACAAGTTTAGTTAAATAGCAAGGCTCAAAAGTAGTAATACTAATAGATAAGCTAAATTATTCTTACTACAGCGGGAATGATGCATTAGGTGCGCACGTAATAGCGCTGTCCCTTTGTCACTTTGATTATACCCTATTATTTAGAATAAAGTGATCTAAGCTGTCTTTATATTGTTAAATTTAAGTTTCTAATTATAAACTATATATACTCTAATTAAGGCATGACATTATAAATATAATTATAATAATTAAATCTCCCAATTTATTTAGACAATATCTTAAGACACTATTATTACAAAAATTAAATTTAGATATGTTAGGCTAATATTTAAAGTGACCTAATTAAAAAAGAAAACAAAGATATCATTGACTTATTAAAAAGTACAATGACCAGGATATCTAGGGAAAGGAATTACGTCACGTACATTATCAATTCCAGTAACCATCATTACAAGCCTTTCAAAACCAAGTCCAAATCCTGCATGAGGTACAGAGCCATATAATCTTAATTCATTGTACCACCAATATGGTTCTAATTCCATTCCCTTCTCAATAATTGCACTTTTTAACTTCTCTATATCATCTTCTCTTTGAGATCCACCAATAACTTCTCCAATCTTTGGGACTAAAATATCCATAGCTGCTACAGTAAGTCCATCATCATTCTGCTTCATATAAAATGCTTTAATATCTTTTGGATAATTATAAAGTATACATGGTTTCTTTAATAATACATCTGTTATATACTTCTCATGTTCAGATCCTAAATCCATACCCCACTCAACAGGGACTGTAAATTTATTATTATAAGGTTTAAGCATCTCAATAGCTTCAGTATAACTAATACGAGCAAATTCCTCACTTACTACTTGTTTTAATCTATTTATTAAACCTTTTTCGATATTTGCATCTAAATATTGCAAATCTACCTCATTATTCTTTAATACAGCTTCTACACAATATTTTAATAGACCTTCACCTAAATTCATATCATCTAGTAAATCAGCAAATGCCATTTCAGGTTCTATCATCCAAAATTCAGCTAAATGTCTTCCTGTATGTGAATTTTCAGCACGAAAAGTTGGCCCAAAAGTATATACATCTGACATTGAACATGAGAAATTCTCAACATTTAATTGTCCAGAAACAGTTAAGTAAGTTGGAACTTCAAAAAAATCTCTATTATAATCAATCATATTATCTAATTTATCATGATTATCTGTAGATTCTGGATTTATTTTAGTACTTAAATTTCCAGTCTTCTTTGTTGGAATATCAGATATTATATTACTGTGAGGTAATAAGGTAGTAACTTGAAACATTTCGCCAGCTCCTTCACAATCTGCAGATGTTATAATAGGAGTTTGTATATAATAAAAACCTAAATACTGGAAATAATCATGAATCGCAATAGAAAGGGTATTTCTAATACGTGTAACAGAACTAAAAAATTGGGTTCTTGGACGTAAATGAGGTATTTCACGTAAAAATTCTTTAGAATGATGCTTCTTAGCTAATGGATATTTTGAAGGATCACAAAAACCTAATACTTTTATTTCATCTTCCTTCGAATCACTAACTAAAAGTTCCACTTCTTGTTCTTTAGCTGGTGATTTAACAATACAACCAGTAATTCTATAAGAACAACCTACACTACTTTTTAAAGCATCTCTAAAACCTGATGCTGATTGTTCTACTACAACTTGTATATTTCTTGATGTAGAACCATCATTTAAAACTACAAATACTAATGTATCTGAACATTGTTTCCTCACAGTTCTTGACCATCCACTAATAGTTACACGCTGGCCAATATAAGATACCCCTTTATCATTAGTATCCAATATAGAGGCAATTCTAAGCCTACCAGATAGGGAATACTTACTTACGTTTTTTACAATAGCTTCTATATGAATATGTTCTCTATACATCGTAAAAAATATATATAATCAAATAATTAGTTCAACTTTATGATTAATAACAAATAAAAATTATGACCTCATAATAATGAGACACCCTATTACTTTTTGCTAGAAAAAAAAAGATGCGGGGTTACAAGTAATAAAAATGTATTGATCTGATATATATATCGTATTTCCAAATATAAATATTTTAATTAAGGTTCAATCTTATTAAAAAACTTATCTAAAATATTAAATAAAGTATTTGAAGTTACATTAGCACTAGAAATTAAAGTTTTAATTAAAGGGAATTCAAAGCAAACAGAGTTTAATTTCTTTATTCCACAACAATGACCATATTCATCAACTGAAATGGCTATAATAGCTTTAGCACATGCCTCCTCTTGAATATTCATATCCCAAACTATTTTATTTCTAATATAACCTGCTGTTATTACTAATGGAATACCTTTTATAGGAAATGGTATACCTTCTTCTATTAAAGGATTAACTTGTAAGTTTGATTTCTCTTCTCCATCTTCAATTTCAACTTTAGCAGTAACTTGAGGTATTCTATTAATAACACAATCAAATTATTAAAATAAAATGTTTATATTTATAAGAAAATAATATCAATATTAATTAATAATATAAAAATAAATCAAATAACTTACCTTGAATTCCTTAAAGCACAATGAATACTAAATACAAGCCAATCTAAAATATTTCCACCATTTGAAATAATCATTATATCTATGAAGATATTCCAACATAAATAATTAGATAATATGCAAAGTTTAGATAAATCAAAGTTATTAAAACATAAATCTTTAATTGTATTTGATAAATCTAAAGTATAATCCTCATCATTCTTATCATTAATAGGACTATAATTAAATTAAATATTTAATTAGATATATTCCAAAAAAATTTAATTATTAAAAATAAACTTACCAATCAATATTTATAATTATGTCTCCCCATGTTGGATTTTTAGTTGGAGATGAAACTTCACACTATATATTAAAAAAATAAAATAATAAACCCAATAAATAAGTAAGGGGAATATTCTAAGTTATATTACTATTATATCATTATACATACCTTTATAGTAGTTAAGATATCTACTTCATCATTCCTTATTCTAGCTGATCCATTAGCTGATGTAATTACACCTAATTCTACTAATGGGATCCTAAAATCAAATATATCTCTACCATCATTTCGGATACCTTGTTCAATACCATTTTCTAAAAAGAATTGTTCAGATACTGATATGAAATTATCCATTATAATTTTAATTTGGAATCAAGAATTTAAACACTTCTAATAGGATACAAACCGCATAAATGTGTAGTTATGTTGAATAAGAAAATTGGTACTATGAATTTGAAGGTAAAATGAAGATATATAATGAGACTTATAATATTATAAATTTATTAATTTTAAGATAATTTTGTGATTTTCTTTTCTTTCTAATAATTTAGAATAAAAGGAAGTAGATAAATTAAATCTGAAATTGTCAATAATAGACTATTATAAATAATATTGTAAAATAAAGTCGTCTATTATTTAGTATTTGTTTATATTTTAATATAAATTATATAGTAAAATGAATTTTTATAAACTTTATAAAATAATTTTGGATAAATATTTTATTTTTATGGTTTAATATATAAAATTACTATTACCTTCTACTTAGATATTAAACGGATGAACGGAATAAACTAATTTATACCTTATATTTCTTTCTTTTCAAATTAATTATAAAAATTACTGAGATAATAAATTTATTAATTTGAAGTAATTAATAGGAAAGAAAGAAGAAAAAAAAAAAGTTCCAATATAATTTTTGTAATCCATTTCTTAATAAGACTAAAAATAATACTTAACTAATGAGAACTTATAAGAAATATCTTGTAAATAACAACGAAGAAAGGACATTTAAAGACCTATAAACTTCTAATTAATAGTAACACAGATATCAACTTAAAATAATGAAGATCAAAAAATCCCGGGCCTTGTTAAAAATGAGGACTTCTATTCAATTAAAAAGATAAGTAGCAATATAAATCCTAAAATTATTTGAAGCAAAAAATGTGATGACAATCCAATAATAAAGATATATCATTAGAATGAAATAAATAATAAATAAATTAAATTTATATTTAACAGCAGAACTTCAAAAATCTTCTTCTTGTACTACGCTTTTTTGGAATAACTGGGGCTCCCTCTGGCACATATTGGAAAGAACCTGATTGAGGTAATTGATATGCTGATACAGTTGGATCATACATCCCTGCATATTGACCTACTGGTAAATATGAATTAGTATCCCAATGAGATGAAGTGTAATAGACGGGAGCATCGTTTGGAAGATAGGGAGCCTGAAGTGGAGCCACTACTTGTGTTGGTTCATTATTGTAAAATGTATTTGGCCATTGACTTGTATAAGTAGGATAACCATCAGGTCTTAATATAGATTGATAAGGTTGACAAGGTGGCATTTGTTGATAATAATTTCCTTGCATGCCCGGGTGTACATTTAATTGAGATTGATATAACATTGAGGCAGGAACCTGCTGAGGTGGATTTAATTGTTGATCTACTACAATATATATAACAATTAAAGATCTTATAAGAAATATTTTAGAGGTCTATATAACTTACTTTGTTCTTCCATATTATCAGATATTAATATTTATCACAAAGAAATTAAAATGAAAAAATCTCAAATAGTGTGCCTTTAAGGCGTGGGGGGAATAATACCGCCTAAGTTCCCCGCCTAATTAAGATTTTTTTTAACACACTTAAAAAAAAAAAAGAAATCTTGGATATTAATAATATAATAATTTTGACATTTTATTTAACAATTTAATTATTGATAATATGATATCATAAGTAGATTGAGTTCTATTAGGTTCTCTAATTTTATTGGATTATAATTAGATTTAAAAGAACCTAAACTTTAGATTTGGTACAATATTATAAAGAAAACTATTTTATAAAATTCATATACTCATTTTTTTTTACAATATTTGATGTTATAAATATTCTAGGTAGTTTCATAAGTTTATAAAGAATATGATATATTGAATTTTAAAAGGACTTTCTTCTAAAAAAAGAAAATAACACAATCATATTAAAATATAAGTTAAAAAGGAAGTATACTATTAAGATATATTAAAAGTAAAATATTACTGAATAATTTTATTATAATTGTTTAGTATATTTTCTTAATATTAATTAGACTATCCTTCAGATGTGTACATCATGAGTCTATGTCTTACATTGCATGTATATAAACCTTATTTCCTTAGTAATAATAAGTAGGCCCTATAATTAACTTTAAATACTAAGAATGACTTTTTGATATTATTAAAAATATGAATAATTCAAGATTCCAGCAATTTGGAGACAATGTATCTAATTATGGGTATGCTGGGGTATGGCCTGTAAATGAAAATGTGAAAGTTGTACCAATGGGAGCTTCAGGCATGCCTATTTCTGATATTTATGAAGAAATTGTACATCCAAATAAAGTACATTCAAATAGACCAATCCCAGTAGGAGATCACTCCTATCCTATTCCAGTTCCTATTCCAGTAATGACTCCAGGAACTTGTGATATTACAAAAGCTATCATAAATAGTGATAAAGAGAAAAAACTAGAGAATTTGAATGAAAGAACTAATGGTAATATTAATAAATCTAAATCTAGATATATAAGTTCGGATATAAAAGAAAAATCTAATATTATTCAAAAACCTGCAGTACCACTTATAGAGACCCAGGCTAAAAAACAAGTAGTAACATCTGCAAAACCATCTACTAATAAAATGATGTCAAAACGTACATCTATACAAAATATGACTGGTTCTAATAATGGAGGGGCACGTATTTCATCTGATCAAAGACCTTTGAGTGTACCTAGGCAAAGCTTACAAACAAATAGGAGATCAGAAAGTACAAATATAACAAATTCAACTTCTAAATTAAGAAGTGACTCAAAGTCATCTATTTTAAATAATAATAGAGGGAAGAATAATGGGATACCTACAAATTTAACAACTAGTAAATATAAAAATAATATGTCAACTTCAGATCTAAAATCTAAACAAGGAACAAAATTAAATAAATCAGTAGAGAAAATATATAAACCTCTTAAAATACAGCAAGATGAGAAATATCATCCAAATAGATCTATAGAATATAATGTACCCAAATATATTACCCAAGATTCAGTAGATTATCCTACAGTACCATATCCACTACATTTTCAGCAGAATAAAAGTTCAATTAATCAACCTTATGTTGTACCAGATATGCCACCTAATTTAGTAAGAAAGCCTGTATTGCAAGATACAAAATTAAATAATTTAAATAAAGGTTCATTTACATATAATCAAATACCACCCCCTGTTAAAAATGCAACTAGGATTATTACTGAACCAACACCTATTTTAGATAAGAAAGTAATGGAAACTAAGGAACTTCCTTCTAAGAAATTACCATCTTTTGGATATAGTAGTCAGAGTTCACTTGATTCATTAAATTATCCAATTACAGCACCTAATTCATCAAATTTATTCAATAAGATAACTTCATCTTGTTATCCTAGAAATATACCTGCACCTCTTCAAATTAATAATAATTTATCAAATCCATGTTATCAAACATATAACAATCATCAAAACATTGGAAATTTAAATTCAATAAATAATGGACTTTATGAATCTACAAAGTTATGTTTTGATCCTATGAAAACTCTTTTATATTGTTCAGGTACAGAAGTAAATACCCCACACAATAATATATCACGAAAGCAGACGAATTTTGCTACTCCTGAAGATATATTTAAACCTATGGTATATGAAACAATAGTTTACCCTCCTGGATATTTCGAATATAAAAAACAAATGCAAGATATTAAAAGTAATTATATTCAAGATTATGATGTAAATAAACAACCTATAACTCATCAGGAATGTAATAATATATGTAATTTGTCAGAGTGTGCTGCAAATCCTCACAAGGATGGACAAAAACCCGATGAACCACAGATATTTGTGAAAACTATTGGTACAATAGACCATAAAAATAGAATAAGACCTCGTACATTATGTTAAACTTGTTAAAAAAAAAAAAAAAAAAAAAAAAAGAAAAAGAAAAAAAAAAAGTCTTAGATAAAGGCATGTATAAATAAATACATACACGTATATCTTATGAACTTGAGGCGCTCATTTTGGCGCTTAGAAATCTTATTACACATGTAGTTTTTCTTCTTTTTAATCCCTTTTTCTAAATTTTAAAGTATAACTACTAGTAATGTGTTTGTTATTAGAATATCCAGCAACATTTTTTAATGAACATATTCAGCTTATAAATGAATTATTAAAACAAATGAGTCCGATAAGATCGGATCACAAAGAAATGGATATATTACAGCCATTGGTACATAAAGATAATGTTGATATATTCAATATATTAGCAGAGTTATGTCCAGGTCTCCTACAAAGAGCTATTTCTTTAATAGATACCAATAAAATTAATATTTATATTAGTAAAAACAGCAAACGTCGTTTCTATACTGTAGATGCTAGTCAAGATCGGAGGACTACATATCTTGTTATGAAAAATTTTTGTTCCTGTCATTCTTACATAGAAAATGTCATTAATTATAAACGAGAATTTACTTGTAAACATGAGTTAGCTTGTTTATTATTTAGCTCTCTTTATATTGGATATGAACATGAAGAAATATGTATAAAAGAGGAAGCTTGCCATTGCACTTTAGTACCAAGTAATTTTAATATTTACATCATATCAGATTATGAATTTTCCAGAAAATTATGTATTGAACTAAATAATATATTTTTAGAACTAAATACTTTTAATGATTATATTTTAGAAGATAATGATATAATTAAAACTCAATAATAATAGTTTAAATTTTTATTTATGATTCACTATACATAGAAAGCTAATATTCCAGAAATTATTACCTCACTATATTTTGAATATATAAATATTAGATAAAATCTCAAATATTATTTAATCCTTATCCTTATTATTCATAAAAAATATCTATAGAATTATTTATTTTGTGACTCTTTTCACGAAGAATATTTATAGCTGTCTTTACTAATTGTATAGGTGATATAGACCCCGTAGATTCAATTGAAAAAATAAAATGATGTTTATTTTTAAATATTTCCACTTTCTTTGGAAATTTCTCAATACAAGCTCTACATGTTGTACAATTCCTTGGATTCTTTACATATACTTTACCTGTAATATCTTCAATATCAAAAACATTCATAGGACATACTTCAACAAATTCTTTTGCATCTTTACCTGTAATATAACCTTCTGGGAATTTAAATTCAGGTAATAAACGATATGTTGCTGTACTTACAGGACTCCATTTAGCATGAGTTTTACCAATACCTTTTTCACAGTATAATATAGCTTCAATTACTTGTCCTGGTCTCAATTTTGTAATCAATATATCTGGATATACAACTGATGGTGGTTTTTTCTCAAATATTTGTTTTTGAGACTCACTCATTGGGACCCAAATAAGATCTTTTGAATATATAGCTTTGCTTGTAATACCATTTTTATCATCTATATCATATTTATTACATTCCACACATAGTTTAAAACAGACTGAATTTTTTTCATTTAAATCTTGATCCTCAGCTCTAAAATCTATGAGATCCAAATCAATATTAAATGGAATTAGTCCTAAACGATGAGCAAGTACCTCATCTTGGATAACACCACTATTTTGATATATCTGAACAGTCTCAATAGCCACTGTTGGTACTTCAACTAGTAAGATCCTCCTTAACGCATTTGCTACAGCGGCATCTACCCCTATTAAATCAAAATTTATATAATCAGAGGTGAGCTCATTTATTTTTATATCTATTAATTTTAGTATATTTTCTACTGTCATGGGTTTTATTGTATTTTTTCTATCTGCTGTCTCTGATAGGGTTCTACTTCCAATATAACCATAGCCACCAACATTTCGTGGTCCTTCTAAAGTACATTTTAAATATTTAGAGGAATATATTGAGCTGTTATCTTCATCACCCAAATTCTTACAATTTTTCATTATCTTTATTAGATTTTACTTTATATTGACTAGGGGGTTAGTCATTATTATATTTTAGGCGGTAACTTCTCATATTATTCCACGGGATAACCTTCCCCTTTTCTATTTCCCTTCTTATCTTTTTATTTAGATTTTGTAACTAATTTAAGTTTATTAACTTAAAAATAAATATGAGATCTAAAGATTCTTGTGTAGGCCCAGCACCAAGTGGAATACCCAGAATACTTAATGATACCTTTAATAAGACTGTATTACATGAATTCTTCATATTCTCAGTATTTTTAGCTCTATTACCCTGTGGAATATTTTTTGTGGGACCTTATTTGCTAAAATTTGTATTAAATAAGAATTATATATTACTTGCTTCTGCAATATTATCGGTTATAGTAGTAAATATTATATGCTATATCTACATATATAGGTAAGTTTATTTGACGAAATTTGGAAATAACACTAATTTCAACTTTTCTTTGAATAATATATTTTAAACTTGTATATTACAATAATATTGATTATATTGTAAACTGAACTGTTATCTATAGAGCATATATTCAAGAGAAGAGTGAATGGGAGCATATTGGTCCACCATGCTTAAGCCAAAAAGAAGAAAGTAGAAAGGAAAGATGAAATCAATTTTTTAGAATATATAAAGTTTAATATTCAATATAAATAAATCTGATGTATATAATAATTGTATTTCTAAAATGTCTCTAATATTTGATGTATTTTACAAAATATTCTGATCCCGCTAGATGGGCTTTTTCACATACTTACTTTGGTTATACCTGAAATATTGCTGTATAGTTAGTAATATATTTAGAAAAGTTGGGATCTATATAAATTAATACAATACATATACATGGATGGAAGTAAATAAAGTCTCAAACATACTACTTTTATTCTTCCTTTGTGTAAGTATCTTGAATAGTAAGCCATTTAATACTATACAAGATAAATTATATAGCAATAACACAAATTTATGGATAAAAGATTTAGGAGACCCTCACTATGGAACACACAAATTAGTACGTAGTAAATTATTTGATGAAGATGAAAAGGAACGATTTGATGAAGTAGATATAGAATGGAGTGGACGTGTAGTAGCTTTAGGTGATGTACATGGTGACTTTAAGTCTGTCTTTACTATATTATATTTATCTGGTATAATTGACACAAACCTAAATTGGATTGCTAACAACACACTCCTGATACAGATGGGTGATGTAGTTGATAGAGGACATCATGGATTAAGAATTTATAAATTATTTTACAACCTAAGTTTCAAAGCCTTGGAAAAGAATAGTCGACTGATCCAGCTATTAGGAAATCATGAGGTGATGAACCTTTGTGGGCAACTCCAATATGTTACTGATGAAGATTTTGATTCATATGGAGGTAAGATGATGCGACAGTATGAGTGGTCAAAACATGGATTTATTGGAAAATATTTGAGAAATCTTAATATTGTTATGAAAGTAAATGATACAATTTATGTACATGCTGGTTTAGTTCCAAAATATGCTAGAATGGGCTTAAAAGAAATTGCAAAGTTAGCGCATGAATTATTAAAACATTCTATTTGTGATATATCTCCCAATTCTTTATTTTATGATGAAGATGGACCTTTGTGGACAAGAAATATAGCGATAGGATCACATGACCATTCATGCAAGCTCTTAGAGGAGAGTCTTAAATATTTAAATGCAAAGCGAATGGTTATTGGTCATACAATTCAACCTAATGGTAGGATTAATGTTAGATGCAATCAACAACTTTTCCTTGTTGACACTGGAATTTCTGATGCTATTATGGGTAAACCTACATTGTTAGAATTGATGTATAGCAGTGAAGATCAAGATATTGATAAAAAGATAACAGACTTTAAGGGGAAGGAGCCATTTTCAATTAATGAACTTTTAGTAAAGGAAAAAATTATTGAAGGGGAAAGAAAAGTAAAATATATTGAAATTAATAACATTTTAAATTCATTAATCAAAGTTAATGATAATTGTGATGAACTCTAACTATACTGTATTTTAAGATAATTTTGATATTAATCAAATTATGAAACTTTATAAGAACATTTCTACTATAGAGAAATTTTAATCATATTAAATTCATAAAAGTTAGTTTCTAAAGAATTGTATAAGGTTATTAATTATTACAATAAGATGACTAAGGAGTTCATAATTTGATTTTTAACTTAGTATTTCTAATTAATAAATATATTTCTTTACAATAATATCTTATATATAAATATAGGAATTGTTTTAATTTAATACTAGATATGAACTAAATATATTAGTAATTTCACAAATGGTAATTAAAATATTTAATAAAAGAGACTGTAGGAATCAGTCAATAATATTTCATTATAGTCCTTTTATTTTACTAGAAATATATTTGTATCCTTAATTATATTTAGAAACTCAATGTATTTTGAGTATTCAAAGTAGAACCTATACTGAGATTAAACTTAATGATAAACTATTTGTATATGGAATAGATATAATGAATATATATTTATATAATTATCAATATTTAAATTTAATTTCAGGAAATAAAATAAAAAATAACTCTTTAAATCTATTTAATTATTAGATATTTGACTTCTCACTTATAATTGAAGATACATTTATTGAAAATACTAAGAATTTGAAAAAAAAAGTGTAATTTATATATTTACAATACTTTTCTAGTTTTCATAATTTATATATATAAATAATAACAAAATAGGACAGCTATAAATATTGGATAAATATACAAAGTTCTTTAAAAAAAATCTAAATAAGTATATATAATATATAATTTTAATATTGTAGAGAAGCTAGTAAATTTACTAATATGAGAATTTCCAAATTAATAAAGTGAAGTTAATAAATAACTTAGTAAAAAAAAAAAAAAAAAGTCCCAAAAAAAAGTTTACGTACAACTTTATTAAGAGATTGTACGATTTATTGATGTTAGTATGTCTATTCTCTGTAAAATATAATCTACTTCCTTATCACCAGTAACAGTAGCACTATTCAATTTATTTTTCTCTTGATTAGAATTAAAAATGTAGTCCAGATCTAGAGGATTTATTACTTCAGAATCTTCTTTCCCCAAATTTAATCCTTCTTCTGTTGTTTCAGATATATTAGATATACTCTTAGCTGTATTTACTTCTTCAGTCATAACTTCTAAACCTTTATCAGCAATTAAGTCTTCTTCATTATCTCTTATCGTTGATAAACATCTTAAATCCTGCCAGCTTTTATAAAAGTCAAACTCTGAATTGTCTAAATTGTCATTAGATTCATTATTATCTGTTGCTTCCACTCTACCATATTCAAAATCTACCTTTCTACTATTACTTGAGTTTCTTATCTTCTTTCTAGGTACACTATTGCTAAATATTTCACTTTTAGGTATATTCTTAATAACTTCACAAATTCTATAATACTCATCTCTATATTCAATACATTGCCTATAATGAATATCCAAATCACTTAATATTCTCTTAATACTACTTTGTAATTCATAGTTCAAGGAAGCCTCATGTATTAATTTTTCATGGAGAACATTAACCTTTTTAAATACTTTAGAACTATCAAGATCTAATTGCTGATCTACTTTATCCTCAAATTCTATATTATCTTCATTATTTAAAAATCTTGTCTCAAGTAAATCTGGAGTTAAAGGATTACCATATCTATCTTTATAATAATATTGAGGACCATCATATAAGCATATATTAATAATATCATGATTTATAAGACGCCAAATAATAGCTTTAGCTTCTGGAAAGACCTCATATTTACTGCAGTCTCTAAATGTCTCATATATACCATAAAAAGTCTTTAAAGATATTGGAATACGAAGTGGATTTATATATAATGTTGAAGGTGGTTGTTTAAATGAATCTTCTAGTGGAATAAAATATTGGGAATTATATAATAGATATAATAAATATAAAACTGATACTCGATGATGTATTTCAATCAAATTCTTGTTATCGCAATTATATCCAGATAATCCCTGTTCTAATTCATCTAGAAGAACTAAATTCTTTTCAAGAATATTTTTTCTTATTTCAAATGGGCATTGAATTTTAAATACCGCTATTGTAACTCCTATAAGAATCTCAAAACATTCATTGTGTTGTTCCAATTCTGTATTAAAGTGGATACTACTAAAACGATTTTCTTTAAATAATCTTGATAAAATACCAAATGTTCCACATTTATTTGCTTCATATAAGTACTGTGTTTTACTAATTTCATCCCAATATTTTTGTAATAGTTGGTATATATCCTTTTTGAAGGAGACGGCTCTGCCACATAGAACTCCAGGAAAATAATAACCGGAGAAAATATCACCTGGTCTAAACCTTTCACTCATTTAATTTCAAATATAAAATACCAATATATTTGCCTTTCATATTGTTTGTTGTCTCTTTTGCTGAATCGAAATTCCACTATATATCTAGCGGTACCTCATATTTCCTATTCTTACCAAATTATGTAATTTTTAGATTTCAGTTATACTAAGCAAATTAAAATAAATGTTCAAGTATAGGAGTTAAATATTTAGTTATTTTATATATTATAATGCTATGAAATTAAATATAGAACCTACAGATACAAGAAGATGTGGATCCTCAACAAAGTAAATCTTTATTTTCTTATTTGACCATTTATATACGGAATTTTGCATAACTAAAAATAGACTAGGAATCATTATATTGAAACCTGACACAATTATAATAGATACATTAGTTAATTCTGCATGTATAAATGCTTTATATATAATAGAATGCCCAATCATTGCAAGTAAGCTTTTTGTAATATCTTCTTGATATATATTGAATTTAAGTGATTCAATCTCAGTATTATTATCAGATAGATCATTAGATTTATAATATTTGGCTTCATATGTTTTATAAACATTAAATTGATCTTTAAGAGATTTAGATGAATTATAATTTCTATAGTAAAACTTTGAAATAGAATTATCTAAATGATATTTTGGTAAGGGTATATTAACTAAACTAGAATTGATTTCATAACTTTGTAGTTTTCCCATGCAAGAAGCAATTTTATCCTTATGTAAATTTATTGATTTATATGAAGTACCGTATATATCATTTACTAAAATATCACAATTTCTTATATCTCCTACTGAAATAGCATAATTTATATCATTAATTGATAATATTTCTGGACACAAGATATTTAATAAATTCCAAAAAGATGATTCACCAATTAAACTTTTACCTATCATTTCATAATTATAACAACAATTTACATGATAATAAGAAGTATTCCACATAGTATCAACTAATATATAAGGTTTCCATTTATTTCCAATTAAGTGAGCTTCACATTCTGTTGGTATTTCTGTATTTACATTTACATCTAAACATTTCCAAGAATTAACAATAAATGATTCATTATTATCAGAATAGTTAAATATTATAGGTTTTAAAAAGTATTTTAGTGTGAATTCAATACCTCTAATCATACATGTTATATGATCAGTTTTAATAACTTCATATACAATTGAATATTCTAATAGTATATTTGTTAAATCCATAAAATTATTATAATCTTCATCATTATTTGGACAAAAACAAATATATATTATATCTGATAAATAATTCTTCAAAGAGTTCAATAATACAGTAATATTCTGTATGGAATACTGAAAAGTAAGTAAGCTATATTCGAAATCCACAGAATTATCGTAGTTTATATAAAAATTATTAAGAGAAAAAGATCTTAATACTTCAATATATTTATTATTTGTAATGATATCTATACATTTTGCATAATTATTTATAAACTTAAATTTATCACTAATTGAGTTATATGTAAAGCAATCTCCTTTATTATTGTATTTACAGTCTCTTTTAGATCTTGATATTACACTTATTTTAATAGATTTATCAAGTAATTCTAGACTAACTGTATTACCCATGCAATTCCCTTAAATTTTATTGATTAATAACTTTTTATATAATTATTTAGTAATGCCTAAGTTTCGAGATACGATCTCAGGCATTGCGGCGCTTTGCAATTACAGCATCTATAATCTCGTTATGTTGCAAGTAGACTTACAACCCTTGATCGATTTCACAAATTACATGTCTCAAAAATTATGTGAAGAAATCTTAGGATCTTTAATAAATGAATACAAAGTTAAATAGAAGAATGATGAGGCTAAAATGAGTAAATTTACAACACTTGGACTGTTTAATGATGAAATCAACAATATAAGCTACAATGATCGTTTTTATAATAGTAATGCATTAATAGACCCAAAAAACATCCCTAATAAAGTTTGCAATAGTAATAACAATCCAGCTCAAAATCACAATAAAACAAATAGTATAGAAAGCATCCGAGAATCTGAACATCTTGATGATGATGAAAATAATATAGATGATAACTCCGTAGGTAGTTTTGAGAAGATATGTAGTATTTTATGGTCATTTTGTCCTACAGTATCACCAATTTTATGGCAATTAGGTTTAATATTTATGTATATTTATCTTATTGAAAGGTTTATACATGAGAGGTCATCAACATTAGAACTTACATATTCAGTTTATTTAGACCAATATAAATGTGTCGGAATAATTTTAGGAATAGATATATTGGTATTATTAATAGTATTATTAATAAGATCTACGCTATTGAATACCATTTTTCAAATATTATTTCCAGAAGGAAGATTTACTATTGCCTTTAAAAGTATTTTAGATCCAGATATTTTTTTGTTGATTTGGTGTTGTACAATGGTTATTATTTGGATTTCTCAATTAAAAAACTCGAAAGAAAGCTATAATTTTTCATTTTTTTTAGCATTTAAAATGAATTCATTAACAAGGGATATTGTAGTTATGTCACATAATATAATGTTTATACTGGCATTAAGAAATTTAATATTAAATATTATAATGTTTTATTTTTCAGCTGGATTCTTATTGAATATGAACCCTCAAGTTGTGAATTTTTTAACTTTTTATTCTTATATTAGGAAACTGAACTCAATATGGTCTGGTTTATCTAGTAACTTTATTCGTGACTCATCTATTCCAGTCAAACAATCCTTGAATCCATCCCAAGGAATTAACAAGTTACCACAAATGTTAAAATCAAAAGCAATAGAGAGAACTAAAACTTGTAGAATACATAATTGGCTTGCTTTACAGTTAATCAAACAAAATCCTGTAACTGTTATGGTAAATAATACAAGACATGAATTACTTTCAAAAAAAGATACTCATGAATTTGCAAAGTTGCTATTTTGGGATATAGTTCACAATACAGACAATATAATAAGTTGGAATAGTGAATTTATAAAGTTTAAAAGAAATGAATTTTCGAAAAATATGTCTAATATTAATAATTTAGATTGTAATCTTGAGTCAGTTATTGTTCGCGATAACCCTACTTGTAGTGACCAATTTATGGGTAATTCTACAACATTACCTTTAAATATAAATGAACAATCGATTTATCCTAATTCTCCTAGTATGGATAATATATATGATATTACTACAAATCCAAATGAAATTACAACAGCTTCAACAAATACTATAAAAACTCCCCAGCCCTATACTCCTTCAATATATGCATCATCTATATCTTCTTTATCATCACTGCTATTTGCAGATAATAATTCAAACGAGGAAGGAGCTATAAATACTTATAGATTTAATAGTGAAAATTACTTATCTCCTGTTAGTTCAAATGGAATTCAAAGTAAAGAAATCAACTGCAATATGTTTCTGTCATCTAAAATACCTAAGAAACAACTCCATAGATACATTACTAAGGAGGTACTTGAAGTCTTATTTCCTAACGATCATGAGATATTCATGAAGCTTTTTAATATAGATGGTCATGAGAAGTAAGTTGAATCTTTTTACAAATAAATACAATATATATTTAATTATTTACTAATCTCTATTTTTTTCACAAATTTAGAATAACAGAGAGTGCATTTATCAGAGGTTTTGTATCTACATATGAGCAAAGGAAAAAGCTTATTAGTAATATTGATGGTCAAAGAGGAATTACCAATGTTTTAAGGGTAGGTCAAGTTATTAAATTTTGAAATTGGTTTTTCTTAATATTTATTTAATTTATTTCATGAATCTGGAATCTTGCCTTTTAGAGAATGTTATCTGTATTTTTGTGGTTCTTCACGATTGTTATTACTTTAATAGTAATAGGAGTCAATATCAACACTATCTTTATATCTGGAGCAGCATTATTGACTACTGTAGCTATATCACTGAGTCATATGTATAGCAGTTTTTTTACTTCAGTTATTTTTATAGTATTTCAAAATCCTTATAATATTGGAGATCGTATTCGTATCAATAATGATAGAGCAATGTATGTTAGAAAAATTGGAACATATTGCACAGTATTCTCCACATTACATGACCAGCCTGTAAGTAAATTTTGGCTTCATAACTTTTTAATATATTATATTTCAACTTTTTTTTTCATGTAGGTTACATATCCCCATACTTGGCTAGCAGAGCAAGCAATTTATAATGAGGGAAGATGTCACCAAGCTACTCTTGAGATTGTATTTCGTATATCTTCTGAAGCTAGTCCATTTGCAATCCAGGTAAGTAATCTATAATTCTGAAAGATGAGCATATGCGAAACAAAGATAATGAATAAATTTTGCTCTAAAATATATTCACACTGTGTAGAACTTCAAAAAGGAAATGGAGACTTATGTAAACAATAGACCAATGGAATTCGTAAAAGATTCGCTTTTTTTTTATTGCTACTCAATACAACCAGGACACTATGCTGAAGTTGCAGTTTGGGTAACTCATGTGGAGCCTTGGAGTAACAGTAGACCACTTTGGGAATCTCGTACAAAACTAAATTTTTTTATTCTCAATACTTTAAAAAAGCAAGGAGTTAATTATATGCAACCAGTATTACCTATTTCTGTGGGCGAAAAATATTGATCACAGATAAGGGTAAGGAATTCAGATTTTACCGCAAAGGTGTTTATTTTTTTTTTACTATCAGCTAATTTTATAAGCGAAGGCTTGGGATTTCTGATATTAATAAGATCATCTCTATATATCTACGGAATATAAATCTTACTTATTTAGACTTATAGCTCATAAATATGACCGATGCTGAAGATCCTAGTAATACATTAATGACATATGTAGCTGTTTCTCTACATGAAGCTTTTGAAGAATTCCAAAATGAAGCTACTACAACCTTAAGGATAGCTAGCGATGAAACAATAGAGAGAACTCTAGAGAAATATGTAAGAACTATAAGAGATATTTTTGGCGATAATTTCAATAGAATCGGCTGGATTTTCGATGACCAATCTCAAATTGACAGTTCGATGGATATTTTTTATTTTAGTGCTTATATTTATGAATTATTTTACTCAGTTTACTATTCGCAACCTGATGAATTCTCTCTAAATTTGTTTAAGTGGTATTTAAAATATGGGCTTTATGATTGCTCTTCCAAAATAATTAGCTCATTAACACAAGCTGCAGATGAATACTTGGAAGGAAATGAAAATTTACAAGTTGATAACCACTTTGGTTCAGAATCCCCTACTAAGATATGTTATGGTTCCAATGACTCAGTTGAAACAAGATTAACAAATTTATTAATAAGAACTTTATTGCTAGGAGAGTTGGGTATATTTACTTCAACACTAAGAAACATTTTTCCAGAAGATCATAATGTCGTTGCTTTGTGTCACCTACTTACTATCAATGATTTAAAGTATAAATGTCCAAAAACTAAGCTATCCAGTGATTTATTAAGCTTGAAAAACCAGCTTCCACCACTTGTACGTCCATGTATCGATGCATTTACTGGTGATGGACATATTATTCAGCAGGTAGCTAAATCATGGTTAGAGGCCTTTGTTTTTTCAACTGTATATGTTAATGGAATTAGTATTAATAATTTTTCAGAGTTTTTGGATGTATACATGGAATTTAGAAAGGAAGTTTCAGATAATCAAACAAATATTGAAAGTACCAAATCTATAGACTGCAAAAAGAAGGCTTCTATGATAAACTATCAACCAGAAAACGTATTACAACATGAACTTGGTGCTTTATATTTACTTTCCAAAGATATCACATCTTTTGTACAGCATATTTATAATAGCCCAGATTTTTATGGTCCATTTTTGGCTACTCATATTATTGATCCTTTGTATTATGAAGGTCTACTTGAAGATTTAAAATTAGAAATGAGTTCAATTAAACTAAGATGTCGTGTAATTATGGACTATTCCATTTGGTTAATTGAAACAGATATTTGTGATCCAGCCATATACCTTCAAGAATGTTGTGAATGTGATGAACTATCTGAAGATGTTCAGAATGCCCTACTAAAACTGTCTAATAAAGTCCCATTATTAGCAGATCAAGTAACTACTGAATTTGATCTTGATGATGATCAATGCTCAGTAGTACCAGCAGTACTATGTGAACAGTGCCAAATATATGATCTTTGTATTAATTGGTCATCTGATGAGTCCATTACTACATTTTTGAAGTTAATCCGTATATTTATACCAGAAATAATACATAATCAAGATTTGCAAATTCGACTTAAAAGGCATATATTGATTGATAGATTAACGCAAATTAATATTCTGTATTCCAATCCAAATTTTTTTTCAGATATGAAAGAGCTCGTGCTATATTCTTTATACTTAGAGAGGCTTATATTACTCATGGAACTTTGCATACTTGAAACCTCAAATAGTCCCTCATTAAGTAAATTCCAAGGAGCATCGTGGTCCCTAATTGAATCTTCGCTTAATATTCCATTATCTTATATTTTGATCATAGATCAGGATGGTAAATATAAATTCCAATTACCTGAAGCCTCTAAACAAGAATCTCTTTCAATCCAAGAATCTTTAAAACAAAATAATCCAAGTAACTTATCTACCTATTCAGGAAATGAGTCTAAATTTATTTTATTTTTTTTTACACAGAAAGGTATAATTAAATCACTATTTTACTTTTTCCCAGAAATCATCTCTTCTCCGGAAAATCCAAGTTTACCTCCATACTTTAGTTCAATTTACCTTTTTGGTCAAGAAATATTTCCAATACTAAGGAATTTGATCAATTTACCATGGGATAGAAAATTGGAAACTTGGATTTTTAATATTCAATCTGAGTCTAATGCATGCAATTTTTTTGCATGTAATACATGCACACCAGTAGTAAGTAAAAGTTTTAGACTAAATACAGATAAAGCTTTTAATTTCTCTAACTTGAGAACTGAAACTAGAAAAAGTAACTTAATCCCAAGTGATTATGTGATATTAATACAAGAAAGTATAAATAAATTATTTGGAATAAATACTGAGCAGATACCTGCCATTTTGATTTCAGTATATTGTTATTATTGCTTGTTTTGCCTAAGCAATACAGAAATTAAGAAGATTTCCCCTACATATATGGTGAATAAATTTAATTATAATTGGTTGGATGTGAAATTTGCATCTTTGGTAAAAGATATATCACATCCTTTGATAAGGAATTTTGATTATATAGGTAGCCTTACTTCCAGCATATCCGAAAAGTTATATGATGCAAAAATAATTTGAATTGGACATAATATTATGTACATAAGTCTATGATAAGATAGAAACTAACTAGCTTTTTTCATATAAAGAAAAGTCCGAATTTAGTTAGATATTTATACAAAAAAAAAGTATTTTAATGCATCTTCAACTTGAGAAGTCTTATTATTTATATTGCATATACTAAATGGAACTATAAATGATTATTTGAGCTCGAAGTGTTTAGAAATATTTAAGAATAAATAAGTTAATTTTATAAGAATGTGCATTAGAAGCTTCAGCGGAGAATTGTAAAAACCTAAATATTATTATTGAATACAAAAATGATTATAAGCTGATTTTAATAAATTTAGTTGTTACTATAAATAATTTGGAGACTTACTTATAATTAGATAAATCAATAAGTTATTGTAATTTATGAGTGTAGAAAGCAGAAACTTATAGAAATGACATGTAATACTTGGATTCAAAAATATTTTTGATCAATATTATCCGACTTAAGTGTAAATGGAAAGATCTCAAGAGCTTTATTTTCATTATGAATTATAATACTTTCTATTAATAGTATGCGACTTGAATAATTTATGATAATGTTTTTACTGAATTGAGGAACTTACACTAAATTTAAAATGGGACTATACATGTGTAATAAAACAAGTTATTGGAAATTTTGGAATTATCCAATGATGATGGTATCAAGTTAAACTATGATATATTATTTTGATGAGCAACAAGTCTTTAAGTGTACAATCTTTGTGCAGTTAAACCTTTAAATGATACTGTAGAGGACTACCACAGATAAATTGGAGAACTACAACCTCAGACACTGTTGATAGATTTATATTGCTAAACTTAATGGTAGCTTGATTCATTGAGAAGCTTATTTTATATTAAAGCATTCCGGTAAATATGGAGACAGCTTTTGTACAAATTTTAATTAACTATTTGCTAATATAAAACTGAAAATCTATAATATTACTATTTGAAATGAAACTTGAAGTTTATAGAATATAAAGGTGGTTTTTAACTCATACTTATGTAGAAAATTTCGCAGCTGAATAATAAACAAAGTAATTTTGGTATTTGCAATTGGAATTTAAGCACTTGAGCGCCTATTTTCTTTTCAATATTGTAAATATTATCTTAGTGGAATAAATAATTCATAACAGAAGTCATCTTTAATTTGATTTCCGGAGAGCGTTAGGTAATGACAAAGAATAAGGATGGTTCAGCATCGGCAGTTCTTAAAAAAGGATATAAGGCATCTTCTAGTGAAAGCAAGCAATCGAAGAATGGAATGTCTGGATTAGATATGTATATGAATCAATTTCCTGGAGCATTACTTCCTAAAACACAGATAATGGGTTGTGAATATCGTCAGAAAATAGGTACCCGTGGAGTAGGAATCCCTTTACTTAAATTACCTGAAGGTATGAACCCATCAGACTCAAGCCTGATAAGAATTTGGCGTCCAGCTGTAGTTATTCACTGTCGTAAGAAACGAGGAAACAAAGTTAGTGAAACTTCCTCAGATGTCACAGCGAGCTATGACTATTATATACATTGGGAGGGTACTGATAGACGTTTAGATTGTTGGCTAGCCTGGGAATCGCTACGTGTTATACCAAACGATTACCTTCCTCTTCCACATAGTAAACCCAATTATGAAACCTCAAACGAAACCTTGGATGAACAAACCGGTTTAAAGCTAACTCATAATGCTTTGTGTATAGCAAAGGAGGATGTGATTATATGTGAAATTCCCTATTACCATGATATTGCCCATGATGGAATGGACGAAGAGTACCTTAAAGAACATGAGGAACTAACTAAAGTTAAGACAATTGGAAAAATTGCTATGGGTTCTTATATGGTAGATACATGGTACTACTCTCCATATCCAAAAGAGGTTCAAAATAGCGATATTTTATATATATGTGAATATTGTCTATCTTTTTTTCGCTATCCCAGCGAATATAATAGACATCAAAAAGGGTGCTTTATGTTTTATCCTCCTGGTAATGAATTATTACGTTGTGATGGATTATCAATGTTTGAAGTTGATGGTAGATTAGCCAGAGTATATTGTGAAAACCTCTGCTTTCTTTCTAAACTTTTTTTAGATCACAAAACACTTTATAATTCAGTACACTTATTTTTGTTTTATATCCTAACAGAATATGATGAGAATGGATATCATATTGTCGGATACTTCTCAAAAGAAAAATTCAGTAAGAATAATCTCTCATGCATAATGATTTTGCCACAATATCAACGAAAAGGTTATGGAAAATATTTGATCAATTTTTCATATTGTTTATCACATCTAGAACAAAAACCTGGGTCACCAGAGAGACCACTTTCAGATTTGGGAAGAGTCTCCTATATTGCATACTGGGGGTATATTTTGCTTCAACTATTGATTGATAATAAACAAAATGTGATATTATCGCATAAAAGTGGTCAAAATGAAACTAGTATACTTGGAAATTCAATTCAACAAGCTCAGTTCTTAGCAACAGCTAACCAAATACCTCAAAGGGCTACGAGGTCATCAACAAAACAAAAAGATAAGAAGAGTGCAGCTAATGAGAAACAAAGCAATTTGACATCAAATCAAGCTACTATAATTCCTGCTCCAAAGTTTATTACTATACAGCAACTAAGCGAAATGACTCGGATTGAGTGTAGTGACATTTTGATGACACTTAATGAATTTGGTCTACTAAAGTATTTAAGCAATGGTGAAAGCCTCGTATTTCTACCACTACATAAAATTCCAAAAATTCTCCAAAAAACTGGTAAACCAGCAACTCAGTTACATTTGTCACAGTTCTCCTATGTATCATATGAGAAATTCTTAGCACCTTTAGAATGTAACCTGACACCTTAAAGTAGAAATTTAGTGTCACAATTGCAATTGGTTTTATATTTAATATATCCTCAGTTAATCACTAATTATAGCTCCTTTTGTTTTTAATACTTTGTTTATTCTTTAGAGTTCTCTTCGGCGTAGAGTTGTGTAATCTTAATAATTGAATAAGTAGAATGGCTCCGAATATATTGGCTGTTCCCGTTATTATTGCACCATGTATATCACCTGAAAAGGCACCATACATAGCTGAATAAGTTAAAGTAAGATGAGCAGGGGCTTTAAGAGTCCTTGCAATTATTACCAAATTTGTGTTTGTGAACCAAGAAAGTTCAGCTGCTCCATAAAAGTGGGATCCAGCTCTACAAACTATACTAACCCCAAGACTGTATACAAAAGACAAAAACAATTCTACAAAAAATGTATGTATAGGATAATTAATGAATGATTGATTTCTTAAAGATTGGAGTAGTGACTCATCTAATATTTGCAAATCATTTAACATATAGTATAGTAAATAACCAGCTAAAATACCTCCAAGTGAAGATGAAATAACTGAGATTATCATTGTAGAAAAACTTGGATATTTTCCAAGATAAAAGTTTATTATAGAATAAGTTGGACATACTTCATAACCTCGATAGATCATTTTACCAAATATGAATGATGCAGAAAAACCAAGTAACCGAGTTTGGTTTGATATTTCCCACGCTTCTAACCAATTGAATAGTGCGTTTATAAATTTCACAAAATTATAATATTGCAAAAATGGGAAAATACTTAAATTACTAAGTATATTCATTAGATACTTATGACCATAATCTTCAAATATCAAGGGCCTTAAAATCGGTCTAAATAATGTTAAATATATGTAAAAGAAACAGCTTTCAATAATTGATGCAGACCAAAATATATACATATTATATGACGGTAAGATATTAGTTAGTTCAGAAATGGAATGTTGTAAATAATGGAGTCCATTTGCCATAGTACCTTCTTCTACTTCAGTATTAGCCTTGTTATACTGAGTAGATCCCTTCGTCTTCTTCTTTTCAGCTGCCCTCCTTCTAGTAATAGACATGAAATCAGTAATATTGTTCAACCTAATTTTGACTTAATGTCTAGTTTCAGTATATAATCCCCCGGTTAATCTAATGTATGCTAAATTATCTTGCAACTAGCACCACACCTATTTATTCCACAATATAGACATACAGTGGTGTATTACCCCCCTTCTGTCCCCCATTAGTATTTAGATTCTAGAAAAGTCCAAGAAGATTTTCTCCTCAAGAAGATCATCTAGATTATCTAAAATTAATATCTACCCTATTCTTTGTATACCCTCCAATTAGTTATGTAAGTAACTTTACTTTTTATAGAAATTATTCTATATCCTTATCCTGCTGATCTTGGATCTTCACGAAAAAAGGAAAGAGTCAGCAAGAATATATCCCCACATATTAAGAAGTACTAAAGTATCTATATCTTTGAAATTGAAGTAGCTTGAAAGTAAATGACTTCTATTGAGCTTAGAGTTTTGTCTTAGTATAATGGTGTGTGGCGCTGCAATCTGCAGCGGAATTATACATAGGGGAGTAGGATAACTTAACCATAAAGTTGATGGAAGATAATGACATCGTTATTCCAGGCCAGAGGATAGCCTTGGAAAGTAGCAATACAAGAGAGTCTCCAGGGGTTTACAGAAGTTTGGATGGAACGACTTATGCCTCAATAGTATGCTTAAAGTCATCTCTTGGAAGTATTCAAACTCATTATTCTATAGGATCTATTGTATTAGGAGTTGTAAGTAGAGTACTTCTACGAAAAGGCGTGGAAATAAGATTAGTTGGGAATATAAATAAAGGTTTAAAAGTTGAATATGATAGTATATTTGGTTTACTACGACCACAAGATATTGGTTGCTGGAATATTGGTAAACATAGTGAAAGTACTGATTCAGGTTTGATAGGTGAACATTTAGAATCTATAGGATACTACTGGATAAATGACTGCTATAGACCAGGGGATATAGTTAAATGTACAATTATAAGCGTAAGTCCCCAGATATTAGTATCAACTAATCAAGTAGATTTAGGATGCGTATTTACACCATGTACGGCTTGCAATGGAGAAAGAATGGCATATCCGATATCCTATAATACTGTACTTTGTAAAGATTGTAAAACGCCTATGCTACGGAAAACTTCAAGACCTTGCTTTTAAAGATCATCTTTATATTTTGTGTACTAGAAATTGATCTTATCCTTTAATATATGCCTTTGTCAAAAAACTTAAATAAATCCTTATTGGGTGCAAAAAGTAGCTTCTGTGGTATTTGACTCTCTTCATTGTTGATTAAATATGTCATATTATCATTCAGAATATCAAAGTATATTTCTCGAGGTATACAAAAGCTATCATTATTTTCTGTAAGTTGATAAAAAAGAACATAAGCTGTACTATAGCCATTAGTATGTGAGTCTAATTGAGACTCATGGAACGAGGATATCTGTAGATCATTATACTCTGTCCACATTGAACTCTCACTATTTGAATAATTCTTACCAATTGTAAAATAATGTCCTGAATGAGGTGTATGACCTTGATGAACTATTACGGAATATAACTCATAAATTTTAATATCATTGGAAGTTGTTGTTTCCGTTTCACAATCTGAATTCCTTCGTTCCTTGTAGTCTTCTTGATTATGATCCTCGAAGATCCAACCATCAATGGAATCATCAGCATGATAGACACATGTTGAATACATTGTAAGCTTTTTGTCTAACTTAACAAATCTGCTGATCTTACGCTGAACATTCTGATTTGGTAAAAACTCAAATCTATTAAGAACTATGATAAGAATATGAGGAGGCTTATGAATAAGATATCTTCTATGTGTGTTCCCCAAAATACCACATGAGTTACATCTATAATCAGGCAGAAGTTCGGGTGAAAAATAACTAGACAAGAGTTGAAGAACATTTGTGGGAGTATACTTTGAATCACTTTGTTCTTGACAATTATATTTGTCCGAAAATATAGGGTTTGAAGTAGGATAGGTTTTCTCAATATCACTTTTTAGAATATTTATATTATTTTCAGGTTGATACAGAGCTGAATGTATATTATCAACATAATTTTTACCATCTCTATTCCAACAATAAGTATTTTTGTCTGTAGTAGGGGAGTTCATCACAATTGTATTTCCTGAAAAGCTTGTATAATTAAATTCTGATCCACTATCTACCCTGCTATATATCCCATCATGCTTATCTTCTAAATTAGATAAAACAGATGTCATTGTTGCTGTGGCTACTGTTGTATTTGAGTCTTGTGTAGAACCATCTGATAAATCTTGGTCATTGATAATGGTTGAAGTTGAGGAGGAAGAAGTTATAATTTCTTGAATTATATCTATACAGTAATCCTTAGATTTTGAGTTACATTCACGAGATGAATTTGAAAATGTATCACATTCTTGAAATTCTTTTGGAGTTAAGTCTAAATCTTGAATTTTAATTACCTTTGACCAATTACTACTTCTATTATTTACTGCGAGCCCTATATCCATAAACTTTTCTTTATGATAACTTTCATAGGTACAATTATTGCATACTAACATACTAATCATTTCACCCCCAAATGTAAATTGCGGAACATCTGTATAACTCACTTCACTCATTTCTCTTTGTTTAGCTTCTTCAGAGATATTGTTAGAACAAGCCAACTGACTCCATAATAAATGAGCATACTCTGTTACATCATGTTGTTCCATGCAAGTTTCCAAAGGTATTAGGAATTTCATTTGGGAAATATTAATGCTAACTCGTTCTGAAAGAGTTAAATAACACAAAACTTGTAATAATTCATAAGCTACATCATTTTTATGCAAATATGGAGTAACTTTTAAGTAGCCAGAAGAAAGGATGTTTTTAGTATTATCAGTCGTAGAACCCAAAGAAGGTATACAAATTAAGGTTTGTAAACTATTTGGATTATTTTTAAGGATCCATGTTGACGAATATGATAAAGTAGATATAAATAGTTTTGTCAAATGCAAAGCTTGTAACAAACTAGCAATATAACAGGTGTTACCCATATTTACTATTCCTACTCCCCGTTTACTATTTGACAATTTAGCTGTAAAGTCCTCGGATACATAAGGTTCACAAGGAGAATTTAAATTCTTTGAATTTATATCAGAGTATTTACAAGTATTACTATCAAAATAATTGATCTGTTTATTTTTGAGATTTAACCATAAATTACAAAGAGAAGGTGAATACTTTTGACATCCAGTATAGAGTGAATTGCTAAACAACTTTGCATAACGTAGTTTATATTCCTCTCCAGCTATTGTTAATGAATTAGAAATTCCATTACAAGTCAACTCTGAAGACATATATCTTAATAAATACTCAAGTGCCTGATTATTTTGTAACTTATCGAGTATCTTAGATGCAATAATACTCAATATTTCAAATTTATCCTGCTCCTTTCTTGGTAATTCTTGATAGTTACACAATGATTCTAATGGCCAAATACAACACAGAATTCCAATGAAAACTTGGATATTTATTATTAAAGTGTTTGAATAAGTGTCTAGAATTCTTCTTAATGTATGTACTGCGAAGTCTAAATCCGAGTTACTTATTATATCATTATTAGAAATAATACTACGACATAACAAAAAAAATATCAATATTGGAGCCCTTATTATACTCCAATATTCACTTGAATGTTCCTCATATCCTAATTCTTTATAATTTAGAAGAGATCTTATTAGTGGTATTATAATATTTACTCCAATAAATGGTGCACAAGATGCAACACTAGTCCAATGCATCTGATCCAATGGTTTTTTCTCATTTTGAAGTTTATTTGTATAATGAAAAGAATTATTTCTAACTAAATAAATCCAAAATTTTGCAATTTCCATTATTGTCTTTTGAGATAAAAAATGGGATACTGGATATTTGTATAAATTCTTCATAGTCTCATAAAATATACCCAAATCTTTCAACTTCTGAGTTTTATTTGTGGTTATTAATAGCTGTATTAGGAAAACACGCCAATTTTCACAGACGCATACTGTATTAGTATAATTTCTATATTTTTGTGAATAATTATTTTCCTCAGTATAACAATATTTGGAATGTTGATCTGAAGATAGAAACATATCAAAAGATTCATATTCAATATATTTAAAGACAATTCCAATTATTTGATGAAGTGAGTCATTATACTCAAAAATATAGTAAATAGAATCATCGAACAAACCAAATGTATTACCTAACATATCCCACAATCTCTTTATATATTCTCCTTTTTCCAAGTTTATATCAAGATCTGTATTTTCTAAAGATCCAGTAAAAAATGAAGTTCCTAATATTAAAAAATTGCATATTATGTCAAATATACTATTTTTATCAATAAAACTGTAGCATCTTGCTATGATAGACTTGAGTGAGGCACTATGCAGCATACATATAAGTTGCAGTGCAAATTCCTGTTTTGATATCTGATCATATTTATCACTAATTTGAAAAAGCTTTTTTATAAGTACAGAGTCCTCATATACAGATACTTTTGATCCCCAAGAGTTAAATAAGTATTTAAAGACTTCATTTTGTGCACACTCATCCAATTGTCCATATATTTTTAAATAATAAGATATACTATAGTTTGGTAAATTTGAATGCTCTCTAAGACAATCTACAAGCTGCTCAATTTCCATTTCAAGGTTGTCTCAGCTCACTTTATATTACCAGAAAGATATTTGCATATTTAGCGCTAATTTGTTGTATATTTTTGATTTAGCGTCACAAGTTTAAGACCTCTAAAATTAGAGTTTAATAGATCGAACTTGTCTAACAATAATCTGTCTCAATAATACTATAAATGTATATATTTGATTATTCATATAATATGCTTTTAATATGTCCCTAAACCTGTGTGTAGAACCATCTCTTTTGAGGCTTCAGAAAGAATTTGAACAACTGGATTTACCTGACTATTGTATATTGCGTATTGGAGATGAAAAATATATAGAATTAAGTGGTCAAATAGAATATTATGATTTTGATCTAATAGGTGATCTTTTAAGTAAATATAGATGTTTTAGTGTATATATAACTCCACAAGAAGGTTACTGGAAAAATAGATGTATAGAATTTAACTTTAAGATACCACCTGGATATCCTCATGTAGCTCCAAAAGTAAAGTGTTTAACGAAATTATTTCACCCTAATATAGACGAAAATGGCAATATATGCTTAAATTGCCTACGTGAAGATTGGAAACCTATACTTTCAATAACTATAATAATATGTGGATTATTAAACTTATTAATAGAACCTAGTACTACAGATCCTTTAAATAAAGAAGCAGCTGATATAATAAATATTAACCCTATATTATTCCAAGAGACTAACAACAAATTATTTAATATATAGAAAAAGATAAAAATCATGTCAGTCTAGATTTTATTAAGTAAGGTTTTATATAATTTAATACTCTATCAAGACTTTCAATGCTCCTTGCTCCTGCCATTCCAATTTTCCCTGAGAAGTGAACAGTTAATGTTACAATTTCAATTTTCAATTTAGATCCATTATTGTATTGAGATGCCAATGTCTTTTTATGTAAATATTCTGGGTTACACTCCTTATCATTAATATAATCTGGAGGGATTCTAATTTTTGCACCTGGATTTCTTTCAGGTTCATAATCAACATAAATATAATTACTGCATAATAACCTTAAGTTTATTGGAAATCCAGCATCTACAACTGCTTGAATATTATGAACTTCGAAATTGAGTAATTTTGCTTTATTCATTCCTAAACACCTCAATTTTATTATCAATTTCTTCATAGAAACTTTTGAAGCAGCTACTGTAGCTCCTCCAGTAGCTTGAAGTTTTCCATTTGAAAATACTGATATAGTTACAATACTATTAGATTTTAAATGTTGAATATCAACTCTAATATAATAATTTAATTAATTTTATTATAAATTTCTATTAAATCTACTTACCTTGCTGCAGGAAATTCACATGGTTCATAGTAAGTGTTCCCAAATGATTCTACAAACCAATCTAAGTCTATATTTATTCCTGAATAAGCACTAGCCATTACATTATATATATTTAAAACCATAGGTTGACTAGGAATCTGAACTTCAATATTAGACACAAATTCTTCATCACCATCCATATTTATAAAATCCCTTTCATTTTTTATATTCATTAATCTTGTTATTCTTTATTTCAAAAAGAAAAGAATACTTATAAATTACACGTAAATATATTGAATTGTCTTTGGCGCATGTTTAGGACGAATCCCCAAAATATTATATTGTATTTATCACTGTAACTTTGAAGGTACTCTTGATTTTCTTTCAACTCTAGCCATAGGAGTTCTATCAATCAATAGATCTTCATTAGAACTATTTGCACTTGCTGAACTTATTGGGAGTTTATTATAACTAGTATATTGTTTGTAAGGTATATTTGAGGAATAACCTTGTTGACTATTTATGTAGATATTAGCTTCATTATTTTCATTATTGCTACCATTAAAATTAGAATTGGCTTCTACTAAACAAGGGACTATACTAGGAGCTGAATAATGTTCTTGTAATAGCTTTCTACTTTTATTCTCTATATTTATTGAAGCATTACTAAATAAATCATCCTGTTTTAGTCTAATGGGAGATGATGTAGCTGTTGGAAGTGGATAAACTGATGAATTGATTTTAAAATTCTCATTTCTATAAGAGGTAGATATTTGCCCATCCACTTTTGAAGTATAATTATTCATATATGTAGAATTTGCAGTTTTAGGTGTTGATAATAATCCACTTTTAATTTTATCTTTAGTATATTTATTTAAAGAGAGCATTTTCATTGCAAGAATATATCGTTTTTTCACAATATCAATCATATCATCAATAGAATGATATTTCACAATACTATTAGTTTTTCCATTCATATCAACTATATAATGATAATACACAACACAGATATCTTTGATAGTTTCTATTGAATCAATTTGATAATCTGCTATTGATTTCTGAATTATATTCCAAACTTCTTTGACTACATAAGGTATATAAGAATAAATCTCATCTATATCGTTTTTGTATTCACTAAGTATACTATTTGAGTTAATACGTTTCTTATATTGTCCCTTAAAATCTTCATACATTATACGATATATACGATGATATAATTTTATTAGTTTTTGGATTTTCTCTTGAATTTCATCTACAGATATACCAGAATCTAATTTGGTACTACTATCTTCTGCATTCATAATTTCATGACTTAAAATACAATCTAAAGCAAAAGTTAACATAAATTGATCCATTGTTTTAATAATTATTAAGTTTCCAAAAGATTTCACTTCATTTGGATCCATTACAAACATTTCATTATGCTTCTTTATAATTGTTTCAGTAATATTCATATCTGTAGTTATATTCTCATAAACTAATTGTTCTAAAAATGTAAAAGAAATTGTTATTTGCTTAGCTTGAATTTTATTTAAACTAGACTTCTGATCCTTATTAGCTGCAGAAATTTCAGATGATAAATTTGCAACTCCATCTTTAATTTTTGAATCTTTATTATCTATTAATTCTTGTTGATCCTTCATTACTTGTAAATTTGAATATTTAAATACATCAATAGACATTGGATAATGATCATTAGAATATGTAGAATGAATATTTGGCATCAATGTATGTTGTAAACTAGTTAGATTCATTTCATTTAATTCAGAATTCTCCATTACAGGTTCAAGAACTTCATGTCTATATCCTCTTGGACTTATATCACTATTTAGTGATGTTTTTACAACTTTTTTCTCCCTATAAATTCGAGATGTATTAACATTTGATTGCACTGGTAATACCTTAGGTATCATTGAAATTAAAGATTGGCCCATAGATTGTACAGATTTCCCAAGTGTCTGCCCTATAGGTTGTAGAGATCGTCCAATATTTTGTAAAGATTGTCCCAAAGTTTGTAATGGTTGCATATTCTTAATATTTTGCACTGGATGCATCATCTGTGTATGCCTTCTATCTTGAACATTCACATTATGTATTTGTCCCATAGGCCTTACTTGATATACATTTTGTGATATTACTGGGGAAATCATAGATACAGGAATTCCAGATACAGGAACTGGAGATCCTAAAGATATCCCTGAAGGTGTTGATATAGAATAATTTAATCTATTTTGATATATTACTGGATGGGGAACATAAGATCCTGAAAATCTTACAGGGGTATTTTCAGGATTTACTGGAAAAATTGGGACAGGTGGTATTACAGGAATATATGAAACCTGGTTATTATTAATTCCACTATATAGAGGATTAGCTACTGATGATATTGTTTTGGTTAAAGATTCATTTAATATATTATTATTTACTTCTTTACTCTTAATATTACCATCATCACAAAATGTAGATGATCTATGAGTATTCATAGATATCTCTACATTCGGCTTCTCAATATTTATATTTGATATATTCTCTTCATTCCTATTATATATACATTTCTTCTTCTTACCTTCAAATGATACTCGTAATAATTGGGATGTTCCTCTTAGTCTCCTTGTTTCTACCAATTTTTTTAGACTACTAAATTTTATTTTTTGATTATCTGATAAAGGATATGGTACTAGCTTCTCTCTATTTTCTGCTGGATATTGAATATCAGTCATTAAATTATACCAATCATTAGAATCCCAGTAACCTTTAGAATTATTATCATAGTACAAATATATTAGTTGAAGTCTAAGCATCCCTGCTGGACTACTTGTAGAATGAGGTGTTGAATTATCCATTAAAGCAGCTAAACACATAAATTGTGATCCATTTATATAATCTCCTCCACTCATAATGGAGCATAAATCCCCCCTTTCTGTCAAAGACTTTATACCCCCACGAATTGTGTAGCAACTCTTACCTATATCCAACAAAAGATCTATTAAATGTTTTCTATCTAGACCTTCATTTATACCTGCATATTTACGAAAACACTTCATTACTCTTTCAAATTTATCACTAGGCCACTGTAATTCAGCCCATAGGGAATTATATTCATCATCTTTTATATCCAACATTCCTTAAAATGCTGCACTACAAGCTTTAATTTGTTTTATTTTAATTTCTTTCCTCCTCTAACTTCTCAAATTTTCTTAAGTATTTTTAAAAGAAGAGAAAAAAAAAGGAAATAAGGAAAAAACCCCACATACGCATCATCTACATTTATTCCGTCAAGTGGACAATCGTATTAAAGTAATAATAACATTCTAGACGACTATTTAGGCCATACAAAATCCTGACAGGCTTAGAATGAAGTTTAACATCTGTATATATTACTAAAACAGATGAATTACTAAGTATCTAATTTTTTAAAAAAATCTATACTAATTCTATATTAGACATATACACTTTATACTAGTAATAGTTGTTTCCATTTTCCTAAAAATTTAGGTAATCGAAATTCCAATATAAAGTTATATCAAATAAGGTGTAAAAGCTCTAGCTAATTACAATTCAATGTTATAAATCTGTAAGTATTTTGTAAAGGTGGGGAGGAATTGTCACTTTTTTATTAGTTATATCTAAGCGCCGTGTACCCTATTTTTTCTTTTTTTTTTTTTACTTTTTAAAGGCCAGGAAGAGTTTGACTGATTTATTTTATTAATATTTAAAATGAGTGAGCGAAATAAGAGTGTCCTTGGTAGATATACAAATGCAGATATCTTTGAGAAACTCTTTGGGATTGACCAGAGGTTTATTTTAAAGGCTTTAAATATTACATGTCTATTTCTATCTATAGTATCATTGATAATGACTATAATAGCCTATAAATATGAGCAATTTCTTCATGTGAAGCTATTAGCTATACTTACGATCCTTCTATCTGTATTTTCAGTATGTGTCATGATGTAAGTTTACCGATGAGTACTTTTTAGTCCTGATGACTTGATCTGTTCTCTTTTAGTTTCATACCAGAATTTGAGAGATGTCTAGGAGAGTCTGGGGGTGTGGGCGTACCTCCTAGGGGTACTAATGATGTGACTGGGAGTAATCCTAGCTGTGCATCGTCAGATCTACTGACTAGGAGGAAGGTTCAGTAGCTTGTGGTTTGGTTCCTAGTGGTGTACTGTTACGTTTGACTAGTTTGGTTAATAAATTAGCGATATGTTGACTTATTGTTGGCAGCTACTCAATAAGTAGCCGCCGCTGACAGAAATTTTGCCGTTGGATCCGGTATAATACCAGTCCATAACCCTTCACAGACGGCGGAGTGCAGTGCCCTGCTCAGGATTACGACAGGGCCATTCATGAGCGACCCCGAACGCCGGCCAGGTAAGTTTAGGGGGGGATTGTACTGTATGACTATACAGTAAATTTACACAACAATATGATGGTTATGTTATTTTACCGCCTTAACTTTTGTTTTAGGGAATATAACTTTTAGAATTAAATTTCCAAGTGGGTAGTGATTTTAATATATGATAAATCTAAAATGAAGAGGAAGAATATTAGTGACGATATAGAATTAAGACAAGGAGGGAAAGAATTCACTAATAACTTAAAGTGGAAGGAAGTTGTAATAGACCCTAGATTAATATCAAATTTGACCATCCATGGTGTTAGCTTTATAGAAGAGCTTATTAATCCAGAAGATATAAATATATATAATCCAGTAGGTGAAGACAAATGTTTTAGTGAAGGAGAAAGGAAAAAAAAAGTAAAGAAAGGTACTATTAAGAAGCAATGCAGTAAATCTATTAAGGATTTTATGATAAATGTTAAAGATAAGATTTTACATCCTGATGAATATTGGGAGGAATATGGCTACTTGAGAGAATCTTTAAAAAATTGGGTAGATATTATTGAAAGACATACTTTTAATTTTAATAATGTTAAGGAGAATGAATGTTTATCAGATGATTTAAGAACTCCAAATATAGTTATACATCCAAGTATATTGAAAGGTATTGAGAAATTGGGATTTTTTAGTCCTACAAAAGTTCAAGAGATGTGTTTAATACCAGCAATACGTGATAGAAAGGATATAATAGCTACAGCTGAAACAGGTTCTGGAAAAACACTTGCATATGGTATTCCTATCCTTGTGAATATCATGTTTACTGAACAAAGACGAAGAGAAAAATTAGAGACAAAGTCTTTAAAATTTAATAGTTTAGAAGATAAATATATAAATAATTCAATAGATGATACTGATTATTTTGAGAAGATTTTAGATTCTAATGATAATGAAAATAATGAAGAAGTAGATGATACATTAGTGACATTGAAAGAGTTAGGTTTCAAAATAACAGAAATTTCAGGAGATATTGAACTAGATAAAAATGAATTTTATGAAATAGATAAACCATTACAAGCTTTAATTATTCTTCCAAGTAGAGAGCTAGCTTTACAGGTTAGAGATCATTTGCGTGCTGTAGGACACTTTACAGGATTAGGGATTCATGCATTTGTTGGTGGATTTTCTATAGAGAAACAAGAGCGTTTAATAATTCAGAATAAGGTTCAGATAGCAGTTGGTACACCTGGGCGTTTAGCAGATTTGATACTTAATAATTATAAAATAGAAGATATTGGAAAAAGTGAATTGGAAAGGAAAATGAACAAGATTTTATCTATAGAATATTTAAGGTTTTTAGTTTTGGATGAGGCAGATAGGTTAGTTGAACAAGGTCATTATAAAGAATTAAAATTAATTCTCGATAATATATATGAAGAGAATGGTCAGAAAAAGAAATTTAGAAAACCTATTCAGACATATATTTTTTCAGCTACATTAAATTTACCTGATAAATTACATCCAAGATTTTCTTTAAAAAAAAATAATAATAAGCATACAAAAGATGGAAAGAATAATGATCAGATAAACTCTGATTTAATTGGAAATACAGGTAAAGCAATGCAAAGTATTTTGCAATATATTAAACTTCAAAATGATAAGGTATTTGTAGTAGACCTATCAAGATTTAAAATAAGTTATAATAAAGATGAGAATATCGATGAAAATCATAAATATGTTCAATCTACAAGTGCTATTCATATTCCAAAAGGTTTAATGATTTACATGATTCGTTGTGATGAATTAGATCGTGAAATGAGGTTAGTTATGTATTTACTTGCTTATTTTACCCCCAAATGGAACTATAAATTAAAAGATGAGAAGGAAAGTAATTGTACTAATTGTGCAATATGTAATAAGGGCAAGATTTTATTATTTGTAAATTCAATTTCTTATGTATATAGATTATTACCACTTCTTCCACTAGTTTTATTAGGAAATGATATTCATTTGAAAAAGTTTACAGGTAATTTTAAAAGACCAAAGTGCAATTATAATTGCAAAGATAGTCTAAAGATATTGGGTATTCATGGAAATATCTCTCAAAAACAACGTGTTAAAACATTGGAACAATTTAGATATAGCAATTCAGCAATTTTGATATGTACTGATGTACTAGCTCGTGGATTAGATATCCCTGATGTTGAAGTTGTAATCCATTTACAACCTCCTAGGAATGCATCACTAATGATCCATAGAAGTGGTAGAACAGCAAGAGCTACTAAAACAGGTGAATGTGTTTTATTTTGTACTCCTAAGGATGTACCCCTTTATACAAAATATTTACGTGCAATTTCACAATCATATGAATCAATTGCTGCCCCATATCAGATCTCAAATATAACTTCTTTTCATATTTCTCATATACAAAATAGACTTGCTTTAGCTATAGAAATTGAAAATTTGGGTCACCTTTTTTTTAAAAAAAAAAAAAGTATGAATTGGATGATTGAAATGGCTAAGGAAGCTGATCTTGAACTTTCAGATGAGGAAGATTGTAGAAAGGAATTGAATCAGCTAGTAAATACTCAAGAAATTAAACAAAAGTATAAGCAATTAATAGGATTAATCCACTCTTTTGAAATTTAGGTCTTTAATTATAAATTTTAACTATATCACAAAACTGTAATTGACAAATTAATATTAAAGCTCCTATATAAATATATTCTGAATATTATGTAAAACTTTTATCTAAATAATATAGGGAATATTCCCAAACTCTTTGATTCTTGAGAATTAATTATTAGTATAAAAATTCTTGAATTAAATCTCTTATTATTTAAATGATTATGCAGATTTTTAAAATCCCCCAAAATATGAGTTACTTTATTTCAAATTTATATATTAAATTTTATCAACAATATTAACTATATTAATACTACTTATAGGGTTTTTCTGAAGAGTGGAAGCTAAAAAGCTTTTTATTGATTATCAGTTGGGTATATTTGTTTATAAAAACTCAAATTTAGATATAGAATATTTGAGTTCTATAACTACTACCAATATATTTGATTTTTTGTAAGTAAATAATGAATAACTTATAAAATGTCTTTTGTTATTGTACTAAATAGGTACTCAATTATCTTTTTTTTTTTTTTTAATTCTAGTTATAAATTTTATATTACTTCAACAAATAAAAAGAAAACTAGTAAAGACATTTAATCCTTAACATTAAATCATTCAATTTAAGTAGTAAATTTTTTAATATAAGATTCTCCAAAATTTTTAAATACTTCAAATTCACTTTATTAAATCTATTTATATTTCCACTACACTTTTATTTAAAAATGCCTACTATAACGATTTATTAATTCACTGACCATTTAAAATTTGATATTCATAAATACACTAAGTCAAATAAGACAGTATTTTTTTCAGATATATTTAATAGATTTTGGGAATTTATTGATACATAAAGCTAGATATATTTATCATTATAAATATTTAACTTTTTGAAAATCAAATTATAAAGATATTTATTTGTTAAATATAAATTAAATATAAAATTAAAAAACTTAAATGAATATGTTCAATCCTGAATTGTATATACAAATAGCAAACATTAAATTAAAATGATCGAAAATCATCACACTTTATATAAATCTAACATAAAATTATTTATCTTAAAGAGACTAAATTTCTTTAAACTAGCTTTCATTACAAACCATTAATATTTCTCTTATATTTAAGCTTTAATTACTAACCACAAAATAATCTAGTATATATAAGGTTAAAAATTTTAAGCTACTATAATTCTTTTATATTAAATTACTAATTTTCTACAAATAAAACATATATTTATACTTTATAGTATATTTGATTACTAAGGAATATCACCCTATTCATCTTTCTAAAAAAAAAAAAAGAAAAAAAATTTATAACATATTTTTAATTCCATCCTTTTCAAAAATGACTAGAAAAATAAGTTTTCATTATTTTCTTACTATTTTACTATCAAAAATGATCCTAAATTCTTCATATTTTTAATACATTAACTTCTTGGAAAAGTAATGTGTTAAAGTTTCAAATTACTTCCAAATATAGAATGTCAAAAAATATTATTTGTAGTATATATTAATTAGTATATGATTCTACATATATATATATTTAATTATTAATATATTCATAAATTGAATAATCATACTTTAAGCCTATTTTAACTTGACATTTGACCTACAATGTCAAGAGTATAAAGAAATCTATATAATAATAATAAAACATATAATTATACAATAATATACAAGTATTTAAGAGTAATATTAGAAGTTTTAAAAGATAAACTGATATTAAAAATATATAGAAATAAAATAAAACTATAATTAAACTTATCTCAATAATATTAAAAGACTTAACTATTTATTCTGGGTATAATTATAATATTATACTTTTAAAATCCCGTTATACCTAAAAGAAAATGTCTATTAATTATTAAGAACATAGAATAAAATTACTTTATAACTTATATTCTCTAAATAGATGTGTGAATACTTAAATTTCTTCAGTACTACAGAAATTTTATTTTTGTATAACTGTCAGTATATAGTATAATATACTTACTATTAAGTAATATTTGTTCCTAAACTATTAAATCCAAATAATACCATTATATAATTGTGACAATTGTTAAATTTCCCACTATAGCATATTATGATACAATAATCCGTAATTTCCGTAGTAATAATGAAATAAAAATGTATTCACGTATTTGGAGTAAAATATTTAATAATAAATGTTAACCTGCACTTTTAAAATTACAAATTCCTATTTATTATAAAACAGATACTCCAGATAACTATCTATCTTGTTAAAAATTATCTAAAAAATCATGGATTAAAAATTATTGATCATTTTAATTTTAGAAGTTTATGATTGGGATACTCTATTTATAGATATACAGAACTAATTAAATTTCCAGTTTTCTAATCTAAAATAGGATATATAAACTAACCTTAGTTATTGTATGTGTTGGATTAGATATTATCAATAGATATATTATATTGTCAAATACCTAGTTTATCTTCTTGAAAAGCTTTTAGTAATGCAAAATAAGCATTATTTTCAAGAAACTTTCAAAATTTTATTGAATCAAGTGAAAGTAGTTATAAGTCGTATATTAGATATATTACAACTTATTATATGTTCTCTACTAAATCAGAATATATCAGAGAAGCTATAAATCTTCACTTAGATTTTTTTAAAGATCGAACATTGAAAAGGTTATATTGATAAATACATAATATTAATAATGAAGTTCCTATTTATAATCAAGATTTAGAATAAATAATTAATCATTTTTTTAAAAAGTCTAATGGAGATTATGTATCTAATCAATTTTCTTGAAATAATAATTAAATACTAAGGTTGATATTAAAAACCATAGGAATTAATATAAGAAACTCAATTTTTTCAATCATTATTATAGTTTTAATTTAGTAAAAATATTAATTATAAGTTCACATTTTTTTTTATATGTTAGAATATTTATTTATAATATATATGATGGCAGTATTTTGAATATGAATATCATACATCTTAAATTATAAGCTGTATTTACGAATATTAGATCAATACATTTCTTGAAGACATTTCGAGAATTTCTTCTGAATCTAATAATGAATTCTTAAATTTTAATTACCCAATATACTTAGATTAGGGAAGAGAATATTCAACATATGGTTTATTCATATATTTGATATGTATTTAACTTCATATCTAATGGATCTTTGATTAATATATAACAAAATAACCAATTAATAAATTATTTAAGTCAATATAGATCCAGAGGATTTTGATTTTAAAATACTCCAGATCTGAATATATTTAACTGATACAAGTTTAATTTAAATAAGGTAATTAAATGTCTTTTTTTTGTAATAACTATTTATTTGAGATCTAATTCAGAAAGATATTATTAAAAATATCAACAATATATTTAGATATTTTTAATTATATATGTGAACAAATGAAGAAAACCACGAATCTGAACAATTATGTGGGACATTATAAACGGCACTTACAGAACTTGAAAATTATAAAATTGCAATATCAGATATATTAAGCTCTGATGACTTTTTTTTTATGATTTCTTTATTAGGGAAAAATCATATAATATTTTGATGCATAAACAAATTATATAATATTTTATATAGTTTGTAAATATATTAAAGAGTTTTAGTCAAGTTATATTTTGGAATGAATATGAGTTTGTTACTTGAGTAAGTAATAAAGTATCCCAAAAATAATGAATTTGTTCCAAGGTTTGATTATATTACAGGTAGTATTGAACTTCCACTTAACAAATCAATGAAAATTCCAATATTTATTAATATACCTTGAGTTATTCTAAATATGAATAATAAAAGAGATGAAAAACTTTATATTACAAAAAATAACATAGTGATTTTTTTAATATAAAATTTCATAGATTGCTAAATAAAAAATTAATATCAAATTGTAATTTGAACATAGTACATCGAACTAGATCTGGTATAAAAAACTATTTTCAATATTACATATTAAAGAGTATATTGTAAAGGTAATGATAGAGTCCATGTATTTTATAAAGATAATTCATATTATTTTGAGCTTTAGGCCTTTATTAATTCCTGGTTAATTCCAAATTGTTTTAAAAAATATATTTTAATGGTTATTTTTATGATATTTGATATAATGCTACAATTATCATTAAATATTTTACAATGTTGGATTGATTAGTATAAATTCCAATATTGTTTTATTACTGGATTTAAATGATTTTATATCTCTTGAAAAAATATAATTGAAGTTAATAGGTTCTTGTCAAAAGATGATCATACTAATTAAAAAGTTTTTAAAAGCACAGCTGATCTATATACATAGATTTTTCAATAGAGCAAAGCAAGATACTACTCCAAAATGTTGTACCAAATAAAGGATTTCACTCTTAATACTTATTTATTTGAAAGTTTGATATATTGTAAATAATAGTGATAAAATTTCCTTTACTTTTTACAATTTTGTATAACTCAAACTATTAAATATGAAGAATTTATAAATTAGTATAAATATCTTATTACTAACTTATAATATCCAAGAAGTGTTAATGATAAATATACCTTCAAAAGAAGTTCAGATTTTGCTTATTAGTTTATTACAAACTATTTTTATAGTCAATGAAACTTTTAATTTAGGTTAATCACAATACACTAATTAATAATATTCAGTATCTTGTTTTTGAATACGATATTTGCAACTTATCATCATATTATTTAACAACACTTTTACAGTTCTTTATATTTCAAACTCCCAACTATAAAGGTAATATTGCATTTCTACATATCCAAACAAATCCTGGTAATAAGAATTTATCTTAAATTACTTGTCAATTCACTTCATAATAAATTGAAAAAAAAATTATAAATATTGTGACATTTGCTGTCTTAAGTATCAGCTTATATATATCAATATATTCATCAATGTTCATACTGTCATCGAGTTAATAAATTTTATAAGACATTATTGGCAACTCAGTATTAGAATATTTGGACAAATTTGTTAGTATTAATCCTTTTAACTATATATTACTTATTTAAGTTTAAATAGATAATATTTAAATTACAACATGCAAATAATATTCAAGACCTAAAAGTAATAATTAGAAGACTAAATTTTGACTAATATCATCTACTTTTTAAAACTATTAACAAGATTAGTTTCATCTTTGATAAGAACTTCCTTGATACAGCTAATATCTACAGTTATTTATTTTTTACCAGAATTAGGTCCTAGCTTGAATCTACTATAATAAAATACTCTCAATGTACTATGTGAATTTAGAATATAACTAAAAGAAGTTCGTGATATGTTTCTGTTATTTCAAATTATAATTATTATAATGTTAGAATTTCATTGTATTTAATGATATCTTGTATATATTTCCGTATTTTTATTTCAGAAAATCCTTTAGTTTTAATGTAAAGTTATGTTGATTCTGAAAAGCGCTTGTTATCAGTCCTTTTTATTTGTGTAAAATTCTGCAAATTAATAAAAAAGAAGTCAATATGTTGTCTTAAATGGAAGACTTGTACAAAGATCATATTTCATCACTATATCTTATTTGCCCAACTATCCCTCCTCGTTTATTATATCCTGATCAATGGTGGGAAGTTATTCAAAGACTTTGTGGATTGTGTCACACAATACCCTACATACCAATTGAAATTCAAAATTCAACTCTAAATCAACTAGAATACTTATTACTGCAGTTTATGCAATCAAATCCTTCAATTTTAGCAATTAGATGGATTATGAATACTTACACGCTAATACATAAGTACAATCTTATGTCAATTGGACAACTTACAATTGAAATGATGAATTTATTATTTAAATATACTGAAACTGACTCATCAACTGTAGGAATGGGTATTAACAAAGCATATAACTTATATGATTCTGATACATCATATCTCTTAGATATATCTAGTACACAATCTGAACCTTTGTTGCCAAGTAATATCGTAATTGTGCTTTATATTTTGCAATATCTCTTTCATATGGAATTACCTGAAACACGCTCTTGCATACCTGGATTTATTAAGTGTCTACCTTGTTTAATTTGTCATGTGGATCAAAGTCTCAGAGATGCAACTTACGAATGCCTGACAACTGTTATATCTGTTGGAATACCAGGATTTTCCTTAGCTGATTCAATTCTTAGTTTAACAATTGAGAATTTAGAAAAATTGGTGGAATATGATGATATTACAAATATGGAGAGGAATTTAGAATGTTTTTTACAGATTTTATGGCAATACCCAAAACTTGCTGAGCAAAGGCAATTAGAAATTCTACAATGTGTCATCGACATTTGCTGTACAATATATAATGATAATATATATCTAATAAATTATATGAATATTATTAAATCTACAATTGAGTTATGTGCATCTTGTACAGTTCTGGCTAATTCTCCAGATTCAAATAAAGATATTATATATTCTATAAATTTATTAATTGAAATTTGTAACAATTCTGTATTTATTTCTGGTTATGGATCATTACCCGTATCAGGTGAATGCTTTAGGATAGTATTTACTGGATCTGTATGTCGTATTTTAGAAATTTATTTGGAAAAATTTAATGTTAGTTATAATGATTTATTTAAAGTTTGGGATATATTTATATTATTAATTCAGAAATATTATATACAAAAACATATTACCCAAAATATCAATTGGTTATCAAACTGTCATTGGGTATATCTTCATACCTATATAATGAAGAAATTACTAAAATGTGTAATATACTCACTAATTATCTCAATAAAGAAGCAAGATTCTCATAAAAGTAATGTTGATCCATATTTATGGAATAAAGGACAAATTTTTGAGTATATTCAGGGTTTATTACAACCTCTAATAAATATTTGTCCAAGAATAGCTATAGAATGCATTGAATCCTTAGTTATGGATGATGTTCTTTTTTGGACTGCTGATAATGAAGTTTTATTAGTGTTAATTAAATGGATTATTCGAATTACATCAATTGAGAATTCTGAAACATCAGTAACCACTTTGATAGTTGGAAGAAATATTGGTATTTTAATTTCAAATGCGAAACCAATAAACTTTTGGACTGAATTTATTTTTGAAAAGATATTGCAAATACACACACTTCGAAACTCTAAATTTTCATTTGATGAAGTGAAAGAAATATTCCTTCATGACACACTGATTCTGATGGGCATTTTGAATAATACAAAATGTTATATGCTTTGCCTTAATATTATTTCATATTTAGAAAGAATTATTGAGGATCTGACTTCTAAGAAGCTTTGTACAGATACTGATGCTTTAGAGTATTATAGAATAGATGAGATAGTGATTTGGATTAATGTTTTTACTTTGCTTGATATTTGCCTATCAAATATCTTTAAATTTTTTGAAGAAGGGATGATTGAGGAAGAAATAAGATATTCTGTCATGGATAACATTACAAACTCTTTTAGTTTGAAAACTCATATACTAAGTGTTATGCCAATATTGCAAGAAATATTTTCATCTGGAGCTATTGAAGTACTGAAAACTAGTATTCAATCACTAAATGAGTCAACCTTAACATTAAAAAATAGAAAATTTGATGATTATAACTCTTGGTTTAATGAAGAGAATGATGAAAATCCAACACTAATTTTGTTTTTAAGTATCAAGAATACTCTTTGTTCAATTTCATTTTCATTAAGTTATTTAATGTCATTAAGGAAATTTACTGAGTTTCTTTTATTGCAAAGACTCTGTAATGATAATGATGTATTGGGCACTGATATAAATAAGCTCAAAAATATTTTAATTGAATATTCTTCATTAGTCTTTAAAGAAATATTACCTCTCATTCCACTATCATGGAGTCTAAGATTTCCAAATTTTGATTCAAATTCATTTGAAGTACCTTTTTTCCAATCACAGGAGCACTTCCTTTTTCCATATATCGGGCAACAAAACTGTATATCACATAATATTCATATTTCAACTTTAATAGCAAACATGAAGATGTTGGTATATTCTCAAGTTTATGAATATATGCAGAGCCAGAAAAAAGATCAAGATAAATTAGTATTAAATTTAATTAAATCACCTCTAGTTATAGAAAATTTAATGCAAGATTTAATTCATAGTTCAATAGCACATATAGAACTAGAAGTTCCTCATAGCATGCTTCCTGGAATAAAAAAGTCTGATCTTGAAAATTTGGAATTCAATTTTATTGGGGAAATGTTCTACTTTTCCGATAGATATTTTGAATGGTCTGAGATCAGTTTGGAAATATTAAATCTACGAATGGTTGAATGTATGAAAAAAGAATTCGAAAATAGTAATATACTTAAAAGAGAACATAAGGATATAGAAATTAAATGGCGTTATAAAGCTTCCAAATTGCTTTCATATATTATTTTATATAAGGCTGAAAATAAACTTATAGATGAAGCTCTTGAAATAAATAAATTACTGACAAAAAATCTGTTTAAAAAAACTATCTCTCACCATGTTTACTGGAATCAAATACTACTTGAATCTGAATATTCAAATTTATCATCAAAGTTAAAACTATTTTCTATATTTGAGGATACTGATGATGTATCTATATCATTGTTCTTAATAGCTGCAAAAAAGTGTACTGATCCAGTAAAAGATATTTCCATTTTACCTATTTTATCTATTCTATGGGTCTATAGAAATATTATTGAAGAATTTACTATAATAAATATAAATGATAAAATTAATTATATCCCTTTGATATTTCAAATGTTCACTTACTTGCTTAGATACCTCTTTGGTTTAAAGGATAAAGATAAAGATGAAGAAGTAGCTACATCAAATAAATTCAAACCTCCAAGAATTAAATCTTGTTTTATTAGATACCTTTGTATTCACCTGATATGTAAATTAGTTGAGCTTTTGAAAAGATCTAATGGAAAGTATACATGTATTAATGTTCAGTCAAAATTAAATAATCTTATAGCTTGGTCCAATTGTGTTACTTTACAAATGAACAAGTCAATTGATGAAAGCGAGACATTGTTAGATATTTATCTTTTATTTGGGCTTCTGAAATCCAAAGTATCCTATGATCATGAATTATACCATCTTTCAAATGTATTTTTGAAGGACCACTTTACACGTGTGGTGTCTGATAAGCATCGTGCAATATTACTATGTACAATGGGTAACATTCCTATTTCTAACAATTCAGTCTTTGAAAAATTTTTAGCTTTGCCTACTTTGGAAGAAAATAACTTGGAATTTTCATCTTATGTAAAATTAGACAAGGAATTTTTAAACTTGCTTGGTGAGTACCTTTGTATTAGCCACAACACTAGCATGAGAAATTCTGGAGTAGCTATACATGTATTTAAAAATATCTCAATATTTTTAGAAAACCAACTTAAAACAATGTTATTTGATTCATATCTTGATATGAATTTTTATTATTGCAACTTGATTATTTGCTCAAGTTTGTCAATAATATTTCTATCAAGAATTCATGAAATAATCCAGATTGGTGACTTAAACTACTTTTATATACCTACAAGTTGTCTTTGGATATATTCAAAAAAGGTTAGAAGCCTAATAATTCAATTATGGAGATTTTATCTTCACTATGGTAAAAGTGTATTTTTCTATACATTTAAACTAGAGCAACATAGCTCATTTGGAATATCCAATCTAGTCTGCAAGCTTCCATCGTTTGTTCTTCTGTCATTTATTATTTTAAATAGCTTTTACTTTATGAATAGTTTGGAGATATTATTGGATTTTTCAGAAGGGGAACTTTGCATATTATATAACTGCACACCGGATATGATCTATGCTATTATAAACTGGCTTATAAAGTCCAAAATTAAATCTGAAGAAAGTTTGGTTGTACTCAAATCGTGCATTAAATTGCTAGATAATAAATTTTGCGGAAGTTTAATTGATAATCTAATAAGTATTATGCTAATAGATTGCAATTTTATATCCAAGCAAAATACAGATGCAGTGTCTAATCTATACATGGGGCCTAGAAACTTTACATTATTTGAAAAACTTTTAAATATAAACTCAAATAGTTGCAATTTTATTTTTCCAATATATATTCAATTTATGAGTTTTAATATGAAAATTAATACTTTCATTAGTTGTAAAGGCCTCAAAGAATATATATTTAGCCAAATACTAACAGTATTATATGAAGGCCTAAGTAATTTACAGACTTCTGAAAAAAGTAAGAACAAGAAACTTCATATTCTTAAAGTTATCCCAGATAATGAGAAATTCGATCTATATTATAGCGAAGATCTCAATCTATTAACTTTTTCAAGGCTCTCCTACTTTATAAACAATTACAAGCCCTACAAAAAATCAATGTATGATATATGTCCACTTACTAAAGTACTCAAAAACTATTATAAGATATTTGGATATATATATCATTACTTAAATTCTCACAATATACAAAGTATAATTATGGATAGTTTAATTAATGAGATTTGTGTTGATCAGCATGATCAGAAATATATAATACAGAATTCTCAATGGCTCAAATACAAGAGAGTAATATTTAATACAATATTAAAAATATTTCCATATCAAGATAATAAAACTAAGGAATTAGTGTTTCTCACGCTACTAAGCAGTATCCAAAATGTTACAAATTTGACTGATCAATACAAAAACTTATTTCATGTATACTTTCTCATATATGGAACTCAACTATTTATTGATTTGATAAAAATTGAACTTTTATCTAGTGATATATATACTTCAATAATATTTTGCAATACAGAATATTTACTTAATCAAATCTTCACTTTTTTCTCACTTTTAATAAAATTCTTTAAGAGTTTCTTGGTTAATCACTTGGGTTATCGCTTTGCAGAATTAAAACTTAAAATAACCAAATGTATATGTAAGTATGGAACACTAATTGGGTTACTCAAGACGAAATTAAAAGTTAATGAAGTTGATTTATTTAGGGAAATTGATAAAGAATTTTTTAATGAAAGTATTTTGGATTTATGTATAGGGAATTTGATATGGAATTACTCAAATGTAAGCAGCTACAAATCGTCATTGGCAAAGGACCAAATCTTATATAGCATGTACCTTGATAATTTGAGATTTATACCCTCTATTATATTTGTTTGGTTGAATTGTAATTTTTCTAATTGTTGGATCCAGAAATTACACAAATTAATTATACTTTGCAACGATATATTGTATGCATGCAATCCAAATAGTCACTTGTTCGCATACATGCATATATTTTGCATGGAATCATTGGAAATGGTTAGTATACTAAAGAATCAGAATTTTAGTATTTTAAAAAATAAGATTATACAAAATTCTGAAATAATACAGTTTCAAAAGCATTTGAACTCAATATGGTTATCAGTAGTTCACTTAGCTACTCAACTTCTGTGTTGTAATTTTAATGTACAAATTCTAACTAGTTTAAGAGAAGTGACTATGTATCAAAGGCTCTATAAATATATAATGGAAGCTTTGTATACTCAAATAAATGAGAATATTGAACTAGACAATAATACTGAAGAAATCATTTTGCACTTTTTTAAGCTAACAACAGAAACATATTTAAGAATGCACACAAGCCCATATATAGTACCTACAAGTAATAAAACCACTTTAAACATTGAAGATGACTTTCTGAAATTATGGAGAACTATTATTAATTGTTTTTGCACAATTCCTTGCTGCTTTGAATCTTGTTTTAGTATTTTTGATGAGCTTCATAAATTGTCAATAAATGCCATTATACCTATAAATAAATATGATGAGTTTTTATATAGGCATATAAAGCTAGTAATAAACTTATATATGGAGACACTGCAAGTTGTGTTGGGATATTATAATATTTCAGATACCAAAGATACCTATAGTTCTTGCTGTATAAAAGACCGAAAAGTAGCACCAAATATAATAAATAAGTTTTTGAAAACTATTTTTCAATCCATAAAAGTTATGCTTTTTGCTCCATTATATGTTGATAAAAGATATGACAAGATATTGAAAGAATTTATGAGTTCTAAAGATTTAGTGTTTCCAAATTTTGAAATCCTCATGAATTACCAATACTTGCTGCAAAAGGAGATTTTAATACTTTTAAATTGCTTATCAGCGAATGAAAAGTGTTTTATATACCTTATAGATTATATCATTCCATTTTTAATACCAATTGGTTTTTGTTATGGCATTGAATCTCCTACCAACAGTAAGCTAGTTATCTATCCAAATATTGAATTAGTATGGGAAATAGTAGATAATCTATTTTCTACTTATGAGCATTATCAAGAAAAAGATCAACAAAGTTACTCAGATAGCTTTATATTACTAACTCAATACTTATTAAAATTGTCAAATATGTGTATTAAGAACGAAATAAGTCCTGTAATTATACCCTCCGCAATATCTTTATTATGGTTTCAATTGCAACATAAATCAAAAAGAAATGAAATCAGTGAATTGCTTGGGAATATGGGAATTGATGCAACTATTGAACAGTTGTGGCCAAAATCTGGTACACTATGTTTCCCAAATCATGACCAGCTTTCAATTCTTGAGTTATGCAATTCAATTTCAATAATTCAAACAGTAGAGGTAATGAAGACTAGATTGGATAGAATTATAGAAAAATACAGCAAATTTTTTTTATTGCAATCTTCATTAGTTTAATGATAAATTCAGAATTTTCGAACTAAAATTTTATGTAAAACTTGGAACTAGTATAAATTTATAAATAATAAATTTTAGGAAATCTAAATTTTCAAATAATAACCGGCTATTTATTAAATATTATTAATAAAATGTTCTGTCAAAATATTTACTAACATTAATAAATTACATAAAAGTCAATTTACTATTTAGTTTTAATTCTTGGGCATACATTCATTGCCTGCAATTCTTGGAATAATAACTTACACGCATAAGGTAGTCTTATGATAGATATATCATCCGAATTTCTACAATAATGACAATAGTTATTATACCCAAAGAGTCCACATTTATTACAGACATATGTCTCAAATACATCTGAATTCAGCATCAAACGTTCTATCAACAAATTACTGGCACCATATGCAACTAAGCAATCTCTTTCCATTTCACCTAAACGTAGACCACCATCTTTGGATCTTCCCTCAGTAGGTTGTCTAGTTAATATTTGTCTTGGACCCCTTCCTCTAGCATGCATCTTATCTAAAACCATATGTCTTAGCTTTTGATAGAATATTGGGCCAACAAAGATATATGTTTCTATAGCTTCTCCAGTAATACCAGATGTTAAATACTCTTTTCCAGAATAATGGAAACCATTTTGTATAAGACACTTTGCTGCATCCTCTACTGGAGTTCCACCAAAAGCAGTTCCATATCTATAATTACCATCAAGTACACTTGCTTTACTTGAAATTAGCTCCATTAGCTTTCCTACAGTCATTCTAGAAGGGAATCCATGAGGGTTCATAATAAGATCAGGGCACCAACCAGATTCAGAAAATGGAAAATCTTCCTGAGAAACAATTAGACCGACAACACCTTTTTGTCCATGACGTGAGCTAAATTTATCACCTAGTTCTGGAAGCCTTGTTTGTCTCGTAATAATTTTATAAATATGGCTACCTTCAGAGTTTTCTGTTAATAATACACGATCTATATAAGATGGTGCTATTCCCTTATATTTGATAGGTGTTAATCTATATTCAGATAAGTTGACTTGTGATGGGTCACCAACATATTCTCGTGTATTTATAGGAGAAACTTTATTCACAATAATATCATCTTCAGCAACCATTTCACCTACACGGCATATTCCATCTTCTTCCAATACATTCCAGTTTGAGTTATATACTTTAGTGGAACTATTATCCAAAAGCTTATTTGGCCCTATAACACATTCAGCTAATCCATTAGGGAGCTTTTGTAGTTCTACAGTTTGTCTCTTAATCACAAAACATCTTGCAAACCCACGATCAATTGAAGCCTTGTTCATTATAATGGCATCTTCTATATCATAACCAGTGTAACTCATAATAGCTACAGAGGAGTTTTGACCTGCTGGTAGTTGTTCAAAGTTTATCATTTCAATTGTCCTGGTTTTACAAAGAGGTTTTTGGGGATAGACCAGTAGGTATAATATTGAATCACATCGTAAAAATTGATTAAGTCCTACTACTCCCATAACTTGTTTTCCCATAGCACACTGATAGGTGTTTCTAGGACTCTGATTATGATTCGGATATGGAATCAAACCACTTACAACTCCAAGAATTGCCAAAGGATCTATTTCTACATGTGTCGTTTCTTCTGTTATATTTTCCTCTTTCAAAGCAATTAGTAAATTATTTTCCTCATTAACATCAATCCATTCTAGTATACCTTTATTAATAAGGTCATTAAAGGTTATTTGCTTATTTTCTAGGTTTTCTATATGTTCCTTTTGAATTCTTTGTTTCCCGTTGTCAACTATTATAAGTGGTCTACAAAGACGGCCTCCATCAGTTGCTATTTGCACTGAATATTGTGAATGATTACAGAAAATTGATACAAATTGGCTAATGTAGCCTTTTCTTCTAAGGTCTCTAAGATTACTTGCTAAAGTTTCTGGATTATAATGAATACCTAGCAATGCACCATTGATAAATATAAAATAAGCATTTCCGCTTAAGTTATGTTCCCGAAGACTTGTATTACCATCTTGAGAGTGTTGCTTCCATTCAAACCATGATGCAGATGCAATATCTTGCACTCCAAGACTAAAAAGTAACCCAATCAAATATTGTGGATTATGATCAGTTGTAATGTGTGTTGTTAAAGCCAAATTTTTAACTAAACCACAAGATTCACCTTCTGGTGTATCACATGGACATAAAATCCCCCATTGTGAAGGTTGTAGCGCACGTGGCCCACTTACTTTGCGAGCCTTCTCAAATTGAGAATCAACGCGAGTCATAATACCTAGAGCTGAAATATATGAATAACGTGACAAAACCTGTGTCATACCACTTCTCTCCATTCTAAAACGCTTAATAGACCAGTTTCCGGTACTAAGTGCAGTTTGCATTCCACGTGTGATTATATCAGTTGGGAGATTACGGAAACAATCTGGGTAGTTCGAATTTGTATCCTCCTTTCCCGAAGTTACTTTTGAGGAATTATCTTTTGTCTGGAAGTATCTCACAAGAGTTTGATCAATTTGTTTCTTTGTTAATGATGCAAATCTCTTAAATAAATCTTCAAATAGGATAGAGATGAGTTGTCCAGCTAATTCTATACGTTTATTTCCATAATAATCCTTATCATCTAGTAAACTTTGGTTTTCAGAGGCATCAATAACACGTCTTGCCATAAGGCATAGAATAAGAGCTTTTGGACGTAAATCACCATAAATAGTACCAACATGAGATAAAACGACTCGGTTTAGTGTCTCTAATACGTCCTCAATTCCATTAACTTGACGAACTAGTGTATTATCAGCATTGCTTGTATTCATCCGGTCTAATGCTTCTTCCGATCTATTTTGCTCAGTATAAGTTGGATTATGCCTATTAGGACGTCCTCCAGTAAAACCAAACGACATGCGCACTTTTGATTTCATCCGCTTTGACATAAACTGTAATGCCTGTCTCTGCGTTATAATTTTTTCTATATGAACATCTTGCAAAGAAGTGATAATACCTTCATAGTGGTAGCTTTTATTACCAATTACTTGAAATAGTTCCTGTTCTGTCTCTATTCCCATTGCTTTTAGTACAATACATAAAGGTATATCATCTGTGAAAGAATTGTGTCGTAAATATAACTTGCCATTTTTGTAGACAACCAAAGTGCGACTTTTACTTTCAGCAGTTGTCGAAGTTACAGTAGCACAATAATTATGCTTATTATCTAATTCCACAATGATACGATTTTTACTCAATTGCTCTTGCATCAAAATAACCTTTTCAGTACCTTTAACTACAAAGTACCCACCGGGGTCATGAGGACATTCTGACAAGTTTATCATCTCTAAAGGTGTTTTTCCATATAGTATACATACTTTAGAGCGCAGCATGACTGGAATACGTCCTATTTCAACATTCTTCTTCCTTACTACATTATTGCCTCTAACATAGTCAACATCCACATAAATAGGAGCAGCATATGTTATATCTCTCATCCTACACATCATTGGAGTTAAATCAATAGTTACCATATTTTCTTCTAGTTTAGGCATACCTACTCGTGCATCCAAGAACTCTATAAAGAAGGATGGATCAACATCACTTTTAATAAATCGATTAGAATGAGCTCGGATTATATTTCTAATATCCACAGTGACAAAATAATTGTATGATTCAATATGGTGCTTCACTAAGCCTTCTGTCTTTAAAAAGTGGGGCAGAATTCTCCACTTTTCTATGAGGCTATCTACAGGCTTTAATAAACGATCTAATTCCGTTTCTTCCTTATTAAATCGTGACTTCATTACCTTAGTCTTACTTTTAAGGGGTGTCTCGGTCTCCATCTCTTTGTATTTCATACTTTAGCTAGTATTCAATTAAATTTATCATATTTTCCTTCAGACTACAAAAATTGAGGCAATTACCCTAAAGTTACTCTTTGAAGTTTCTATAACAATTATTTCGGTAATATCTAATTACTTTTTCCCAAGTAATCAAGCAAGGAGTCAAATTACGATTATACCGCCAACAGTTTCTTCCCTATTGTAACGATGCCTTAGATTATATTTCTATGAGCAACCTCATAGTGGAACCTATTGAAAATCCAATGACTGCATATTTTATTCCAATGCCGTTTCACTATAAATTAACACAGAACTATATATTTTTAAGATATCAAAGATTTATTTTTATAAAAAGGAGTGAGATCTTACAATTTCGAAAAAGCATTCACATCATTCTCAGTTATATATATGAAATACTCTAAAAAGATACTACATTATGAGCTTTACTGACCTTTATATTATATTTTAGCTTGATTTAAATATAACAAACTTCTTAATATAACTGCCTTTATTAGTTAGCTAGCTTAATAATATTAGTACTTAGGAACCATGTTAAAGTTATTGCTGAAACATCTTTCAAAGTAATATTTTAAATAGTTATAGTTATATTTAGAGTCTAAGATAACAAGTACTACAAAAGAAATGTCAGATATAATTCTGAGTTGATCATGTCACAATTTGATATCTCGTGTATCATCAGAAAAGAGGAATATATAATAGGTATTTATGATGCTCAAAAGTTATATTCTCATTGAGCTATAAAGTTATTATGAAATAAGATATATTTAAATTATTTATTGCTTTAAAAACCAGTTTTCTGTTACTTTATTTTCAAATTTATATATGGGATATCCAATATTTACAGTTTGTACTTCCTAATGTCTATATCTAAGGTTCCTAACGATATCTCTAAAATATCAAATAGAGAGATCGTCGTTTGCAATTAATATATTTAAGTTTCTTATAATATATATATATTAGATTTATAATATATATTGAGAATATTTGGTGACTAATTAAAAAAATTACAATATTTTGCGCTAAAAGTACTTTACAAATAAGAAAAATCTAACATTTTTCTATTAAAATATTCACATCCACATTCAATTTAATGTAAAGGAAATAGCTAGAGAATAATGTCTACTATAGGAGATCTAGATCTTAATGAAAATCGGTATTCAAGACAGTTAATGCTATGGGGTTCACTAAGTCAACTCTATCTCAAGAATGCATCTGTGTGTATATTGGGTTCCTGCGTAGTAGCTATAGAAGTATTGATCTCATTAGCATTTAATGGTGTTGGAAATATAACTATAGTTGATGATTCAAAAATAGAACAAGCTGATATTGGAAAGAGTTCAATATTATATAATAAAGCCTTTATAAATGAGTATTGTGTAAAGGCTTATGTAACTGAAATATCAAAGGCTAATATAGATACGACACTAAATTTTATTATTCAATCCCCAGAAAGATTTTTACTTGAGCTATGTGAAGATTCAAATAGACATGATTTCTATAATGTAATTGTTCTTTGTAATATACCACTGCATATAAGCTCTATATTATTTGAATACTTAAGGAATACTAAAAAAGACTACTTTATTGTTGTATTAACATCTGTTGGATTTGTCGGAATGGTGAGAATCTTTATGAATGGTATATATCTGTCATTTGATAGTGATTTGAGTAGGCAATTAAGTATAAGATTAAAAGGGCTACAACTACACCGACCACTAGATGAGTTAGTTAATTTATCTAACGAAATTGAAATGTCTGATTTAGATGATCTAACACGCAAACATATTCCTTTTCCTATAATTTTGGTGAAAGCTAAACAAATTTATGAAGAAATATATACTAGCATATATGAAGAGAATTCAAGTCAAATTTTGAAGCAAATTATTGAAAAACTTTGTAGATTTTCTAATGAGATTAACTTTCAAGAAGCAATACAAAATATCAACTTGCTATTTTCAAGCGATTCATCTGCATTATATGATGAATTAAATCATGTATTATTAGAATCTAACAAGAATGTCACTTTATCATACAATAGAAAGCTATCACTTATTCTCCATGCTATTAATCTGTTCTATAAAGAGTATAAGCGATATCCAGTGTGTGAAAAGTTACCAGATATGACAAGCTGCACTTCGCTATACTTGAAACTACAGTCAATATATAAGGATCAGTTTGCTAAAGATATAGATATAATCTATACACTAATATGTACGAAATATCAGGATATTAATCAAATCACGAAGTATGAGATAAAAGATTTATGTGATCATCTTTATACTTTTGTACCTGTTAAATATAATAATATATATCTATCATGTGATTCTAACTTCAATACTCTTACATTTAAGAATGAATTAATGGAATATGATTCTGTAGAAAATTACAAAAATCAATCATTATTAGCATACTACCTTATTTTAGAATCTAGAGAACTATTTAATCAAAAATATGGAAGGTATCCAAAAAACTCTATAGAAGATTTAAACGAAGTAATTAATATTATTGTAACATATCTAGATAAAATAAATTTGAATATAGATATATTTTGCCCTAATAAGGATCTGATTAAACAAGTGTAAGTTGAATTCAAAATCTTCTTTAAGATCATCACGAATTTATTTATATTAGAATTGGATTCGAAACCAGTCAAATCCAGACAACAGCTTGTTTTATTGGGGCAATAGCATCTCAAGAAATTATTAAGATTATAACTAATAAATTTGTTCCTTTAAATAACACATTAATTTGGAGGTAAGTTTATATAAATACTAACTTCTTATCGCAAACTTAGTATTTTGCACTTTAAAGGCGATACTTCATATATAACTTCATTATTAACATTATATATATACACTCTTCAGTGGAGTCTCGTGTAAATGCTCAGCATTCAAACTTTGACTCTGGTGTACAGATAATCATGTCATAAATTAATTTTTAATACCTAAAGTTTCTCCAGACTGGTTTAAATTAGTGTGCGTAATGTAAGAAACCCACTGTTCTCTACTAATAATGGGAATTACATTATTTTTAGAATCAACATCAGAAATAGTCGTTTCTGTTTCAGAAGAATCCGATTGAATAGCACTAAGAATACCCTTCTTGATATCAATGTTATGAATTATTCCTGGGGTAAATGAAAGAACCCTATTTAATCTAAATTCATCTCTTGCATGTTTTTTAACAAGCTCCATAGTACAATTACAAAGAGAACTTTCCATTAAGTGAGGACAAGACCTCGGATTCATATGTGAAGGAGTAGAAATTAAAGCTCTAGTTCGTTTAGTGATAGAATTAACAGTACATTGATCACTTCTTGGGCATGGGCTCCAAGAAGACCACTCACCCACAGAACACCTTACAGGGCAGTCTATTGCAACCACATTTCTGTCCCCTGAAACCCATCCTAAAGCATGGTACATACATCCTACCTCTCCAATTACGAGAAGGCATATTTCAATTCCTGCTGTACCCTGAAAAGACCAATAAGTGCACCCTTCAGTTTCATTACAAAGTCCTAAGCATTCATGCCATGTACTGACATACTTCCTCATTGTCCCACCCCCTTTATTCATTTCTACTTTACATCCCCAACCTAGTCCAACTACATGATAGTTTGGACAGTTACTAGGGCATTCAGGACTTCCTTTACACATTGCTACTTCAATAAGTCGTTGACACGCTTCAGATTTATATTTTGGAGATTTAGTTACATGTCTAACTCTATGAGTAATCCCTGCACAATATGAATTACACTTTGACCAAGCACTCCAACCACCAACTTCACAGGTTGTTGCACAACCTCCTACTTCCACTGAAGTGGATACTCCAGATATATAATTTCCATCTGGATATTTACATAACTTGTCACCATTCTTTAAAAAACACGTCTTTGTTTCTGTATTATAGCTCCACTGTTTACACTTTATAAAAAAAAATACAACATAGTCTGAACATAATGAAGAGCATTCTTGCCAAGTCTTCGTTCTTTGTACTTTAATTGTATTTAATTTTAGGCAAAAAGCTCCTTTTGCATTTATTCCATAGATAGGACACAAAGATTTGTCTACTTTTTGAGTTTCCAAGTCGGGTATATTTAGAGGTATAGTTAAACTAAGAGTATTTTCCCAGGTAATTCCATTATATATGCGTTCATTTTGGTATTGATCTACATATATCTCTGCCTTAGTACAGAAAAGACCTAAAATTAAATTTATAATCAAAACAAAAATAAAAAAATATTGATCTCTTCTTAGGTCCATATAATTTAGAGGTGTGTGGGTTTAATGAGTTATTCTTAATAAAGTGTTGGGCTAAGTATACCGTTACATTGGCGGGTGACTCTATCTAGTAATTACTTGAAGAGCCAAACATTTAGGATCATTATATTCCACATTTATTTAAATTAATATCTGATTATGTTTAAGAAACTCAGCACTAAGTGTAATTATTTTAAATATTTAACTTTTAATTTTCAGTTTTATTTCAATAAATCTATTCTTGTTATACTTTACTATTATCCTTACCTTGTAATCAATATTATTGTCACGAATAAAGCAGCAATTAAATTCACAAATATCTGCAGAATTCCCTAGAGTATGTAAGTAAATAATAACTCCTAAATTAGTTATAATATAAAACTAATTAAAAAAGGGTATCTTGATGTCAATATTAAATAATACTTATTTGATGTACTAGCTCTACTTAAACATATATATAAGCTTTATAAGTCATTTCTAGTGTATATCATAATTTGGAGAAATTGGCACTACAATATTCCCATCAATTTGTTGTCGTTCATGTCCTATTTCAAAGATAGAATGATTAGAATAAATTCCATCCATAATTTTATGAGCCTCACAATTGGGAATCATAGCTAAACTATTGCATTGTTTTACAACTAATTCTTGATAATGGTTTTGGTTTTGTTGTTTTTCCTGTTCTTGATCACAAATTATCTTCTCAACATTTGAACTATTTATTGTTTTTGAACATTTGTTAAGTAATATATCTAGAACCCAATTAGTCGAAGATTCAACTACTAAAGCATCTTGTGGGTCAAAATTAACACTATAATGGTAGCTGGCATCATTTACAATGGAATTTAAATCATCATTTATGTAATGAAGTGAACAGTTTTCTGCTTTATCTATATAACTTATATCCATACAATCACTATTTACATCTTTTACTTGATATTGATTATTCGTATTCTGCATTGTTATACTATCATTTGTAGTATATAAATTTGAATAATCTACTTTGCAACAATTCCGTACATAGCTATTATCTAATGATGTTTCAATAAAGTTACTACTATATGAATTATTTTCATTAATTTGTGTATCACAAATTATATTCTCACTTTTTTGCTCCAATGTTCTCAAGACTTGTTCCATAACTCTCACAAGAGCTTGTTCAACATGGCTGCCATACATTCCATAAGATATATTATCAGTCCCAATATTCAAATTACCTTGCTCCTTATAATTGACATTACTATTAATAATACATTGAGACTTTTTAAATGTTGCAACAAACTGATGTTTGGAGTTACAAAATAAAATATAATCTGACAGTACTAAACCGCCACTTCCATTCCCTGCATCACATGCAAGATTCTGTTGAATTTTATTACCGCCAAATCCCGATACTGAATCCTCGCCCCAGAAGTTAGATTCATGATCTGCATACTTCTGCTGTGGACATAGAGTTGCACACAAATAATAATCTTCTGTTAAGAAACCATTTGCACACTTAAGAAAAGTTGGTGATAGAACTATTGAATCCGTTTCAACACAGTATTCATAAATTTTAACTCTACCCCTTAGTTTTCCAGAACTTTTTGATCTCTTTATGCATTTAATGTTAGGGCATAAAACCCATGGTCTTGAAAGTTTTGTTTCATTTATTATAAATAAAAAATGTCTACCCTCATGCCTTCTTGTTTTACATTGTAATCTAGAAATTCCATCTCTATAACTGTGAAAGAAGCACTTTATAACTGCTGGACATGAACTTCCTGATCTCCTCATTGCAAGAGATCCTAGAGAATATTCTTTTAATATAAATATCATTTCTGGGGATTTTTTTAGTTCAGATAAATATAGTGATTGTATATTACTGGATAGTTCAGAGATGAAATCTACTATGTAAAAGTTTCTTTCATTTGGATTTAACTTTTTATTCCGTTTCTTAATACAATGAGAAACATTATCCACTTTATAAAAAGCAAAATTTTGTACATTAGAGTATATATATTTTCCATATGAGGTACAACTCTTCATATATGAATTTGAGTAAACTTTAGATGAAGAGTAAAAATTTCCACTTTCCAAATTTACGTCTTGAGGTATACACGATTGAATTACTGAATATCTATCAGGACAAATAGATTGATCGCAATTAACTATCTGACTTCCAGATTCAGGAGTATAAACCGTATCACAATAACTGTAATGCCCTTTATTTGATAATCCAGATGAAGAGTCACTTGCAATATTTAATCCAGAATGATTATCTGACTTGTATTCTCTATTAGAATCACTCACCAACAAATATTCATTGGGATTCCAATTACTGGCTAATGGATTAACTAATTCTGAAGTATTTCTAGAATCATTACTAATACAAGTAGTCAAGTCCTGTTTTAAGGATGGAAAGGGAACTTTAAGTGAAGATAGAGAATTTGCGAAAAATGGTTCATCATAATGTGTAGAACTTGGACTTGTATCAACTGAAGAGGATATAAATTCTGTACTTGGAGTTATTGGCTGATGATTTATTGTTTCAGCCTTTATTGATTGCAAAGATCCAGAGTATACCATTGGAGTTAATGGGACACCAATATTACTTCCTATAGTTCTACCAGAATTATTAAATTCACTATCCCAATAATAGTACCCTACTTCTGTTAAATTTATGGAGTTCCAATTCTCATTGTGTATTAATGTATCTGTATTTGAATAAAGATTAAATGAGGTTACTTTAGGAAACTTACTTTGTAATTTGAGTTTATCCATATATTCTACCATATCAAATATATAATATAATTATAAATAATTTCTTATTCTTATACATAACCTGTAATTTAATGAAATTCTGTTATTATTAGTCTAAAAATTCTTGTCACCCTGATTACTCTAGTCAATCAACCTATGTAGTAACTAAAGTAGTAATTCGACCCTAAAATAACTCAAGTATACTAAAAATTCTCACTCATTAAACCAGTTGATGCCATTTATTATTATTATAAACTATTCTGTTAAATATAACTTTTAGGACGACATTAAGTAGCAACAAGATCCCCCCCCCTTCCTCTACATGCCTTAGCCTTTCTCCGCTATATATTTCAGCGGGGTTAGGGTAGTCAGTAATCTCAAGTAAGTACTGGAGAACTTCAGAGTGCTTTCAGTTTATCAACATCTACTAAATATAAGCATACTATATCCCTTTATTTAAGAACTGTTTTATTTTTAAACAACTTATAGAATTGTTATTTCCAATAGTATACTTACAACTCCTTAACTGGGTTGTATATACTTTTAGTATATGAATTTTAAAAAGATTGGTATGATAATATCCTTACTTTATTTTAACAATTAAACTTCTATAATCTGTGTGAATATCTTTGTATAAGAAAAAAAAAAAAAGGAAAATAGGTCTCCAAAAGATATCAAGTTACATGGGAATGACCGCCGGCGGTCATTGGAACTTGTATTTGTAGCTCTTGGTTCCTCATTTTAATATAAGAATGGGTATATCTATATATAAATAACGAGAAGATATACTCTAGTTGTAAAATTAAGTATATAATAGGAGGAGTATGAGCGAGAAAAAATATTCTGAGTATGAAGATATCTTAACCAAAAGTGAAGAGCCCATGATGGAGGGTTCAAAAAGGAAAATATCTGAGGAAAGGAAGAGTGCACCAAGAGAAGATGAGAAAGATTATCAGGATTTTCAGAATGATGAAAATGGTGATGGTGATGATGATAATGATGATGATAATGATGATGATAATGATGATGGTAATGATGATGGTAATGATGATGATGATGATGATGATGATGATGACCATAAAGTAGAGATAAGGATACTACCAAATAGATCTTCTAGAGGTAGAAGATATACTCAACTAGTAGGTGAAGAGGCAGAGCGTGATACTCAATTTTGGGGTCATAATACATGGGAAGAAGAGGAGTGTGATAGTGAATGGTCTTCTATTAACCAAGATGAAGAGTCTGAAGAATCAAGTTCAGAATCTTCTCAGTCAGAGGATAATGCGGATGAAGAGTTTGTAGAAATTGAAGATGAAGATGATGGATTGAGCTACAAAGATTCATCAAGGAAGAATAAGGCAATTTATAAAGGTAAATATAAAGATCCTTCACTATTTTCAAAATCTATGCAGAAAAATTTACTGAAGAGACAGAATAAGACAAAGAAAAAAGTCAAAAATACTAGTTCAAGCAAACCCAAGGAATTCCAAATTGAAGAGAGGTCAATGTCAGTTAGAAAATCGACTGCAAAAAAGAAACAAGATTTACAAGAAGAGATGAGACGAAGGGATGAAGAAGCTATAGAAAGGGCAAGGTTACGGAGAAAGAAGAGAAATCATGATGAATCTAACAGATTACCAAAAGAGATGACACAAGAAGAGAGAATTGCTCAGAGTAAAATAGTTGAGAAGATGAATACTGAGAGTTTATCATACTTAGAAGCTTGTGAAGAACAAAAGCGTTACTTAGATAATACTTCTGCTAGCGTGAGAAAACAATTTCAATCAGGTTCTTTAAATATATACATTTCTTGGTCTTCTTATCGCTTAATGGAATCTGAAAAAGACAAAGCAAGTTCAATTTTATCAGAGGATGAATATTGTCGTGAGATACTTTTGTATACTGATGGTATTATTCCTGAAGTATTAAACCAGCATAGATGTAGTAAAGATAAGAAAGAAGCTATGTGTAGTATTTTTGGTACAAAAGCACGCTATTTAGATCCATTAACAAATCAGTACTATAGTAACTTTGAAGCTTTCAAGATTATAAGAAAAGATTATCATGTAATGAAATATAAAGAGTTTTTAAAAGAACTGAAAGATTTGAATGATTTAATATACAAAAAGAAACAAGAACTTACAAATATACATGAACTGGCATAAACGTAATTGTTCAGAACTATTTGAAATATATAGATTGCATTTCTATCATTTTAATACAAAGCAAATAACCAAGTCTTAATAATATGAATTAGACTTTAGTTGCTTAGACTACTTACTTTAGCTAGTAAATTAAGGATTTAGTTACACTATAAGCATAGATTTAAAAGATATATTCAAAATAATATACTAAATTATAATCTAATTGTTATTACAAACAGAACTTGTGGTCATGAAATTTGACTGGAGCTTTCACTAATATATACAGTAAATATAATGGTAAGATAATACAATACAAACTAGAACAAATTAGTTTAAGGAATCTAGAAATTTTACTATAATCCAGAAAAAAGAATTAAGAAGTTCAGGAATGACTGAGTAGCTATAGTTATAACTAACTCGGCCACATTATAGTCTTCACAACTAAATTTAGATACCTTATATCTAACTATTTATTCACTGGTTTACAATACCTCTTAGAATTTCACTAGTGTCTTTGGATAATCCTTGCTTATCAAGAATCCTTTCTATTTCACTCTTCATTAATGCCTGTCTAATAGGATCAAGCTTGTGTATATATGAAAATCCTCTAGAAAGTTCTGCAGCTGTCATCCCATTGATACTATCAATTTCTATTATTGCATCAGCCAAAAATTTGTAACCAGATCCATCAACACGATTAAATGCAACAATATTTGAAGAGAAAGCTCCTACAAGACTTGTAAAACAACTTGGAATTACCTTTTTTGCAACGAATTCTGGATGCTGATACAACTTAAATACTCTATCATATGTCTCAGGTATAGGTATTGATGCATGTATAGAAAAGAACTTGTTTAAAGTCATTGCATCAATATTACAAAGTTCATAAAATGAGTCTAAGATCTTCTTTGACTCCTCAGATTCTATATTTATAGTAAGAATTGCAGAAATAGCTCCAAGCTTTGCTGTCATAGATATACTAGTAAATTGTTGATAAGCTAATTCTAAAGCTTTTTCTGGATTGTAATACTTCAAATAATCAAGCAAGACATTCATCAATTTGCGAAGTCCAATGGCCTCCATATTTAAACCCTTTCCTTTAATAAATGGGCTTTGAGACTCTAATGCAAGAAGATCTTTATTAGCTGTATGATATAAATTGATTATCTCGTTCTCAAATCTTGAAGCCAAAGCACACTGTAGAGCCCTTACAGATGTTACAATTGTATCTATATCAACAAGTGATACTAGATTTAAAATCTCAGTAAAACTTGGTAACATAATTGTGGTTGCAGCAACTATTGGCTTAATATCTCCATCAGGATTTGCTGAAGTATTCACACTAGATAAGAGAGCTCCAAAACATCCGTAGATAGTCTCTGAGAGATTTTGGTTAATAACATCATTAACACTGCATTCTGCAGAGACACTGTTCACTCCTGCCAAAATAACTCTTCTAAATAAAGCTTGAGCAGACTCATATCTATTGTAATGATTAGTATCATTAGCCAATAATAAGGCTAATTCTTCATCAGTTAGGGGAGTTTTATATTTAAGAAGTACAGGAGCAGAGAAATCTCTCAAAATTGATGGAACTGGATCTGACTCTACATTATCAATAACAAATGTCTCTTGTTGAGAACTCAAAATTAAAGTTTTAGAAGGTAATATTTCCTTTCCTGTTTCTCTGCATAAAAGACCAACAGTAATTGGGATATAGAAGGGTCTCTTTCTGGGCTGACCAGGAGAGGGATTGCACCTTTGTCTTAATGTTATCGAGTAAGTCTTCAGCTTACTATCATAAACTGTAGAGACGACCTCAACTTCAGGAGTACCAGCCTGACTGTACCAACGTTCAAACTGAGTTAAGTCTACATTGTTTGCATCTTCCATTGCTTGACGGAAATCATCGCAAGTCACAGCATGTCCATCATGACGAGCAAAATATAAGTCCATTCCCTTTTTAAAGCCTTCCTTACCTAAAATTACTTCATACATTCTCACTACTTCAGCTCCTTTCCTATATACTGTAACAGTATAGAGATTATTTGTTGAAAGAACTGACTCAGGACGGATAGGATGAGCTAAAGGTCCAGCATCCTCTGCAAATTGAATAGACTTCATATAGCCAACATTAAGTAATAATTGATTTAATCTATCAGCCAAGCCTTTAGTAAACTCCTGATCTCTATACACAGTAAGACCTTCCTTAAGAGTCAATTGGAACCAATCCCTACATGTAACACGATTTCCAGTGTAATTGTGGAAATACTCATGGCCTACAACTCCTAGTATTAGGATGAATTCATTATCAGTACTTAAAGTATCTGAAGCCAATAGACAATTAACATTGAAAATATTAAGACTCTTATTCTCCATTGCACCAAAGTTAAATGATTCTACAGCAACAATATTGAATATATCTAGGTCATACTCAAGACCGAACTTTTCCTCATCCCATTTCATTGCTAGCTTTAGACTTTCCATTGCAAGAGTTAGTCTATCTACAAATCTTGGCTCACTATAAATAAATAACTTCACCGTACGTCCAGACATAGTTACGAATGAATCCTCAATATATTGTAAATTACCAGCAACAGCTGCAAATAAGTAACAAGGTTTAGGATAGGGGTCTGCAAATATAGCATAGTGTCTAATGGGTTCTTCGTCTGATTGCGAAACAATATCACCACTTTCGACTAAATTCCCATTAGACAGTAAAATAGGGCACTTAGACTTATCAGCTTCAATACGCACTCTGTACTTTGCCATGATATCTGGACGATCCAGGAAATAAGTTATTCTTCTAAACCCATCAGATTCACATTGAGTAGAGTATATACCTCCGGAATAATAAAGTCCCATATTCCGTGTGTTTTCTTCTGGGACAATCTGAACTTCAGTCTCTAAAATGAATTGTTGATCCTTCTTTGGCATCATATTACTCGTAATAACCAACTTTCCATCAGGGCCATCTGGTTGGAAATAACCTTTGTACAGGCTCTTTACCAGTTTAGTTCCATCTATCTTGACAGAGAGTAATTTAAGGCAATCTCCATCAAGAACTAGATCTGCACGATAGTTCGCACACTTTGGATTTCTACGCATGGTTAAACGAGAGTAAACATTTGTGCAATTATTGGATATTGATATATTTAAATAAACTGTTTCAATTAAGAAATTTGAAATTTGGTAGTCCTTTCGACAAATAGTGCCCTGTGGGTTGGATGATGGTAAAATGTGTAAGTTACAAATCCCCGAATCTCCACAGATGTTTGAAAGACCACATGTTGTTAATTTGTTACCCATATTTTAAGTAGATATAAGCCACGGAATTCTAGTCTTTTCAAAAATATGCTTCTAGCACAAGCAAAATAAATAAACTAGAAAATTCACCAATATCAAAGAAAAAAAAATATTTTAAGGCGATTTATTTAAGGGATATATCACTGTTAATCTTGTATAGTTTACTATTGTATAATATAGTACCCTCTATTTATCTCAAAAGAGTAAGATAATATGAGCTAACAAATCTCGACGCGTGCATAATTATACAATTTACCGCCTAAGACGAGACGATACAGTGCATCTTAGCGGGTTGTGTAGTTGTTTAAAGACATGTAAGCTAGTTTTAGTTTTGATATTGTTACTTTGAAAGGTGCACATAATACTTCATGTTATAGCTCATTTCGAAATAATTATTCTAAATTTCACCTTTAATACATATATATATAACTGCCTACAACTTAATTCCAATTTAATGTAGTACGAATTAGGGAATCTTGGTTGCGAATTAGAGGTACCTAGTACACATTACTAATACACTCTTCATACTAAAATATCTCTTAAAATTCAAGTTAATTCAACTACTATTAAAAATTAGCTTTATTGGTATGTATGTATTTCAAGATCATATATTGGCTGTTCCCCAAAAATTGGCAACTTAGTAAATACCCAACAAACCATTTAAAGAGTGTAAGAGTGTGATAGACAAAAGTATTTTGTTATCAATTACTTATATGAGAGGTTATTTAATATAAAGTCCTAGAAGATTTCTTTATGCTATATACCAACCAAAATTTTACCTACTATTTCCTTAGTATCTTTAGAGAGTGCTGGTTCTTTTAATATTCTTTCCAATTGTTTCTTCATTAAAAAATTTCGTTTTCCTGATACCTTATGTACCTCTGAAAATGCTCTAGCAGTACTTGCTGCAATAGATGGATTGAATCTATCAATATTAATGATCATATTTGCAACAAATAAATATCCATCACCTGATTCATTATGAAAAACCACAAAGTTATTTGCAAAAGTACCAACCAATGATTTGAAACGATTTGGATTTTTAAATTCTCTTATAAAATCGGCATGTTTAGCCAATTTTTCTATATAGTTGCAAGTTTCCAAATTGCTAGAAGAAGCTTGTATAGCAAAAAATTTGTTCAGAGAAATTGGATTATCATTGCAAAGTTCATATAATGTTCTTAAAGCAACTTCTGTTTGAGGCAAGTCAAACCCTATATCTAATAAAATAGACAATGCCCCCAACTTTGATGTCATTGATTTACTGTCATGAAATTGCATTGATGCTAGTGAAGTTGCTAAACTGGGATCTATAGCCGAGATATATGATAACAGAATGTTATTTAGTCGTCTCAATGTTACTACTTTATGATTTATACATCCAGATTCATGAATAAAATTCCCTATTTGTGAAACTTCAAGCGAGAGCTCTATGAAAATTTTGTGATATATGTCACTTATTTGAGAAGAAAAAAGCTTTGCTATACTTTTTTGAAGGTTCTTCCTGGCATATATCAACTGATCAACATCTATCCTAGATAGCTCTGCAGTAATCTCATCATAACTAGGAAGTGTTAGAGCTTCTATGCAAAATTCCAAGTCCTTCTGGAAGTCCTTACTGTTGTTCTTGTTATCCAAAAAATTTAAAATGCAAAATATTGATTTACTTATGTAATTGATAGGATATGGTCTTTTATTATCATTCATTGAATATTCTATGAAACGTTTATATAAATTTTGAATTGATTCAAAACGGTTAAAATAATCTGTATCATGTTTAAATATAAAATAAAGATCTTCATCACTCATTGGAGTCTTATATTTCAATTTTACTGGGGCAGAAAATTCCCTCAATATTGAAGCTATTGGTTCATCTTCAATATCATTAAATGTAAAAGTTTTCCTAGCAGAATCTAATACAACAGTAGTAGATCTTAAAAGCTCCTGACCAGTATTTCTACTTAATAAACCTATTACAATTGGAATATAAAGTGGCTTGTGCACACCAGTATTAATATTACTAAAATCACAGTTTTGGCTCAAAGTAATCGAAAATCTTTTTACTGTCTTGTCGTAATTTGTAAGCTCTACTTGAACTTTAGGAGTTCCACATTGGTCATACCAATGTTTGAATTGAGCCAAATCAACATTATTTGCATCTACCATAGCTTGATGGAAGTCGTCACAAGTTACAGCTTGTCCATCATGCCGATTAAAATACAAATCCATACCTTTTCTCAAACCTTCCTTACTTAGTATAGTTGCATACATCCTTATAACTTCAGCTCCTTTCTGATATACAGTACTTGAATATATATTATTAAAGTTCATTACAGAATTGGGACGAATAGAATGGGCCAAAGGACTAGAATCCTCTAAAAATTGTTTTGATCGAAGATATCTTATATTGCCTATACGAGTATGAATTTTAGACAAAAATTCCGATGAAAATTCTTGATCTCTGTACACCGTAAGACCTTCTTTTAGTGTCAACTGAAACCAATCACGACAAGTTACTCTATTACCAGTATAATTATGAAAATATTCATGCCCAACTATCCCCAATATATTCTCAAGTTCACTATCAGTGCTGAGCTCTTCAGAGAATAATAAATTATTAACATTAAAGATATTTAAACTCTTATTCTCCATAGCACCAAAGTTGAAATAGTCTACAGCTACAATGTTAAATATATCCAAGTCATACTCCAAACCAAACTTCTCTTCATCCCATTTCATAGCTAACTTGAGACAATCCATTGCAAATTTTAAACGATTTACATAATCTGGTCTACTATATATAAATAACTTCACAAGACGCTTATTAATTCCAGTTGTGTAGCTATCCTGTATATAAGACAAATCCCCTGCAACTAATGCAAATAAATAACAGGGTTTAGGATATGGATCGATATAAGTTGCATAATGCCTCGTAGCCTCTTTCTCATCATTTCGAATAATATCTCCACTTTCAACCAAATTTCCATTGGATAGCAGCAAAGGACACTTTACTTTGTCAGCCTCTATCCTTACCTTATATTTTGACATAATATCAGGTCTATCCATAAAATATGTAATTTCTCGAAATCCACTAGGTTCACATTGAGTAGAATAAATGCCATTAGAATAGTATAAACCCATGTTGTGTGTGTTTCTTTCTGGTACTATTTTTACAAGAGTCTCTAATTTAAATTCCGGTGAATTTTTAAGGCATTTTGAGGCAATCACAAGTTCATTATCTACGTTTGAATGTGATCCCTTTAGAATTTGATATTGTTCCGGAGTATTTTCCAGATATCTTCCATCTAATTTAACAGAAATTAAATTAAGATTTGGATGACCATTTAAGTGTAAGTTAGAACTGCTACTTCTTTCTAGGGGTTGTATAGTAAGTAGAGATTTAACTATCGTGAAATTTTCTTGTATATCTATCACCAAATCAATAGATGGAATTTTAAACTTTGGATACTCATATTTAGATCTATAGATAGGTTTTAAATACTTTTCTGTTATTTGAGAGGATCTCCGCGAGGCCTTAGAGATATGAGCCCAACTATTAATGCAAAATTCCCTTCCAATTTTGTGTCTCAAAAAACTCATACAGAAATATTACAAATGGCTCACTATACTAATAGGATATTAGCTGATTTAAAGAATCAAAAGTAAAAATGGAGGGAAGTTCAGTAGTACCTTGTAACAAATTCTAGAATAACTTAAAATCGAATAATCTTATTTATATACTAAGTATATATTCAATTGTTATTAAATTCAATAGATTCTTCCAAGAAGAAAATATATCATTAGAAAATCAGAATTTACTTAGTGCTATTTACAGATCATTAGAAGAAGAAATGAATGATCTGTATTAAAAAAAAAATGACCATCACTAAAATACTCGATGTTACGCTCTTCCTAGTAGAAACTCATACAGGTATATTTCGTACTATGGTTATAAGAAAAATGTTATAATTCAGTAAAATTATTGGGCGCTATGCTGAAGTAGCTACAACAGGTTGAAAACCTAGAACCTTGACAAAATTATGGATAAGTATATTAATGGGTATAGTGATGTTTCAGTTCATCATTTGATGCTTAAGGATGATGAGAGAACACGTTCTTATATGGAAGCTATTGAAAATTGTAGGGAACTTTTTGAAAATAAGATAGTTCTAGATGTTGGTTGTGGTACAGGAATCCTGTCATTATTTGCAGCTAGAAATGGTGCAAAGAGGGTATATGCTATAGAATGTAGTGAAACATTTTACTTAGCAAAGCGTATAGTTGAAGATAATGGTATGTCTAGCAAAATTCAGGTTATTTATGGGATAATTGAAGAAGTCGAACTACCTATAAAGAAAGTAGATATCATTGTTTCAGAATGGATGGGATTCTATCTTTTACATGAGGGAATGTTGGATAGTGTGATATATGCTAGAGATAAATGGTTAGATAGAAGTAATGGCCTAATTTTTCCTTGTTTAGCAACGATCTATATATCTTTAGCTAACATCTCAGAATTTTGGAATACCAATTTTGAAAGCTTTGATAACTTTTATGGTTTTGATTTTTCTGCGTTAAAAAAAACTTTACTTTCAACTTATCTCAATGTACCGTCCATTATAAGTATTTCAGATGAAGCTGTTAGAAATTCTTCAGTTGAGAAAGTTTTTTTTCTAAACCTTTATAAAATTAATAGGCAAGATCTTGATGATCTTAAAAGGGTTGTAATAATTAAAGTTACTGATACAATCGAACAGGTTCATGGATTTGCTTTTTGGTTTGATGTACAATTTCCCTCTAAAAGTGAGACTGAACGAAATATGCAAAGGAATGAAGCTCAAATCTTGTGCAATTACGATCAACTAATACTGAATACTGAACTATGCTGTTATAAAGAAGCAGTAGTTCTTTCAACTTCTCCTTATTCAAAGGCAACACACTGGAAACAGAGTATATTATTGTTACATAGTCCACTAAAAGCAAACAAAAACTTAAATTTGACTTGCAAAGTATCAATGAACAGAAATAGAAATGAATCTCATCGTTTCTACTCAATATCTGTAGATGTTATAGATACTAATGAATAATTTCTAATATATATCTTTTTTTGTTTCTAATTTTGATACTACAAGTTATTTATCATTTAATAAAAATACTTGGAGATATCTAGGGAGCTTATTTTACAATTTCTAATATTTAATGGTATATATTACCAACTTAATAATTTTAAAATATATTCTAAACTAAAAACTTACAATAAAACTATAATTTACTAATTATCAAAATCAATTAGCTAAATATTTACTGAGTTAATTTAATGTTATATTATTATCTCTGTTGACCTATAACAAACCAAAAAGATATAAACAATCACAATTCACTTAAAATTTAACATTAAATATTATCATTATTACTTTTTAATATTTTAATCTAATAAAAAAGGATCAATATGTAGTTAATATTTCAAGTGTTAATATTACAACCTGTTCATTGAATCTAAAGTTAAGAAATAAATGGATCCACTTACAAGTTAACTAACAAAAACTTCACCTATATTTAATACTAAAATTTTCAGTATTCTATACTTTGAATTGAATTATTTTGTGAATAAATGCATAATATGTATATAATATATGAGAAAAAAAGTTATCCTTAATGTTTAGATTATATTTTATTATTAATTTCTAGAATACTTTATATTGAAATATTGACGATAAGATTATTATTTTATTGTATAAAATAACTTTTATGTAGTCTATATGGAATATTCAAAGAAAGTTTACTGGATGAAAGGTGATACTTTTTTCAAACTATCTATTGAATACATGAATTTCTCACTTATATTTATAAACAATTATAGTATTTTTTCTAAGAATATCATTATAGTCAATATTAACTGAAATTGTTCAGGTATGTGAAATATGATTAATAGAGAATATACTCATTTACATGAGAAAATATATAATCATATATAGATATATATTTCTTAAATTAAAAAAGAACAGTTATTAATCTAAAAGGTTATAAATATATATATTTTTAAAATTTTAGCTTAGTACTATAGAGATTACTAAATTCTGACCAAATTAGTCACAAAATATTAGTATGAAAATTAAGGATCTTCTTTATAAAAATGCTATAAATCTATATTAAACAAGTTCTACCTGCATAAGAATGAAACCAAATGAATTTTTATATTCCATTATAATTTTTTAAGGCAAATTTCCGGTGCGTCTATGTATCTATTATACTTGTGGTCAGCCAAATAGTCAGACTAGTATGAAAAGTTAAAATTTAATAATCTATTAACTCATGAAAAATGCTTGCTAACTGGATAATTCCAGTTATTGTTACTCTAAGTATTCTTTTATTTATTTCATTAATGCTGCTACTTTGGACATTGCTTAGATCTTCTCACTATATTACTTCAATATCTAAATCTCAAAAAAGTAAGTGATATATAAATAAAATAATGTTATATATTGTCATTGAATATCTATAATTGTCGTTATTTTAGGCCGTGAAGAATTTATGCAAGAGATGAAGTCAAATTTAAACAAAAATCCTAATCAGTATTGTAATGGACACCTCTCAGCACTATGAGACTCATATCTAAGCTATAGTTAATAGATCTCTTACAAGTTCACACTTCTAAGCAAAAATAAACCCAATATACTCCAGAATATATTAGTATTACATTCAAAACTACAATACTAGTTTAAGTGTCATGTATAAATTTAAATAAGCCTTATATGTATGTTTTATATCTAAAAAAAAAAAAAATCTAGACCTCTCATTTTTGCCAAAAGATAATAAAAAGATATCCAATTTCAGCATCGAAATATAAGCGAAAATTGTGAATAATTTAAGGTGACCACGATAAACTAATATCTCGTCGAGTTACTCATAGAGTTGGATGATATATGAAAGTACATAAAAATACTGGAGAAGTAATAGATAAGATTAAGTTAAAGTCTAACCAGTATATAAATTCATTTCATCTCTATATCCACCTAGGTATTAAAAGATAGGAATTTAAAGTATTGATAATAATAATGATCAAAAAATATATCTCGTTATACTGTTTCCCTTCTTTTAAGGAGAATAATAGTATATCTTATAGCCTCCTCAAAAAGTCTCAAATCCTCCAACTGAGCCTCTGGAAGGTTTTTCAAGTACTTTACCGATATCGATGCCTTCATATATTTTATGCACAGTACTTATAAGTTCCAAAATACGCGGTTCCCTAAAGTGTGGAATTGTATTAAACTTTTATCTAGGTAATTTGAAGCCTGTAATTCAACTGAAATGAGCTCTGCAGCTGACCCTATTGTTCAATATATACTTGTAAGAACTGATTTAAATTGGAATCGTGGCTCAATTACTGCTCAGGCATGTCATGCAAGGTAAGACTGAAATTCATTGAAATTGTTATGTCCATATTTAGATGTCAAAAGTAGAACTTTCATTGTGTATTCATCTATTTAAAATCATTATTTAATTATCAATATAGTGTAGCTGCTATAGTGGAAAATATTACAATGCCTACAGTGCAGTCATATATTCAAGATATCAACAAGATGCATAAAGTAGTTTTATGCACAGACTCATCTGAATCACTAATTAAACTTTCCAATCTGCTTAAGGAATCTGGAATTATACACAAGTTATGGAACGAAAAACCTGAAGATATCCCAACTTGTATAGCTACAATGGTAAGTTTTCTTCTTACAAATCCCATGGAGATATAATTATTTATAAGCTTTATATAACATAATTATTAATTTAACAGTTTATTTGCTAGTTTTACTATTGCAGTATATAAGTATATATTTAATATTAATCTGTCCCCATTTCTTCAGCCAAATTCCAAACATATTCTAAAAAAGTTTTTCGAATCTTTTGAGTTATATAAATAAATACAAGTACTTAAAGTATGACTCTGTAATTCTTCAACAAGAACTCTAATACATATTACTCTCAGCGTAAGATCATATTCTCATGTAACCTAGAAAGTACACTTAAGCATCTTTTTGGCGGTGTATCACACTAGTACATAAAGCTTAGGTAGTACAGCATTTCTTAAGAAGTTCTCATGTATGACTATCTTAATGAATATCCTATCGAATGGAGGTAGGGTGTATAAATTTATGAAGTTTCCTCTTAGGAGATTTATGTATTCAACTCACAGAAAGTTGATGTACCACACAATTTTTAGAAACGCGATATACTTGGCAACAAAACAATTTTGTCTTTGCCTAAACAATTACAACAAGAAGTATTTGGAAAACCGAATCACTCACTTATATTCTAATTATAAATTACAGGGAAATTCATATATATGTGGAACAACTGACACAGAAGGATTAGACAAAAAATATATTAAGATCGATTTTAATACTACGAAATTAAGTACTTCACGTGAAAATATGTTAAGGAACCATGAGAATTTAACAGTAAGTATTAAAGATAAAAGTTCTGGAAAAGATAACCCTTTAGAAGTGGAGACTGAGGAGAATCGACATCAAAGTTTGAATAAGGATCAAAAGCCTACTACATACAGTTCAGCGCAATTCCTGATTTCTGCAGGAGGTCTCACAACAATACTGTTTCTATTACTAATAGATGTGGATAGTAGTTCTACTGAAGGAAAAGTGAAATATATGAAATTCAAAAGCTGGAAGAGAATTTTAGATAGCTTTGAGGACTTTAATGATTGGACTTATGATTGGATTATTGATAACATTATCAACAAAATATTCCCTCTGAGTAATGAACCGCTACTTCCAGAATTTGAAGATTTGGGATATCCTGAAAACCTCCCAACATTAGTTTTAGATTTAGATAAACTGATATGTAAGTTGTCTCACAATAGAAAAAATGGTTGGGGTATTGTTAAGAGACCTGGTGCTGATAGGTTATTTAAAGAGCTTATGCATTATTACGAAATAGTAATATGGAGCGATGAAATATTCCCTATCCCTCAGGATGCTGTAAATAAATGGAATCTACCTGTGATAGGAGTTCTAGATAGAACCCAATGTACGAGGAAGAGAGGGAAGATTATTAAGGACTTATCACGTTTGGGAAGGGATTTGAATAGAGTACTGTTAATAGACCATGATTCCAATGCAGCCTCAATGCAACCTAATAATGCAGTAATCTTATCGAGCTATGATGGTGATCCAAATGACAGAGAACTTGAATATCTTATTGACTTTTTAAAGGCAGCAGCAGTGCAACCAAGCAGTCTTCAAGATTTTCTGAATAAATATGGTGGAGGAGATAAAGACATTGGATTAAGATATAAACTAGAGAAGACTGAGATTGAACGTAGAAGTCAAGCTAGACGACCTCTTGGAAAGTTTTTCGCATCAAAAGGCATCAATACTTAGACTAGGAAATTTGTTCACATCCTATGATAATCTATACATCTATTTTAAGTAAATTCTACATGTTTACTAATATTGATATGTTTACTTTTATCTTTGATCTGGGATAGATCTTGATTTTGAGTGCCTAATTCACTATTGTGAGTATCATCTTTTTCTTTACTCATACCTAGTAAGGAATGACTATCTATCTCGAAGTTATCTTTATCAGTACATTTTGAAGTATTATATAATGTTTCAGTATTTTGTTCGGTACTTTCCCTTAGAATAGCTTCTCGAAGGTCTCTTCGTTTTTTCTTTAGACCCCCTTCCTTAAAAGCTAACTCATCAAGCTCTTGCTGAGTTTTCTTTACAAATCTATGATACAATACAGCCCCCTCACAAACTTCATCAACTATTTTAACTAGCTTCATTGTAATTCTTGGCCCTAACTCCTTTAAACTTACTGATACCTTTCCAGTTAAACTTCCTCCTTTCTCTGATAGACCAATCTTCTCCTTATTAACAAATACAGTTTCTTTCTTTGGTATTGAAATTTCTACTGCATCTTCCACCTCGCTATCAAAACTGCTACCTGTATTGTTAGATAAAATATAATCGGCAATATCAGCACTTCTTCCAATACTTTGTAATTTAAAAGCTGATGTTTGAAGCAATAACCTTTTCACTGCTCTTGAAACACCGGCTGGATATCTAATTATTGCATAGTGCCTCAGCTCAAATTTATCCATATCCTTATCATAATCTATAAGAACCACCCTTCTACAGGATCTTATCTGAGTCTTAGCCAAATCTATTGCGGGAAACATACCAATAATAGTAGCTTGAACTAAATCCAATGAAGTTCCTTTAATATCCATATTCTTCAATCCATTCATAACTAGTAAAGGAGAAACCAAGTAGTCAGTTTTGCAAGAACGTGGTCTTTTCTGTGAAGACCTAACATCATGCATTAAGCAAAAGTTCTCAATACAAAATGTAAGAGTTGGACCTGCAGGCAACACTACTAGGCGTAGATATAAACTACTATTAGTTTGACTGAGAATTAACATATGGGATATTCCTAAAGGGCCAGCAATACTTATAAAATCTTTCAATTTGTTAGCTCTCTGCTCCTTTAGCCTCAAAGAACTCCATGGAGACATTAAATATCTCAAATCTATGATGAGTTGTTTTACTGATTGCATTACTTTCCCACGTCTTAAGACAAAACACTTTGGAATAGATTTCAATTCTTCCTCTGCATCTTCATCACGGTGAGTTCTTGTTTTCTTTCTTCTACCATGTACCCTTGGCATATTAAGAAAATAAAGTGGATTATACCAACTAATTTAATTAAAAAGTCCTAGTATGATACCTTTTGTAGGAAGTTATATTCAGGATCTTTGCAAAAAAAAAAACCTCATTTAGACCAAAATTAATATATTATCGATACCCAGTTAGCAGCTAGAGAAGACAGGACGCCCGCCCACCCAGGTTATATTACCTCTGAAGGTCTCAAATAGATTATCGGAGCTTAAGGTACTGCAATAGTTTAATTATGACATTTGTGCTTTTATCTATTGTAGTCAGACCTTTAAGAAATCTTAATTTACATTTATATTTTGTAGTGAGGTGCTGAGGCCTATTAAAGAACTTTTTATATGGACTCCTTACTACTGGATTTGGAATCTTCTTTAAAACATTTATCCACTATTGATGATGCTTACAGGTTAGCATTAGACAACTTCAGTATTATAAAATCCACTATAGAGGAAAAAGGTGGTGCTTGTACAGTACCTATGCTAATAAGGGTAACGCTTGATACGCTGGAACGTGTCATAAAGTATGAAGGAGAATCTCTTAAAATTATTACAGGTCTAATAGTGTTGCTAAGGAAATTAATTGAAATATTGGATATAAATCTATTAGGAATCAACTATGCATCAGTATCAAGATATATCATATACGAGCTAGTCAGTTTAATGAAGAAATTAGTTGAATCAACGTTTTTGGGATGTATGAGACATTTGATTATATCACTACGACATATATGCTCTATTGTGAATGAAATGAAATTAAGTACAGATCTCATTATATCACTAATTGATATATTTATGAATCAAAATATTAACGATAGAAATAATGAGATAGAGATTTGCATACTAGAAACTATATCACTAACACAAAGCAATACGACCTTAATTCTAAATGTTCAAAAATATTTAATTAACATACTCCTTAATAATGATAAAAAATATATTGAATCCACGGGGGATCTGGTTTCAATCCACAAAGTTCAAATGAAGAAATTATCAAAACTCTTCCGTCGTTTAATTCATATATTTGACGAAAAACAGCAATATGAATTTATTTCAGTTCTAACTTTGTATACTACAACTTCACAATATAAGTTCTTGGCATGCACTTCTCTAGAGTGTATTTCAATAATTTTAAAAAGAGTACCAGAGGAAGAAAGCTGTAAGAGTACATATTTATTGGCTATTTTTGCTTTAAAGTCCTTATTGAACCTACCTTTGCCATCAACAATAGATATGCTACTATTATCAAGATATCTTGAAACTTGTGGTAATTGTTTGACTTGTATTGTATCTGAAATTACCTGTATTAACAACTTGGAGATTCAAATTTGTGATTTAATCGATAATTTAGCTTACAGAATGCAACAATGTATTAACTCTATAGATTCTAGTGTGCACTTAACAATTGTGAAGTCTGCAGGCACTATTTTAACTACAGCTCAAAAAGCAGTTTTAAACTTTCTCAAAAATAGTGCAAACACCCATGTGAATCTTGCTTTATTTCAACATTTACTGTCACGTTTAGAGCCATTATGTAGTACAATGTTGGAGGATTATAAATGCAAAGTTTCCTGGCCTCCTGCATTAGTATTAGCCTCTAAATTGATAGATAAATGGGATGAAATTACTTTAAATAGTTTGAAGGGCTTTGCAGATATTATAGATAAGTTAGAAAGTGCTCGTGACGAAGCAACAACACTATTATTCCCAAATTTAATTTCCCGTGTTTTGAATATGGCATCTGTAGCTTTAGCTGGGAATGAAACTACCGAAATGTCTTCTATAATATATAGTGATGTTTTTCCATGTAGAAATGAGTTGAGGTGTTGTGTCGGAGCCTTTATTCGTGCATTTGGACCTTCGAGAATTTTAAATTTAAAACCAATAAACTTCGATTGCACTCTACTATCAGATCCCCTTTTTGGAATTAAGACAAATTCATGGTTACTACCTTTACTTAGAGTTCATACTACTAGAACTCATCTGAGCTTCTTTTTAAATGAATTTTTACCTATAGCTCTGAAATTAGACACATTATCTATTAAATTAGTTGACTCTGAGCCAACTCACTCAAGGCTATACAGAATTCTTGAAGAACAAATTTGGTCTCTTCTCCCAGGCTATTTCGATGAAGTTGTAGATCTTCCACAAGTACTTTTAGATGCTAAATATACAACTAACTTACGAGTATATATGGTGCAGCTATTAGACAGAAATGTAACTCGAGACTATGTCTGTAATGCTCTTACTAAGCTCTGTAAACAAACTTTAATTGGGAAGAAATTGAATTCTTCCCAATTAAATGAAATTAATGATGCTAAGAAGACGTTAATGAATGATCAAAGAGAGTATATAGTTATTCAATCTATATGGAAGCAAAACATTCCTGTTCTATCACATGATGTGCAAACTTTCTTGGCTTTGATGGTTGTGAAGTTCCTTGCACTACACAAAAGTGATATAGAAAATACTCAACCTTCTACAGTAAAGGAACAAGCAGCTCAACATTATTTGAACTGTATCCAAAGTATGGTACCACTTTGTCCTAATGAGATACTAGAGGATAATATTTGCAATTTCAATAGAGTTTGGGAAAAATTAGCAATCGGAGTTGATAGTTCTCAACTACCAGTAAGAAGTTCTGAAATTATAGCCTTGGTTGATGTGGCAACTGTAATGATTACTAGATTACCTATTAAAATAGTTTTGGAACTTATCTCTACATTTGCAAGACTTTTAAATATCCTTATGAACAAGGGTGAAACCAAGAAATGTAAATCAAACTGTACTAATCAACTTCACCGAAAGCTTTACAAAGGGCTACGGGAAGGACTTGAAATTTTAATTTTAAGTGAAGATGAGATGATAGTGAAAAGTATGGACTGGATAACACAAGTTTGGAAGACTACATCACAGGATACTGAAACTTGTCCACCCAATGCTTTGAAACACCGTTTAGGATACTTGAGAAAGTTTGTTAATTTTTTGAAAGTGACAAGTTCTGAGAAAGACTTTAAGCTGCTTTATAATTTTGATAAGACAGAGCTTATTCATACACTTATTCCTGAAATTTTATTTTGTATGTGTGAATTGAACGTTGGGGTCCGAACGAATGCATTAGCTCTGTTAAAGGCAATAATTGAGTGCTTTATAGATGATTCGGATATGCTTCAAAATATCATTATAACTATAATTTCAGCATCTGGTGTTAGATCATATAATTTAGGTAATCACGGCTACATGAAGATCGCTTGCTTAATTGCATTATCTCGAGTTATTTTTGATTATGGAGATATTTTTAAATTATTTAAAATATCTGGTGTATATAATGTACATGAAAAACCTGAATCCTGTATAACATTAGTTTCAAACGACTTTGAATCACACCAATACAAAGTTTCAGATGATGCTACCTCTACATCTATAGTATCAAATAACTCTTGTAGACCTTTTGAAACAAAGACTAGTGCATTGACTTTCTCTGGAAATTTGGAAAGTGGTGTTTCTTTATTAGAAACAATAATGGACGTTTGCATAGTAAATCTATGCGACCTAGATAGTTCTGTTTACCTGCAAGCATTAAAGTTTGTTAAAGTGTGTATTCATGTTTTAGATCAACAACAACTAAATAAATTTGTAGGTAAATTTGTTCCACTAATACTAGATAACAATCATAACACTCTCAAGCATCGTGTTAATGTGAGAAGGTTACTTTTGAAACTAATTAAAAAACTAGGAAGTGAAGTTACGCTAGTGGCCTTTCCGTCTAAACATCATGCTCTTCATCGTTATCTTGTACGACACCTGAGACGTCAAAAAATTAAGAAAAGACATAAAACTAATGATGGTAGTTTAAGTAAAGACGAAGAGGATTTTGAGGCTATTATGCAGGGACGAAGAACGAAAGATGAGGAGACAGATGATGAACAAGATTATAATACTGAATATAGCGAAGGTCATGAAAGTTCTACAAACAAAAAGATTACTACCCACGTAGATAGAAATGTTCTTGTTCCACCTAGTATCTCAGGACTTCTGGAGGTATTTGAAATGGACGATGAAAATTATAATAGTTTAGATATAAGGAACACTTCCAAGCGAAAATCTGAAGATCTATCGTTAACTATACTAGAAGATTCAACAGGTCCTGATGACTGCCCACTTGATTTATTGAGCTCAAAGGCTTCCCAAAAGATTATTTTGCAGAGGAAAAGACAGAATACATGCAAATCAGAAGATTTGGAACATATGGATGATAGTATATCATTTGACAATTTTGGGAAGATTGTGATCAAAAAGGCGAATAAAGAGATTAACAGTTTTAACTTAGATATTCCGAGAGACTCAGTACAATATATCGAACCTAACAAGATAGAAAACACAAAACAAGATACACAGTGGGTATCAGCTTTAAAACAGAGACGCCAAGCTAAGTTTGAACAGGCAAAGAAAAGAAAGCAACATATATTAATTAAGTCAGCTAAGGATTTTAAATCTAAAAAGGGAGGTGGTGATATATCAAAGAATGGGTTACAACCATTTGCATATATGAGACTAAATCCAGCTCTATACAAAGAGGAACATCGTCTTCAAGCGACAAAAAGCATTTCTAATTTAGTTTCCAAAGGAATCTACAAGAAAGTAACCTCTAGAAGACGAGCCTATTAGAAATACCACATTTCAAAGTTTTAATATCTAGTGTGATTTATATTAGGAACACCCCTAGTTCTGCACTTTTGTAACTATATATAAATCAAGGAATAACAAAATTTGAACTTGCTAGTAGTATACCTAGCCAGTAACATACTTGAAGGTTGAATAGTTTTTGCATTACCTCTGATATCTATCAATATTATGGTGTGTAAATTTACATCTATAGTTCACAGATAACCTCGTACATATCCCATGAAAAGCCAAACAAAATATATTCTTGGGTACTATTAATGTCTCCAATTAATAAATTTAAGCGAAATATCCCTATATATATATATACACCTCAAAATAATTCGTGAACAATAAGAATTAACTTAAGATACAAACAATAGGAATAATTCACATTGTGTCTCTATTACAAGGTATCTCAAAGATTTTTACAAGTGCCTCTCATTCAACGACCAGTTTATTAATTAAGATTTTAAATAGTAATAGTAACAGTAATAAAACTATCTAACAAGGTAGGAAGGGCCAATTCACAAAAAGCCATTACAGATACCATTTTCTTAATATGGAGGCTGTCTACTTCCTCCAGAAGGAACACCACCAGATGGATATCCACCTCTTGTTCTTGGAGGCTCACGATCTTCCCTAGAATAGTAACTACTGTTTGGAGGATATCCATCATTGGGTCGACGCTCTCTATCCTCATCTCGGGGATAATATGGTCTTGAGCTCCCATAATGTCCACTTCTAGGTGACAAGCTTCTACGGTCATACTGAGGTCTGCTTCTGCTTTGAAAACGGTCATCAAAGCGATCAGAAGGGTGTCTGTCACGATCCTCATGAGCAAGGGGAGGATATCGGTCTCCATAACCACCACGCAGTTCATCTCGGCGTGAATAATATTCATCCCGAAGAGGTGGCATGCGATCATCATAACCTCTTCTGAACCTGTCATCCCCATGAGGATATCTGTCTCTACGATCATATCCATCTCTTCGTGGAGATCTACTACGTTGGCGATACCTAGGAGGTGATGGATAACGACTTCTAGGACGACCTCCATAAGGACCTGAAGAATAAGATGGAGGTGATCTCCTCTTAATTCCATAACCATTAGCAGCTGCCAATTCCCTATCTAATTGCCCCACATCTTCTTCTGCTCTGATAGTTTTACCCAGAAATGGTAAGTTGGGGATTTCTTCCAAGGCTCTCTTCATCTCCTCAACAGTCAAATATTCAACTACACCAACCTTCTGGCCTTGGTAGTGGAATACAGCTGAGTAATTTACCTCTCCGATTTGTCTTCCATAGTCCTTAAGATCTCTCCAAGATGCATTTTCATCCAAGTTAAATACACATACACGGTAGTGTTTTCTAGGAGGTCCACGTCCATCAGATGGTAGAGGACGGTTATATTGAGGTTTATTGGTATTTTCTACATCCTTTGTTCTCACTAAAGGATCATGTGGTTGAACAGCAATTCTTTGGCCACCAAATTCCACTCCATCCAACTCTCTATGAGCCGCTTCTGCCTGACTTTCTTCTTCATATTCTATAAAGCAAAATCTTTGTTTAAGTTCTAGTTTACTAATTGTCCCAACTTTCGAAAAGAAGTCCCTTAGGTCTTGTTCTGCATACCCTGCTGGCAGATTACCAACAAATACCTTGCCTGACATAAGAGAAAATTAATTAGATGCAAACCAATAGATTTATTTGTGGGAATCCCCAATATATATGAGTTCTTTGTAGGAAATAGCACTAGATAAATTAGGTTTGTACTTTCTGACTATAGAGTTCTACTAGGTCAACAAGTACTACTCTGACGAGTTCCACATAAAGATAGAAAACTTACGAGGATTAGCTGCTAGAGCATCCATTTAGTTTATTACAGTACTTATCAAAAGGAAAAAGACTACTAGTGATATACTCGTTAACTTTTCTTTGGTTGTAAATATTTGTCTCCCGACACCCCTACATGCCGCCTGTCTCAATTTAGACGAGACGGTACACTAGAGAGGCTGTTTATAGTAGTATAATTGGGGTAACTATAAATTAGCATGTCAAACTTATGGTGTATAAGACAATACATTCATGAATATTTTCTCCACTAAAGTAATTTTAGATACTATGTGTGCTCAAATAAACTAAAAGAAATGATTGAAGGAATAAAGAAACATATTAATGAGACTTTGGAAAGTGCACTTACACAGGGTTTTACTTCAACTAATTGTGGTATTCAAGGGGAATTAGATAATGAATATTCACTTGTTAGATTAAGAGGAATGGTTGAATTCTGTTTAGAACCTGAATTATACGTATATGCAGCAAGATATAAAAACAATACTGGTAACAATAAGGAAGTGTTCTCGGGTATATTTAAGAGTAATATGAAAGAATTGGGAGATAATCTAGAGATAATCAAATTTGATACTAGACAAGTATACAAACTTGTACCAATACCATATCTAACTTCTTGGGCAAAAAGTGGAGAAACTTCATCGCATGATATCTGCAATTGTGATGAAGAGTTTCCTCCACTCAACTTGAGAGTTTATAAATTCTCCCAAGACTTAAGTCAAAGTAGGAATAATTTAGAATTTCATTTTATTTTCAAGAGTATAATGAATTTTATAAGCCTTGGTGATAAAGGAGGTGAATTGCAAGATGAATTTAAAGTTAACGAACTTTTAGAAGTAATTGGACTAGTTGAAGTGTTTACAGTTGAGTTTCCAGATAGCAGCGATGCAAGTACTTGTGCTGATTTAAGTTGTAGAGGAAATGAACTTCAGATAAATATAGAATCAAGTGTACCTTATGCAGTGGAAGTAGTTGGTAATCAATTTAAGGAGCTATTATCTAATCAAGAAGACGAATTGTCCCAAGTTATTTGCCCAAATGAAAGTTTCGAATTAAGAAAAATATATATGATTCATGTTCTTGGCTATAAAAGAATATCCAACTACGTCCCGATTCGAAGTTTAACATTAGGATTTGATGGCTACCTTGCAGAAAGAATACTAGCAGCAAATAATAGGGATTTCCTGAATAAGCTTATATTAAGAGGTCCTTGTAAGAATTTAGACTCACTTTACAATACTTTGTTGAATTATATTGCAAATAGAGCTTTTTCTGGGAATTTACTTGTTGCGGAATATGTATTGTTGAGTATATGTGCTAGAAAACTATCAAACATTAATGTTAAAGACGAGTTCAATATTAATGATAGCACTCAAAATTTAGGCTATATTGCACTTCATATAAGTAATATCAGTAATCATTCAAATCGCCTTGTTGTAAGTAATATCTACAAAGTTTTCAATGATCTCATGCCACGCTTAATTAATATAGATGTAACAATATCAAATTTAAATTCTGATAACTTTACTCCATGGTATGATTCAAATTCTTGTAACTTTCATACAGGTTTACTACAATTTCCCAATGAAAGGAATCTTGTAATTATAGACGAAACAAATCTAGAAGAAGGTAAACTAACTCTTAAAGGAATGGAAAATTTATTGAATATAAAGTCTCTACTATCAAACAGTATAATTAATTATAAGTTTCCAGCCTATCAAGTTCCAATTAGATGTGAGGCAAATGTAATCCTGCTATCTTGTGGAGCCAAATCCTTAATTGGAGATTTTATACTGAAAGTTCCTCTGGATGATGTTTTACAGGATGAATTCATTGAATATACCAATGAGGATATAATTTCTAGAGATCTATTGTATCAATTAAGACTTTATATTGCACTTGTTATAAGTTGTACAGATACTGTATATTGTGATGAATCGGTTCTGAACCATGTCTCACATACATTTGCTGAGAGAAGACAAGCTTTCTCCAAGGATGGAAGAGAACAGATAAGACCTGATATTCTCCATTCTTGGATGGCTTTATCCCGATCTTATACTCTATTAAAAGGTGAAACAAATCTCACAAAACAAAATTTTGACTATATAATGAAACTAGAGACAAAAAGAATGAAATAACGATGTATAATATGTATAGTTGTCTCAAATTCATATAATAAACCTGTTATAGTAATTACTTTTTCTAGAAGTTAAGCAAACTATCCATTACCGCGCTTATTTTACTAGGCTAAAGATTGTAAATATTGTTAGAAGTTTTGGAACTTCGTAGAACTGTAAAAGACAATTCATTTCTAACTTGATCATATCTATGAGTATTTAGTTTCCTTAGATATTCATTTACTCTAGCATTATTTCATCCCAATTTCTTGTTTATTCTATCAGTGGCTTCTAATATTTGAAGAGTGAACAGAGCTAGTCCTACTTCTATTAATAACATCATGAAGCTTTACTTCATATAAGCAAATCTTCTTGATATCATCGTATCTATACTCTGGAGGACAGCTAGGAGTTGGAGGTATTGATTCCTGTCTTTTACATGTTGCTCCTTTCGGGTCATTTACTAAATTATAGCCTTTTATACAAGAAATACTGGGTTGGGAAAATTCCAGAGTTTGGCAATTGAAAGTCTCAGCTACCCATTCAAAGCCACTTGGGCATGAAATTTGAGCTAAATCCCTCTTATGTCCTACACAAGTTGGGTTTCCGTCTGGTGTTTGCTGAAGTTCAGTAAACGATGGACAATCAACTAATGGTTGTATAGTATTCTCATGTACACAAATCTGTGCAATCTCATCTAACTGATACCCCTTGACACATACACTATCAGGATTTGTAATTCGAGTTTCTACACACTTGCCATTCACTAAAATATTCCCTTCAGGACAATTCACAATCATTTTGTACCTTTTCCCCCAACCAAAGCAGACCATACCACGAGTCTTCTCGCTCTTGATAAGTATAGGCGTCCCTGATCCCAATGCTTCAAATTGTTTGCGAGATACCTTGGAGTGTCCTACCAGTGCCCCTTCTATAGTTTGCTGTATATTTCCTGCAAGTTGGTTCTGCGTAGTTGGGAAAAATTCTCGTTGTGTATAAGATTCACTATATGAGACATGTTGAAGTTTTCTTTCAATACTGGTCCCCTGTGGAACAGGTAGTACTGGACCACGTCCTGCTCCTGGAGGAGGTATTAAGTCCTGTCTAAGTGCAAATGAATTCTGTCTTAACTCCAAAAAAGGTGGACATTGGAGCATATAATCCTGATACCACTTTACACAAACATTGGTGTTAGTCTGATAATATCCCAAGGGACAGTAGAAAGATGCTGGAACACTCTTTTTTAATACACAAGCCTCTCCTTCTTGAACATAGCCTTCTGGGCACATTATTAATGGCAATTGAGCATCCTTAGCTTTACAAGAATTAGTGCTTTGATCATAATCAGTACCTTGAGGACATTTAGGATGAGGGGGTACTTGAGACTCTTTTTCACAAATAAATGTTGAATTATTTAATATGTATTCCTCGGGACATTGAGGATCTACTTCACATTTAAGAGTTTGTCTGTTCAAAGTTGTTCCTTCTGGACAAATAAGGTCTGCCTCTTCTTTTTTTACACACATTCCACTGAGAATATTTAAAGTATAATCTTTGGGACATTCTACTTCTGCTGGTAATAATTTCTCTGATACACACATATTATTACTATCAGGTTCAATACCTCCCTCACAGGCCTTGGGAGGAACAAAACTATGATAGTGATGGCATGTACCGTTTGTTGTCAGTTCCAAACCTGGAGGACATTCTACGTGAGGATCTGCAAATTGGAGTATTAAACAAATGATCTCATCTCCTACTGAAGCTTCATTTAACACTCCATGATTCCTTAACCCTGATGTTGAATTGTATAGGGCTTGATAAAATGTATCATTAACATTGTTAGATGATATTTGTGATTGACCTCTATAATATTGTGAATCTGAATTTGTTAAAGGAGATCCATAAATCGATGATGGGGTATCTGCACTATCCGCTATTGTAGCAGTTGATCCACCTCCATTTGATCCACCTCCATTTGATCCACTATAAGTTGATGACGAACTGCCTGAATTACTCCCTATTGTAGGAATTGATCCACCACTATTTAGTCCACTATAAGTTGATAAAGAACTACTTGTGTTACTCCCCATTGTAGGAATTGATCCACCACCATTTGATCTACTATAATTTAGTGACGAACTACCTGAATTACTCCCCATTGTTGGAATAGCTCCTCCGTTATACACTTCTCTTCCAGTATGTTGGTATCCAACTGTTGGTATTGGTTGTAATTGTCTATATGGAGCTGGTGATGTATCTTCAGTTAGTTTATTAAGTAAGCTCTTCATATCACTTAAGTCTCTTGACTTTACAGGTATAGCTCCTGGGGGGCAAACTTCCAAAGGTTCCACAATAACTTTTACTATGCAAGTCATCGTAGATGCTTCAAAGAAAGTATTCGGTGGACAATTGAATTCAGGCTTAGTTTCTAAAACTTGTTTACAGTTACCATCTTTATCTAATGAATAACCAGGTATGCAAGTCAAATTTGGAGGTTTGTAATCTCGTATTAGACATTGGTCATTCTCTTTAATTGAACCATCAGGGCACTTAAAATTAGCTTGTTCAAAAAATTCTGATGGACAAAAAACTTCACGATCTATAAATACTGGTGGTAATCCATTTGCACAGTCAAACTGAGCATCTGCCAAGATCTTCATAATACACTCCATTCTACCATTTTCTGTTTTAGATATTTCGTAATTACTTGGACATTCCACATTTGGAGGAACAGTTTGAATAAATAGACAGGACTCACCTACTAGATCATATCCTTTTGGGCACAATAACTTTGGAGATACTGGTAGTTCTCCTATTGTAGGAGAAAACCCACCTTTGTCATGTATAAATGTTCTCCCATTATGTGAAAGCGAATCCGCTAAGCCTTGGTGACTATGTTGAGGCCCATTATTCCATGGTCTTGCAACAGAAATCTCCAAGGAAATGATAAGTAAATAGGTTGAAAAGCACAAAGTGATGTACCCATTCGGAAACATGACATAGATGAAGATACAAAGTTTTAATTCTTAAAATTATTCCTTTAGAATTTAGAAACCGAAATAAAAATCTCAACCAAATAGTAAAATATTCAAAGCTATGTGTGACATATACCTATCGACTTTCCGTATTAGATATACAGAAAAAAAGCTCAAAGAGTCCTCGTCAAAGTGTAATTAATTACATGAAACCTCAATTTGGCGCTAAATGTTTATATTAGCTCTCCTTATATTTGGAATCTTTTGTTTTAACTTTTCTAAAGCACGCCTTCTTAAATCCTCCTCAGACTTTGATCTCATACTCACTTTACCCTCACTTTTCCTACGTTTAATTAACTCCAAAGCTTTTTGACGTAAGTATTTCTCTTGTTCACTAATCGTATCCTCAGACCTTGTTGCTTCGTAATTGTTTATAATAAAATTTCTTCTATCTGAGAGCAACCTTGATGAAACAAGCCCATCTGAATCTAATTTGCATGTTCCATTTAAATTATTCACTGTGTCTGTTTTTTTCTTATTTGATTCGTTTAAGTTCTTTTCTATGTCTTTGAATATGCCATCTTGAGTACTGGAATTCCCTACTTTCTCCTTCACTTTTGAATTAGAGTCAATATCTTCCATATATTGATATAAGTTTAATTCCGAGTAATTGCATTTATCTTCTTTACCAAAAGTTTCACATATATTTAAACTATTCTTTATAGTTATATCCATCTGCTGATTGATTATCTCATATGATTCTTCAGAAGAAAGCAATTTTCTTTTTTTAGACATATGATTTGGTAACTTACGATTGTCAATATTATCTGGAGATATTGAACGACTTAATGAACCTTTTCTTTTATTATATGACAAGTTTATAAGTCGTTTTTCACTCCTGATATTTTCATAACTATATGGAGATCTCTCTCTTTCTGAATAGTCATAATATTTATTGGATACTTCCTTATATTCCCTATTCATGCAATAATTCTTATCTTTTGAATATTTGTACTTATTGCTTCTCAAGTATTCTGAGTGGTAGCAGTTTTGTTGGTTATAGTACCAATCTTGATCTTTAGAGTCCTCAATATGTCTATTAGATCTAGTATAAAATTCTTTAGAATAATCAACTCGTCTCTTCTGATCATGTCTCACTGTGTTATTACTAATGCATCTTTCCTCACTTTTATATGATTTTGTACTACTTCTAAGATTTCCTAATTTACAATCATTAATATTTACTATATTCTCCTCCCTTTTACTATATTCTATTAAAAATTTCCATAGATCTTTAACAAAGTTCTCTGTTTCACCTTTTAAAAAACCCTCAGTATTTTTGATAAATTCTTGTGGAGTTATCTGTCTCTCTTCATCTACAACAGAGATTCTTGTCTTATAAAGTAATTGATTAACACAAAAGTCTATGACTATATCATCTTCATTGCCTAAAATTCGTATAATCTTGTCTCTTATCCATCTATATATAATATCAGTGGGTATCCTTGATATGTCTATAGCTTCTTCAAAAATATTCATCGTAGTAAGATTACACAAGTAATTAAATATAAAAAGTAGTTAATATTTGCGCAATAACCAACAAATCCATGTACTTAGATCGTACAGCCCTTTTCAAATAATTAAAGCTATTCTATCATATCTTTACAAGGTCTAAATCTTGAAAAGTTGTGAACGAGCCCGGTATAGGTTATACTGATTTGCCGGCAATATAAAGTTTAGGCTATAGCTCCTCTATCAGCTAAATAGTATTTTTGGCTAGAAAACAAGTAGTGTTTTGTTTCAAATAAGATATTTAGTTTAAGATGCCTAAAAATAAGGGTAAAGGTGGTAAGAATAGGAGAAGAGGCAAGAATGATAGTGAAGGAGACAAGCGTGAACTTGTTTTTAAAGAAGAGGGCCAAGAATATGGTCAAGTTCAGAGAATGTTGGGAAATGGTAGATTAGATGCATATTGCTTTGATGGACAGAAAAGATTGTGCCATATCCGTGGTAAAATGCGCAAGAAAGTTTGGGTAAATCCTGGAGACATCGTCCTGGTCTCACTACGCGATTTTCAAGATTCCAAAGGTGATATAATTTTAAAGTATACTCCAGATGAAGCAAGAGCATTAAAATCAAAGGGTGAAATACCTGAGACAACTAAAATAAACGAATCTGATATATTTGAGGATGGTTATGATGAAGTCGATATCGACTTTGATGAAACAGAGGGAGTGGATATAGAGGGTATTTAATTAGGTATTTAAATTGGATAGTTCAGGTCAATTTAAGCATTTGCAATATTTTTTAGAAAGTGACTTGTGTCATCGCATCTTTGCTCTTAATAATACTAGATAACCAGTTCTTCTATTTTTCTTAATTTCAAACTGTAGAATTTATTAAGATTTGTTCTAAGCACATCCTTATAATTTACACTAGGTGTTTACACTACTGAGTACTTTAATAAGTGAGAATTACAGTATTATTATGTCTTCTTTCATATATCAGCTAATTCACTATCAACCTAATTAATTAGAGACTTTGATTTGAAGAGACTTTCAAAACTTTTGCCACTTCGCGCTAAAATTTTAGAAGACTATCCTAGAATTACAAGGAAATAGTTACAAGGAAGAAATTAAGTAATAGTGGAAGTAATGCCTATTATATCAGTAAGTTGCAGAGTTTTGGCTTCAGTTTTGGGTATTGAAATAACGGAAGAATGTTTTGGAGATCTTTGTTTTCAGTATGGCTTAGAATTTGATGGCTTTGAAACAGATGAAGAGACCAAAGAAACCATGATTAGAGTGGAGATTCCTGCGAATAGACCTGATTTACTGTGTACAGAGGGTCTTTCAACAGCTTTATTATGTTTTTTGGGTAGGGCAAAAGTTCCTATATATACTTATAGCATTGATAAACCACTAACAGAAACTATTATGAAAGTAGGAGTTAATCTTAAAAATATCCGTCCTTTTATACTATGTGCAATTTTGAGGGATATAAGATTTGATAAGGATAGTTACAGGAGTTTCATCGACTATCAAGAGAAGTTGCATCATAATATTTGTCGCAAAAGAACCCTTGCATCAATAGGAACTCACGATTTGGGTACAGTACAAGGCCCATTTTACTATGATGCAAAAAAACCTGAAGAGATTAACTTTATTCCATTGAATAGTGATGAACAGGTAAATGGATATCAACTTATTCAAATGCTTAAGAAGCATCAACAATTGAAACGTTATGTACCACTTGTTGAGGGCGAGGAATTATATCCTGTTGTGTTAGACTCTAGAGGTATAGTGATGTCCGTTCCTCCATTAATAAATAGTGAACACAGTAAAATAACTGTTGATACTAGAGATATATTTATTGAAGTAACAGCTAAGGACTACTCTAGAGCAACAACTGTTTTGAATCAAATCATAGCAGCTTTTTCATCATACTGTTCTAATAAATTTACTGTGGAGCCAGTTTTGATTGAATATGAGCATGACCAAAGACCTTTTAAAACTTTCGAGTGTATAGAACTTAAAAATGACGAAACTAAATATGCAATGCAGACTCCCTGCATATCTACTAAAGAATTTGAATGTGACTACAAGAAAGCTTGTGAACTCTTAGGAATTCCAACTATGAGATTTCAAGATGTCACTGAATTGCTATCTAGAATGATGATATCAAGTACTTTACTTAAATCTACATTATTAAAGTGTCAAGTCCCAATAAATAGATCTGATATACTACATGCTGTAGATATTTATGAAGATATTGGAATTGCTTATGGGTTTAACAAAATTGTCCCAAAGAAACACTCCTTTATCTCGCACAACCATCTAAATCTAATGACAGACCAAATTAAACGTGAACTTTCATTGTTAGGTTTAGCAGAGGCACTAAACTGGGCATTATGTAAATATTCAGATTGTTACGATTCGCTAAGACGTATAGAGGACTTGAGTTTATCAGATCTAAAATGTAACGAAGATGATTTCTATAGTCCATCATATCCATGTGTAAAAATAAAGGATGCTAAAACAAGTGAATTCGAAATATGCAGATGCACACTTATACAATCAATACTAAAAACCATCGCTTCACATAAAAGTCATCAACTACCCTTAAAGATTTTCGAAGTTGGTGATGTCGTAACTCTGAACAACACCACTGCAACAGGTGCTAAAAATAGACGCCATGTATGTATCGCTTATTCAAACAATTATGGAAGTGGATTAGAAGAAGTTCATGGATTTCTTGATCAACTCATGTTCCGTTTAGGCCTAGTTGCTAATTATTCTCTTGATGATCCAAATATGATTAACCCAAATATACTTGGAATATATTACCTTGTTGAGATAAATGACCCAACTTTCTTATGTAATAGGTGTGTCAATATTATTATTCAAAAAGCTGTCCTCAATGCAGATTCTACTTGTCTAGATGAAGTAACCTTCCAAAATCCAAAGATTTGTATTGGAGTAATGGGAGTTATTCACCCTAAAGTGCTTTCTAACTTCCATCTGACTTTGCCAACTAGTTTGGCTGAAATTTACATCGAGCCTATAATGAATTGGTGGCCAGAAACAAATTTTTATGATGAGTAATTAGCTACTTTATGCAATAAGTTACAACTCATTCACAAAATTATGTAAATATCTTTTTGATAATTCATGTGGAAAATATAACAAATACACCTATGTATGCCGGTTCAATCCTAATTACCACTTTATTATTCAATACCTATCAGTAATTTGCATTATTAAAAGACTTCAATTACTTTCTAAGGCCTAGCTCACAATTCACTATTCTTATATTTACTTAGTAGTAATGAAAATCTTCCAATGTCTTTCATAATATTTTTTACTGCATTGATGCATATGTAATTGTTCCATCTGTCACATATACTAGCCATGACTTCAAGTATTTTCATAAATAAATTGGTAAATCTAAAGTATGAGTCATTGAATCTTGCTAGTAATAGTTTCCCATACACATAATTTACCTCTTCTTCAAGACATTTTATTTCATGCTCTGATAACTCTTCACGCCACTTGTATACGCCCGCTAATAATGCATATTCGCGCCAACAGGGTGGAAGTTGATAAAAGCAATATAATTTGTATACCTTAATTAATATATAAGTTAATAAAAGTATTGTAAATATCAAGAGTAATAAGATTATACCGCACTTAAATGTAGAATTTCTCCTGGTTCCATTACTATGTTTACTATAAATTTCTTTTTTTTTAGGAGAATACATTCTAATAAGTATTTGAAGCTTAATATTTCCATTATCCACACTTCAGTATTAATTATACAACAAAAAAGTGTAGAGATAGTAAACTACCGTAACAGAATACATTACATTAGGAGTTATTCAACTGCCAAAAAACCCATCTTTATATCTTGCTGCAACTCAAGAAACTCATCCTCAGATATAGGTGATAAGTTTCTTGCTAACCTTTTTGCATTAAATATGTGCCATTCAGAGCGACAGTGAGTTCTAAATGAACTGAGACTGTCTAGCTCAATTCCACACTTAGTACATGCTACATTATTTACTATATCTTTAGACTTATCTATTTTAAGGATCTTCTTAATAAACTTCTGATTTGGATGATTGTCACATGTAGTCATTGTTCCCATATCAACATTCAAGAGATCTGAGCTATTATTTATCTCTCCATTTACTTCAATCTCATTACATAGACCTGAATTTCCATCAATATTGTCAATTTTACTTGTTTCTACTTTACATTGACTTTTATCTTTTGTTATTTTCTTGACATTATTATTTAATACCAATAACTTGCCTGGGAGCTTATCGATGGATCTATAGTGATATGGATCACATAGGAAAGTTACTGAAAGTTTATCATTTGATTCATCAATATTAATGTCAGTTGCATTGAATTCCTCCAACTTCTCAAAAATAAAATTTTTATCAGAGAAGTCTGATATAAATCTTAATAACATTTTGGCTCTTGAAATCTGATTAGGAATCCTTTTTTTAAGGATATCAAAAGCCTTTAAAGCCTGTTCTTTAGTACTTTTGTTTAAAGATACAGAAAAGCCAGCTTCTCTAAGCTCAGTTTCTAGCATCTTCACTGTAAGTGGCAAATTATTACTCGGATTTACAGTCATCTCACTGAGTAGGTTGCAAATATCTAAATATTGCTTCTCCATCATATAACTCCTTTCTGCCTCCGAAACCTGTACTTCACCTTTCCTCAAAATTACTCTACATATACTTTCTATATTAACCGTACCAAATACTTTTATTAAGTCATCTGTACTAGCTAGATGACCCTTAGATACATTGGTGAAGATAGAATGAATTTGTAATACTTCATCTAAATCCCATTCAACGCCACTTCGCCAATTTAAGATCTTATTTTTATAACAAGCTACTTCAAACCGCTTGCCATGTGTTTTATATCGAACTATTGCAACATTAGTTAAACGAATTTGAGAGCTAGGTTGGAACAGTGACATTTTATTGTTAAGCTTTTTAGGTCTTTGAATATAATATCTAACTTTAAGGCGCTAGTCTATATTGCTACGGTGTAGCCTTATACTTTCATCTTAATTACTACATATTGGAATTGAAACTATACATTCCTTCTTACCAAAGCATATCCAACTACTAATCAATCTATGCCCAATACACAGGTCTAAATATTGACTATTTAATTTTTTAAATATCTTCCTAATTTTTAAGATATTTATTATATTTGTTACTAAGCCAATCATCAGTCCCAGTGTAATGGTAATATCCAATACTAGAAAAATACTCTTTGATTCCAAATTGAATTGATTATGCCTGACCTTAATTGACAATATTATCAAATTTCTAATCCATGTAGCAAGAGCAAATAACAAGAATATTTGACTTATAGCAATATATAAGTAGTTAGCAGAATTATGTCTTGTGGCAAAGAACATCGTTGGAATAATAGAAAAGAAGTATAAGAAATATAGCCCATACCAATAGTTCCCATTTATTATACTAAATGCTACCCCAAGACTTTTTATAGAAGTTCCAATTGTCCCAACTAGTAGTGATCTTTCAGTATAATAAAGTCGCGAACGAATTTTGATTTCCTTAGTAACAGTAGTAATGGCATCTACGATTGAATCTTTTGTAACTGAGACTACACAAGTTGAATTGATTGTATTCTCAAAGTTAATCTCTCCGCTTTGATTCAGTGGTATATCCTGGGTTGAGGTTGATGTTACACATGTTTCTATGGATGAAGAGGTCTTCATACCATCAAATATCTTCCCCTGAACAATATTTACTGGGTAATTATTGACATGATCTTGTATAGATTCCATTTTGTTAAAGAAGTAAATTAGAAAATGTGGATCTATTCATGCACCTAACGCGCAACTTGACCACTCTGGTGCATCTTGAACGTGACTCGACAGAGAGTTTATCTAAGCGGCACAAACGAGTTAAGAGATATCTACACTTTTGATACATATGTATAGCTGCTACAGCTATATAAGCAATTCAAAGTGATTATGTTTTAAGGTTTTGAATAATCTCCATGAGATCTTCTAGATCTGATAGCTCATTATGTAAATTAGTTAGTGATTCGGACTTTCTTGTTACTAGACTTCTCAGTTTCTGAACATACAGCTGTGAGTTTTCAGAGTCATAATCCTTCTTTATTAGTGTCTTCAAGATTATAGACTCCTCTTTCAAGCACTCACATAAAATTCCAAGATGAGATGCATGATTAGATGCCAATTCTTCTTGTTTCTTCATAATGTGATCCTGCAAGTATCTTTGTAACTTTAATTTGTCAGAATTACTAATAGATCTTATATTGACTAATCCAATACCTGGTATCTTAAATATTGAATTGCCATTTGTATAATTAAATATAGTTTTAATGTTCACTGAGGATTCAAGTTGTGAATTTGAACATGGAGATACTAGTGCATTTTCAATATTATCAGTAAGTGTGCTGTAACGCACCATCGGACTAATACTTGTATCATATTCCTGTATTTCACCATCTACTTCTCTGTATTCATCACACTCTTCTTCACCATAAATTTCCGGACTAGCATTCTCTTGTATTAATTTAGTTCTTTGTTGTGGTATACTTTTCTTATCTATTCTCGTTGGTGTAAAGTTAGCTACCCTTTCTTTAATCATCGTATCTTTTTTATATATTGAATTTCTCCTCAATTCCTTAACTCTATGAGCATATCTCAGAGTATTTAAAGTTTGTTCGCAGCATGATAAACAAGGTCCTATATTTGCAATCATAATAGAATGGGCATTTCCAACAAAGACATCTTTTAAAACTTTGGTTAATTCTGATTGTCTGAATGGAACATGGCTGCTTTGTTGATCATGTAATGCACGGATACATTCCTTTAAGGCTAATAGAGAACGATTAATTCCAGCACCATCCTGCTGTGTTTGCCTGCTACAATGTACAGTATCAGCTCCTCTTTCACTTCCTGCTAAGTCAACAAATACCATCTTTCCATAAGTCATTGCTTTTGGAGATTGCAATGACCCCTTTGGACTAGTAAGTATTTTGGAGCGTATTTCTATTTGAAGAAGAGCATGAGATCTAGATGACATATCATTCATACTATTTTGTGCTGTTCTCCTATATTCAAGTCCTTTACTTATAATCAACATTAAATCCATGCGATCTTGTATAAGCTTTTCGGTTAGATCTTTAACAACCACTTCTCTCTTACTGTTCTCTAGTGCAGTGACCATTTTCTGATTATTTAATAGGTCATAAATTTTGTCACAGTATATTTCGAAAAAGGAAACATAGACATTTTTGTCCTCATGTTCACTTTGACTCAGTAATTCAAAGATATTATTAACAGCTAATTCAAATATACCTAGTTCATGCCCTTCAATAGATTGTCCAACTGAATAAGAAGTACTTCCACTACCCATCATTGTATATGTTTTGCCACTACCTGTTTGACCATAAGCAAAACAGGTGCATTTAAAACCTGGAGTAAAAATATTCTCAGTTAATGGACGAATTGCATCTTCGTATAAAGCCTTATTATCTACTTCTTCACTATAAACATGATCAAATGTATAAGAATGCTTCTCCATATATTTAGTGCAGTCTACTTTTGTTCTTAGCTCATGCACAATTATGGTATTTTCTTTATCCACTGCCTCCACAATATCAGGATCATTTCTTAATACTTCACTATCAGTTAATGGCCTCTTCCTAACAACGACAGTTATCTTAGTTCTATTGCGAATCCTGCTTGTATTGCTATTGCTTGAGTAATTATCATTTATTTTCATTTTAGAAGAGTTTGGACGTGATAAACTCATCTTATAAAAGTCAGCACACAAACCTTACGAAATACACTTATTATTTATACCTACTTATTGAGGCATTAAATGCTTAATTCACAATAGAAATATATAGTACACAAGTTAAAGTTATTCTTTTTTTGCCTTGTTTCGTTAACTTGCTCCCTTCCTCACAATTTTATAAAATAGACATGAATAAGGACGTATGGCGCGAAGTGATAATACTAGCTATTATGCGGGTGTAACACCTCGATCATGAAAATTGCGAGATTCGACATAATATTGGGGATATGGCTTTACCATACTTCAAGGTAAACCAATTGCATATCTAATAGTCATAACTATAACTAAAACTTTAAATATTCCAAATTTATAACAGATAAGATATCTTTCTCATTGTACTTTCATTTTTCTTTAATATAAATTTGATTATAAAGTATTGATAATTTAGCTATAATTTAATTGTATACTATAATATGCAAATATTATGTTGAGATACTTGACATTTTAAGTAATTTATTCTAAAGATAGCCAGTATTAAGGTACAGTAGCATACATACAGATACAGATACTAATCTCATATCTTTACACTTAGAAATAAAATAACAAGTATATTTTATTTTAAAGATATAAGTATTATAAACTTTAATAAAAATATTTACTGTAAAAAATTTTAGTCAATACCATTAAAATAGTGTAAATAGGTAAGCCCAAACTATTTAGCCTACCAAAAGTCCTATATTATAAAGAAAGAAAAAATGACAATATTAAGTAGTCCTAATAAATTATCAATAAATTAATATATTTGGTTGTGAATATTAAATGTAATAAAAATATTTTTACATACATTAATCCTTTTTCGAGTTATATAGGATATTTTCTACAGGGCTTGAAATAATGCAGTCTATTTACATTTTAACTTTTGTAAAGATAATAATAAAAAAATGTCAGTTATAAGTACTTTTGATTGGATACTTTCTATATTATGGATTACTTATTGGCATTTAAAGTCAATGACTTCCAACCTAGCACCTATGTTCTGGAGATTCTCATACAATACATGTAATGCATTATTTACAAGACTTCAGTTTACTTCAAATATAGATGTGTCATTTATGAACTATGGTTATGCAGTAAAGACACCTAATAGCCCATCAGAAAATTCGGAGTTAGATGAATTTATAGAGATAAAACAGTATAAGCTTAAAAAAGATACTCCTCCAAATTTCAGAGATGTTTGGAATTCAGTTCAGCTATATATAGCAGTATTATCGTGTTACGATGGTGAATTAAATAACAAATCGGTCTTGGAAGTTGGATGTGGAAGGGGTGGAGGATCAGTTGTTATTTGTAGCGTAGCAGAACCTAAGTCCTATGCAGGAATTGACTTAAGTGATCAAGGTATAGAAATTTGTAGACAAGTTTACAGAAAAGATTTATCACCTGCAGGTAAAAAAGTATTCTATATTGGTAATAGTATGGAACTTGAAAATTACTTTGCTCCATCTTCATTTGATATTGTCGTTAATATTGAGTCAGCTCATTGCTATCCACACTTTGATAAATTTGTGAGAGGTACCTATGATGTACTAAAGCCTGGAGGGATGTTGTTATTTGCTGATATTTCACCAACAATTGCTTGGCCAGATATCAAGGTAAGTAAAAGTAAATAACTGCAACTTTAATGGATATTTACTTGTTCTAATAGGTTTATGTACTAAAATTAATCGATAATGATCAATTTCCTAATTCTATTAATTGCAGGATACAATCACTAATGTAGGGTTTCATATTACTAAACAGTATGATATTACAAAGAATGTCGTATATTCGCTCAGAACTGAAGTTGAACCATTTTTAACAAAGGTATGTATATAAAATTATTTATATAAATTTACTCAAAATATTTACAAATGTCAAACTCTATTAACTAGGTGAATTCTAAAAGTTCCAATAGTTTTATCGGTCGTATTCTCATGTGGCTTGTAAATAGCCAGACAGTAAGAGTGCCACTAAATGCAATGGAAAGGGGGGAAGGACAATATCAAATAATTGCAGCTAAAAAGCCGGCTCAAGTAAGAAAGTCATCAACTTGTCAAAATGAAACATCCACTTTAACACAGAGATTATTTACTGGATCTTAAAGTGGGAAGTTTACAATATTTTAGTAATCTAAGATTCTTCATAGTTCCAAACATAACTGGTAATATTTTGATATTAATAAAAGTAGTAAATTTACACAAAATGAATTTTTTAGCTTGTGTCTTAATCTAATAATTTTATGTTAATAAAGAAGCCATCTTATGTATGAGATATTGTTCTTTACCGGGAGAATTTCTGAGACCGGGAAAATACTTGAAATGAACTTTAAATAGATAAAATTTAATTTGTATTCTAATTATCAACATGAAAATATAATTACTTATCTATCTGAGTCTTATAAGTGTCAATGGCATAAACAAATTTTTTTTTAATATGAAAATTTATCCATCTTTTTTAAAAAGTAATAACTACATGCCAACAATATCAAAAAGCTTAATTTTACGTATAAGAAATGAAAAGTATTTGTCAATAAGACAAATCAAAGATTTGTATAGGGTATTTAAACATAATTCTGATGGAGGTAAGCAAATCTTAAGTGACTAATCGAGTTTTATTACTTTAAATATTAAATGTAAAATTCTCTATACTTTAACTTTTGCAGGTTTTATAGATCTTGACAAGTTCCGTGTATTATTGGGCCCTTTAGATGATGGGATTCTGTCGCAATTGATATTCAATGCAATGGATTTAAATAAAGACAATAAATTAGACTTTTATGAATTATGCAAGGCAATAGGAATAATGATTTCTGGGACGGACGATGAGAAGATGGAATTCTCGTACAAAATTGCTATGGGTGTAGGTTTTGGAGACAAATCTGAGTTATGTAACTATAATATAACTGAAAGTGATGGTATCACCTTTGATCAACTGCTAACACTAGTTAGGATTATAGATGGTGCTAGATACTCACTTGCTGGTCCTCATATTTCAACTTACTCAGATATTGAAATATATAATGTATTTAAGAAGTTTGCAACTTTAAGTATAGGTACTAATGAGCCTAAAATATATCTCAATGACTATAAATGTGCTATTAAAGAGTCTGTAGAATTCCTTAATCTTTTTGGAATATCAACACCATATTTAGCTGAAAATTTAAGGGGATCTTTGGGAATAAATGGAAACATGCAGTTTTATGGAAGTAATATACTAGAAGAGACAGATCATGAATATATCACTGATCTACCTCTGACTATTAAGAATTTGAAGAGTACACCTTTAGATAGTATTACAACTAGGGCAACGATAGGGATTAACTCAAATTTATTTGATAGTACTGCACTTTCTGATCAAACTAGTAGTATACTATCAAATATGAATGATATAAAAAGTGAAATTGAAGAAACATTGCAATCTATCCAAGATATAAAAAATGATGGGATGACTTACAATAAAAATGAACCAAATTCTGATTTAAATATTATGACATTTAGCTACAAATGCAGCAGATCTGAAGAACTTATCAAAGGTGAGAAATTTAATGATTTGCTTTGGATACTATATAAACAATTAATAAATATAAAGACACAAATAGAAAACCAAATTGAACTTTTGAAAAACTTACCAAAAAACAATATACAGGAAATTAAAAGATTATCTAAATTACCTCCTTCAGCATATAATATTTCAACTTTTGCAACCATGAAGATGTATATTAATAAAGGTAATGTACTACCTATTACACATAATAGATTATCTGCTATCCGAATAATCAAAAATTTACAGATTAAAGGCAAAAATACACATAAAGAGAAATTTAAGCTTGATAATAAGGAAAATTTTAGTATAAAGGGATGGGATATGAATAAAATAACAAATAGAGTATCACCATATAACTTATTAAGTAATGATAAAATTAGTAACTTTTTTGCAATTTCAAAACATAACTTAGTAAATCGAGAAATGATAAAAGGTTATAGGGTATATTTTGGGCACGGAAGTTGGAATACTGTATTAAATATGATGATTGGAATGAGATTAGCAATAGGACGTATCTATTCTGAGCCTAATAGAAATGTAGCAGAATATGACTTTTTAATGAAGGAAAAGTTTGTTATTATTCCTAGAATGGATAATATTCTTCAAAGCAAAATTGCCAGATCATTTAGACCTGCTAAAAGATTTTTCTCTAAGAGGCCAGTTCAATTTATTGACTATAACCCTATGGTATTTAGGAAAATCAGAGAAATATGTAATATATCTCCAGAGTCCTACATTAGAAGTGTTGGTCCAGAACAACTTTTGGGAAATATGGTACTTGGTAATTTAAGTTCAATGAATGAGCTATGTAGCGAAGGGAAATCTGGTGCATTTTTCTATTACTCAGCAGATGGAAGATTTGTTATTAAGACAGTCAATAGGAGTACAGCTATTTTTTTTAGGAGAATACTGCATGATTATTATAGACATCTTGAATCAAATTCTGATAGTCTGATAACTAAAATATATGGATTACATGCCCTAAGATTTAAAAAACCTTTATTTACATGTATTAATTCAGTTGATAAGACATTATACAATGACTACTCTGTATTATTCTCTCGTGAACATAACAAGATATACAAAGTATATTTTATAGTGATGTGTAATATATTTCATACTCCGGTAGAAATTCATAGGAGATATGATCTTAAGGGTAGCTGGATTGGAAGATGTACTCCAATAATACATCAAACTGATCAAACTATAGCCCTTAAAGATATGGACATGGTTAATAAAAATGAATTTATACAAGTAGATGAAAAAGTAAAACAAAAGCTTCTTGATCAAGTGACAAGAGATTGTCAATTTTTACAGTCTCATCATATTATGGATTATTCATTATTATTAGGGATTCATTATGTTAACTCACAAGATGAAGATAATATCAAAAATATCGGTGCAAATATGGAACTTCAGGATTTTGTGGGAGCTATTTCGACAGATAAAAAGAAGATATATTACTTTGGAATCATTGACTTCTTTACTACTTGGACTACTATTAAAAAAGCAGAAAAATTGTATAAGACAGTTGTGCTTGGATCCTCTACAGGAATATCTGCAATTAAACCTGAAGCTTATGCTACTAGATTTATACAATTCCTAATTTCTAGGATATCTTCGGGAGTTTAAGTAGTTATCTTTTCTTAAGTTTTTATGTAGTAATTTTTGTTAATGTACAATTTCCTTTGTTCTTTGCTGGTGTCTCTATTGATTATTGCGTAGTAGTATAGCCGGTCCAGCGGATAATGTGAGAATTAAGTGCTACAATTTTTAACCGAGTTCTAAATTGTATATAATATTTATTGAGTTTTAATCACTGTGAGTTCAGTGTAATTCATGCACCATAACAATAATAATGGGAATTTTAAGATGGCTAGGGATCTAGATAAAGCTGAAATAATGGAGCCTTTATTGGGTATTTTTACAGAAATAGTTTATGCATTGACAAAGTTAACTAATGAGATGGCAAATTCTAGATCACTTAGCAAAGAGGAAATAGCTCTTAGTGCTGAAAATGTCACTAAAGAAATGTAAGTAAGACCACTTTCTTAAGTCCCAGAACACTATTTATTCTTGTATCTATTCATCTTTATCACTATATCTGACCTATATAGGACTCGCTATATTGATCTACTTAGTAAGGCACAAAGTGTATTACCTGAATCATCTCTTTCAAAGGTGGAAATACCAGCTAGTCTTTTGAGGTAAACTTTTAATTTAAACCCTATACTTGAGTTATGAGCTTATCACTTCTACCTTTAGACATATAAATCAGTATAAATCACCCAATACATGGCTCTCACAACTATTTGATTTACTAGAGACAGAAAATAACAAAGCTAGAGGGGAAGCCCTAGCAATGAATGTAAGTTCATTTTAATTCCCCTACTTAAGTCAAATATCTTTATTCTGTGCAGAGTCTTTATGAAGCTCTTACAAAGAGACTTGATAGTAAGAAAGAATTGCAACTGGAAGATATAATATTTGGAAATGAATATATTGAGGAAATACAAAATAGTGAAGTATCTGGTCCTATTTTACAATAGTAGGACTTATACAATATATGTGAAATTAGGATTCTATATATTGTAGATTCTACGCACACTGTCTATAAATAGTAATGTGCAAATTGCCTTGATATAAAAGAATTATTGAGTTCTAATTTATAATCTAGGAATAACTCTTAAAAGCCGAAAATACGATTCTGAATACCCTGGAAATTGGATATTTCTAATAATATGCTACTACCGCCTATTAATGATCAGGCGCTATGATATTGACCTGTAAAAACTTCGGTTCAGAATCTAGTTTGTGCATAATCAAATGTCATTTTTATTGGGTGACTTTTTGCCTGATGTAGAAACACAGGAGAAGACTAGAGGTGAATATCCAGATAATAGATCTGCAGCAGATTATAAAGAGGAAAAGTCTTATAATGAAAGATACCTAGGAATGGAACCTAGTAGCACATCATTTGATGCTTCGAATGCTTCGTGGTATCAATTAGCAATACCATCCAATAATAATAAAGATGGAGGAGATGATTTAAATTCAATTCTGTATAATGATGATGGGATATTGGGTGGTTTATTTTCTACAAGACGTCCCAAAGATGCTATGGCAGGTTTTAGTAGCGGCATGAAAACAGTTGGTAAAGGTGTAGCAGCAGGTGTTGCATCACTTGTAGCAGCACCTGTTGTTGGTGCAGCTAGGGAAGGTGTTCCCGGATTCTTTAAAGGTATAGGAGCAGGATTACTTGCTGCTGTAGCTTTGCCAGTAACAGCAGTGGGTGTTGCAGGGTACCAGGTGGCTAGAGGAGTAGCCAATACTCCAGAAGCAATAACAGAAAGTAATAAGGGCAGGAAATGGGATAAGAAAAATCGCTGTTGGATTGAGTATTACTACTCTTTAGATGATGAAATTAATCAAGTTTTAGAGGCTGAAAGCACCTCTAATGACAAACCTAGTGAAAATAATACATCGAGTCCTATTCCTATGTCTCAAAGCTTTGTGGGAGACTCTAAATGTGATTCTACAACTTTTCCCTCATCCTCTTCTGCATATGTGAAGGTTGTAGATACGACATATTATGATTTGTTAGGAGTTTCTCCTTCAGCAAGTGCAGATGAAATAAGGCGTCAATATTATAGGAAAGCTAAACAATATCATCCAGACAAAAATCCAGATGACAATGAAGCTAAAGAGAAATTTCAAAAGCTGGGAGAGGCTTATCAAATATTAGCTGATCCAGAAAGACGAAATAGATATAATGAACATGGTTTGGGAGCTACTCAAGATATGCCTGTAATTGACTCAAGTTTGATTTTCACACTATTATTTGGTTCTGACAGTTTAGAAACTTATGTCGGAAAACTTAAGATGGTCTCTTTAGTTGAAATAGCAACCGGAGGACCATCTAATAACTCTAGTATTGTTGAGGAAATATTGGAGACTCAACAACATAAAAGAGTCATTTATCTAGCAATTAAGATGCGAGAGAAGATCTCCGAAGTTATAAACGAATTTGATCCTGAAAATTCCACTGCAAAAAGTAATTCTGAAGTTCTGGAAAAGTGGCGTGAAACGGTTAAGGATGAAGCTATGAAACTATGTAGCAACTCATTCTGTGATGCAATGGTGGAAGCTATTGGATGGAGTTATGAAAATTATGGCTCTCAATTTCTTGGGAAGATTGACACATTTTTAGGAATAGCAGGGCGCTATGCTAAATTCCAAGCTAAAACAAGAGGTGTAGCTTCAGCTTGGAAAATGGCATCTACAGCTATTAGGACAGCTATGGCAGCCCAAAATTTACAAACTGCTATGCAAAGAGAAGAAGAACAACGACAAAATGCAAAGGACAATGAAGATACTAAGCAAAATATTGATGCATCTACTAAAACTCAACTCCAATTTGAAGAAACATTGCCACTTATTTTAGAGACAATGCTGCAGATTACACTCATGGATATTGAAGATACTATCAGAACTATATCAAAGAAACTTGTGAAGGATATGGGAGTAGATATTAATGTTAGGAAACAAAGAGCGATGGCTTTGGTTGAGCTTGGATCTATATTTCAGAATGTCGCAAATACAGCAAACCTAGGAAGAGAAGACGAGAAACCTGATGTTAGACGAAAAGTTGAAGAAGCTTTTATTAAGGCAGCTCAACAAAGAGAAGGATAGGAGATTGGAACATACTTGTAATATAAGGTCAAATATTAGTTGAAATATATCTTACGACTAACAATTCAATCTCTATGTTCTACTTGAAACTGTCAATAATTTATCTAAAGCATTGGCAATGTCAGAGATAATCTGAACTCTAAATTATAAATACAGAAAGTTTAAAATAAAATCTTAATTTCAGTAATTACAATTTTGCGGTTAAATTCAAAAATTTATTAGCTGTAGTATCTAATTACTTACCTTTCTACTGTGCTGAGTGTTACATCAGTTACTGTTATAGAACCAATACTTGCTAAGCCATTTATCATTGTATTTAGATCATTTTTAATACTTGTAAAAGATATAGGAGATTCAGAAGAGTCACATGGTTTGGCAGTATGTTGCAAATTTGATTTTTGGATTGTTTGTCTATTGTCCACTGATACTGGAGGCGAACACTTCATACAATATCTTGACCCATTAGATGGATCTTCTAATAAAGGAACCTCTTCACACTAAAAAGGACACATATATACATATTTTAATAGGAATACTTTTATTACTCTTGATGCTAAAGTAAGACCTACCAAAGGACAAGCATCACCTAGCATTATCCATCCCTTTAATAGAAAGGAACCCATTCGACCACTTATAGTTGACATATCACTCATACTTAATACTTATTCTGGTTCTCAAGCAAATTTCACAGCATAAAATATTGCAGAGTATTCAAGAAGGAATTTGGCCATACAAGTTTTAGACTTAATACTTTGCGGTATACTGAAGATGCTGTGCAGTTGGCGGTGGGAGTTTTCCGTTGCAATATTTTTTACTTAAAAATACAGGCAAGTTAGGGGTCACTAGATTATAACATTTACTATAAATCTCTAAAGGTTTGTATATGAAGGTCTATGTTATGCTATAACAAATGTAACAATAGAGCTCTAGGTTTATTTGAATATTAAGTTTTTTTTTCCTTTCCAATAGATTTCTTAGAACTCCCGGTTATAGGGTATACCGCACTGTACATAATATATTGTATATTAATATATTGGACGGAATTTTCTACAAACCTTAGGATTTGTGGGTTTATACTAGCATTGCAATATTTAGAATTGTTTATAATTAAAGAGTATGGATAAACTGGAAACTCACAAGAAGGCATATAAGAAGACATTCGATGATCCCCGTAGAAAGCGTGAGGAGCAACAAGCTCAAATTCGCAAGCAGCAACGTGACGAACAATTAATTAAGAGACGTCAAGCAAGTGAAGTTGGTAATTTGAGTGATGCTGGAGGAAATGCAACAGGTGGGAATGTCAGTGCAGTATCTGGAAATGTATATGGAGTTGAGCATATACCTAGCTTAGCACAAGGTTTGATGAGTGAAGATTTTAATATTCAATTTGAAGCAACTCAGGGACTAAGAAGGCTTTTATCTCGTGAGCATAATCCACCTATTCAGGCTGTAATTGATGCTGGTGTAATCCCAAGATTAGTTTATTTTTTAGGAGATTATGAACATCCAAATCTACAGTTTGAAGCAGCTTGGACTTTAACAAATATCTCATCAGGAACAACAGAACAGACATGTGAAGTTGTTCGCCATGGTTCAGTTCCTAAATGTGTTGAGCTACTAAACAGTCCTAAACTAGAGGTTAAAGAACAGGCAATTTGGACATTGGGAAATATTGCTGGAGATTCTGCGAATTGTCGTGACTTAGTTCTCAAGACTGGAGCTTTACCCCCAATACTACATTTGATTGCCCAAGAGGCTGGTATTATTGATGGGGGGAATATGTCAGCCTTACAAAATTCTACACCTGGAAATAAAGTTAGCGGAAAGACAAGTATTTTAAGAACTGCAACTTGGACAGTGAATAATTTGTGCAGAGGTCGTCCATCTCCTCCATTTGAACTAGTATCTTCTGCTTTACCAATATTATGTCGCTTATTATATTATTCAGATTTGGAGGTAATGACTGATGCCTGTTGGGCCTTAAGTTATATTTCAGATGGAGCTAATGATAGAATAGAAGCTGTTTTGCGTAGTGATGCATGTCCTCGTCTAGTAGAACTACTAGGTCATCCTTCACCATTAGTACAAACTCCAGCTTTAAGATGTGTAGGGAATCTTGTAACTGGGGATGATAGGCAAACCCAAATGGTTTTGTCATGTGGAGTAGTGAAATACCTTTTACAACTTTTGTCATCTCCAAAGAAGGTAATTAGGAAGGAAGCATGTTGGACTATTTCCAATATTACTGCTGGGAATAAGGAGCAAATCCAGGAGATTATAGATAATGGTCTAATTACTCCTTTAGTTAATCTACTTAATACAGCGGAGTTCGACGTGAAAAAGGAAGCTGCATGGGCAATATCCAATGCTACAACTGGTGGAACTCCTCAACAAATAGAAACTCTTGTTAATTACGGTATAACAAAACCTTTATGTGATTTATTGGCTATTGAAGATGTTAAGGTTATTGAAGTAGCTCTGGAAGCTATTGAAAATATTCTTAAGGTAGGAACTCTTAGACAGCAAGAACGTGGATTACCAGAGAATCCCTTCTGTACCTTGGTTGAACAAGCATATGGTTTATCTAGGCTTGAAAAACTCCAAGAAGCTCCATCAAAAGCTATTTATGAAAAGGCGTTTCATATTATCGTCTCTTATTTCCCATATGAATATGAAGATGAAGCAGAGGAAGCTCAAGCAGCTCCTCAAGCTAATTTTTCCTTTGCAAATGATACTCCACAGGGTGGTTTCAGATTTGACTAATAATCAAAATGATTTGGCAAACTACATCTTTGATTCAGGATACATTACAAGGGATAGTATTTGGGATATTGTTCAAGGTTACATAAAGTGCTTTTCTTGTAGAAAATTGGATCTTCTTTTTATTATGCCTATCCTGCAATTTAATTTTTTGTTCAACTATACAGTGAAATAAATTATTTGGACAAAGTAAATTCGTATTTTCATGTATTACTCTGACACATACAGTTATCATATGCTTAGTAAAGTATTTTTCATATGTAATTATCTAAGTATGCTTAACTTCCTAAATTAAAAATATTTTTGAGATATTTAAGCATTAAAGTCTACATGTATATTTCTATTATTCACTATATTCTATTGCTATTTTTTGTTTAGCTGCTGTTATTCAAAATGCATAGCTCTTTTTATTGGTTAAGTTATTATTTTTGGAGCTAGCTAATTCTTAAACTTTTTCTAAACTCTTCAACTACACGTCTATATATTTCTGATGCATTCACTTTTGCTGCAAGTTTATTGCACAGTACAAAGCATCCAGCTAATCTCCTATGAAGAGAATATATTTCCGGGCGAGGAGGATTTTCTCTTGAACTAATAACTTTTGGAAATGTCTGAGCAACATAGTCTATAACGTTACATGTTGAGAAATCGTAAGCATTTGCAATTCCATTAGATTTTGTATCAACGAAAGGTTCTGCAACCTTCATTACTGCCAATGTATGAGCCTTAATCATATCATCCTGCTCATAACCTGTGAGAAATCCTAATTGGATACTTTGACTTTTAACACTATCAATATCACCTTCGACAGCATATTGAATAAGTTTCCAGTAATTGTAAACAAATTCCTTGGAGTAACTTCTTGTGGCACCAAAGTCTAACAAAATTAATCTATTTCTTTTTGAGTCATAAAGAAAGTTTGCTGGATTCGGATCTGTCTGCATAATATTGAACATTAAAAACTCTTGCAAAGTCAAATAAAGTAGAGATTCAGCAATTTTATTTCTAATCTTGTCATTTGATGTATTTTGAATCTCGTTATCATGTACAAAATAGTCATACAGAGGAGCACATTCTTTGGGGTTAAAGTACTCTGTAACAAGAACTTTAGCTGTGGATAACTGTTTGTATACCCTAGGAACATAAAAATCTTCATGCTTGTTAAAAACATTTAAAGATGGTATCAACAAGTTTTTATATATTTCCATAAATAAAGCTTCATTCTTGTAGTCACATTCAGCAATTAATTCTAGCTGTAATTCTTTAATCAAATCTTTAATATACAGACCTTTTGGAAATATAGAAGTATAGTTAGACAAAAGTAAAAGTGAGTTTAAATCACTTCGTATACATCCCTCAATATTTGGATATTGAACCTTTATAGCTACCTCTAAGTTAATTTTATGTCCTTCAGAAATCCCAAAGGTATCTGTCATTAAAAAGGTAGGATTGAGTCTTCCATAGTGGACTTGACCAATTGAAGCAGCAGCAAAAGGGATTTCACTAAAATATTCAAAATAATGTTCTTTCCAATCTGGTCCTAATTCATTTTCTAGTATAGAATATAGCTGTTTTATAGGCATCTCATATGCTTTATTATGAGTTAAAGATAAATTTTCAGAAAGTACTTTAGGTATATAATGATTGTGTAAACTCAAAATTTGACCAAATTTCAATGCTGCGCCCCTGAGTCGTCTTAATGTCTGTCCTATAATTATAGCATTTTCTTCACACATAATATTGTTGCGTAATGATATTCCTTTTCCATTCATGTAGTCTTTGTAGGTGTTCCTCAACGTACCACCTAAAACACGTAATGCCATGTTTCCAACATGATAAAAACGTGATATACCTAACGTAGGAATGGTAATTGGCTCATTTAATTCAGTATCATGCTTAATAAGTTCTAAGTCTTCATGTTTTAATTTATCAGTATTATGCAAAACTCTTAAGTCTTCATCAACACTGCTACTATTATCTGTTTCAGAAATACCAATATAGTCATTTATAATTAAGGAACCCGTGCTTATTACTTCTCCATTATTAATATAACTTTTAATACTCCTATTATGTTCTAATTTGCCTGCAGATTGCATCTTTTTGTCTATATAATTAATTGCAGAATAATTGTTATGACTATTTTTGGTATAATCAGGACTTTCATGTTTATGAAGTATCCACTTAACCCCTGTGTAAAGCTCTGGGATCAAGGTATATGCTAATAATTCATGAATATGGCAGAAAATATAAAAAATTGTACAATGATGTCGCGATCTCTTTAAGAGATAACCAAAACTTCCAGTATCTACAAATTTTGTCACTTTCCTGAACATGATAAAAGTCTAGAAATTTTCAAGTGACCTATTTATTCTCATTATTTCTACAATAAAGAAACAGGTTTATATTTATCAAGATAGAAATCTTGCTACTTGTAAAGCCAGCTTGAATCATCCCAAAAGTTGGCGCAGTAGCTTCCCAAAAAGTAAATAACTCAAACTGACATTAAGTGGATTTTGACGAATTTTTAAATGAAAACAAATCAATTTGAACTCAATATTTTCTTTAGATTATATTAAGTATTATTTTGAAGTGTATATATCGCATCATTTTATCGAATTTCCTATCTGAAGCGATGAAGTTTATTTTAGGAATTGTTTACTAATATCCAAGGAAGTAGTATTAAAATGTCTGATATAAAGAAGAAATACTTTTATTAATTATATTAGAGGCTGGAGATAATTTGGTGATGTTCGCACTGGTATATTTATTGGAATTTAATTGGGAATATTCCTAGATATATTTTTTAAACTTCAGAACGAAATAGATGGCGTTAAAATATACAAAGATATGCAACCAAAACAAACAAAAGACACTGGAATTAATAAACTAGAAGATTACAATGATAAAGTGGAAATAGACATGTAGAAACAATAGTATTGCTGAAAGTGCACTAGAATCTTTGGTTTAAAGTATTTGAACAAGCAGCTGTTAATAAATACTGAATTAACAAATGTATGCAGATTTTAGAGCTACTAAATAAAAATAAATATATATATATATATATATATATTCATCTTTTATACAATCTTTAGTACTGATATTTTCATTAACTAAGAAGGAAATACTAGATAGAGTGTTGAATAACACTTATAATATAGATGAAGATTATGAATAATTAATTTTAAGATTTTTTATTTTAACTTCCTTTTATAAATTTACTTAATAGGTCTAAAATTCACTATTTAAAGGCATATCACCAAAAATTCCCCACTATTATATTTTTTGTAGTTTGTTTACTTTCTCCTACAGTATGTATATTGATACCACTTCTATATATGATTCATGTAGCTCTGCAAAAAACTCTATATTTCTTGTATATTTAATTAGTGATTTTCAGTGGTATAAACTTGAAAAGGATTTGTTCTTGGGAGTTTAAATGATACAGAGGGAGTATTGCAACCATAGCCCTGCATAGTACAACTTCTGAAATGTTGACTATTAGTAATATAATTTGTAGCAGCATTCCAGCTATTCCTAACTGAGCTTAGGTAATCATTTTGGAGTTTATTAATATTTCTTGAAAATATAGAAGTTTTATGCTTATTTAAATTTTGAGAAGTCGGAGTCAAATCCTCTCTAGATCCTATAGTATGTACATTATAGTTAGAATTGATGTCTTTTAAAGGTTTGATAATCCCCCCATCTAATACTTTTGAGTTTGCATTGAGAGTAAAGTTAACAGGTTCTCCTTTATCGTTAATTAAAGTCAGTGATATGGGACGAATCTCCAACTTAGGGTGGTCGGAAGAAAGCTGTATTGTAACTGGAGCTAAAATAGGCGATAATACCTTGCTACAATGTATATGACTATGATATCCTGGTTCTTCCTTAATTATATGCTTATTAGTTTCTTCATTGATTAGAAGTTGTTCAGATTTATCTTTTAAATTTACTTCATTTGATTCAATATTGGTTGTATATTCATTACTTAAAGCTTTCGACGATACTTCAAGAAGGGTATTTTGTTTATCATTATGTATATAGGTTGCACAACTTACGAATCCCTTCTTGAACCAATCACTTACAGAAATTTTGTTTTTTAAATTTCTAATATACTCTTTAGAAGTAGTTAAGTATTTTTTGAAAGCACCAATTGCTTGAGTACCTTGTGAATCAAAAATATCAAGTAAAGAAACTTCCTCTTCATGTTCAGAAGGCATTAGAATTTTAGGAACATATGAATATGCTAAGGTATTACTACTTACACTAGCATTTTTAAAAAGAGAATCCTTAATAGAATCTGCATTTGCAACAATATCCTGAAATTCCATGATGTATAACTGAATTTGTCGAATTTGAGAAACCATTTCCTGAATCCAAATTTGTGCAACTTCATCTTGATCTGATAGAACATACATATTAGCAACCATTGAAAAGAGTAAGCTCTTATATCTTTGAAATTTTTTCTTACTAGAGCCTGAACTCCCATTGAAATATAATTCTCCCATTTCTAGATCTATCAAAGAAAAGAGCTCAATGGCATGACTTTCCATTATTGCGTTTTTTTCTCGTTCTACCCAATACAAAGCATCAACCCCCTTGAGTCCATGCTCTGTAGCTATTGTTTTAAGATAATGTCCAATATAGTGATTTATAATAGCTTCACCAGTTCGCTCTTCTGGTAGAGTAATACCTTCAGGTGTCCCTAAAATATAAGTTATACGCGGAGGTACTGTAGTTTTTACTTTATCATATCCAAAGTATTGCCATAAAATATTGAGAAGTCTTTCATTCCTTAGCTTATCAATAGATACAAGTATACCTTCATGTTGTACTGCAGGTGTGATAATTCCTATATCTATTAATCTGGTGAAATGTTGTAACCATGGAAATTGTTCAGTTATATATACCTCAGTATGTAGTGGATTATTCCAATCAAAACATCCTTGCCAGTAGAGACAAAAAGCAATGCAGAATTTGATATATTTTGATATGCGTGAATCATTCCAGCTAGGAGAGGCATTGTTAATTTCAGCTCGGCAATAATGCAAATACTTGCGTCCAAACTTGGACAATGTCGTTACAGAAGTAGCATTGTTTGTAAACCATCTCATCTTGAGAAATACAAGAAGTTTTTTATTTTGTTCATTTAAAATTTCTTCAGATCCTGTAGGTACTCCTTCTAGACCACTTCTAATATACTTGGCAACTGCATACTCTTTTGATGAAGAGTCTATAATACGATGTCCTAATACTAGAAGCCTTTCATATATACCACTGCCCCCATCAGCAACGGATAGTATTGCTGAATCTATATCTGTATCCACTATATCATCACTGGAAAAGCCAAAATATTCAGTCATATCAAACCACATTCTGCATAAAGCATCACTACACCATCCAAATTTTGTAACTTTACCCTTGCATTCATGACGGTGTTTACCTGCTAATATAGCTTTTTTTGAAGCTCCTTCCCATTCTAACTTTTTTCTAGCATCTTTCTCTCCCTCTTCTCGATTTGCAATGTATGCATCTGGTGTATGTTCAAATTTCACTACAACACCTCCCCTTCGAGGCATTCTAGATACTCTGGACTCAAATAAAGGTGTATTTAACCCTTTATAAGATAGAATTCAAGATATTTAGCTATAATTTACTTAAAATTAAGTTAAGACTGAAATGGAATATAAAATTTATACATTACGTGTGTGTTCACACATAATACAAATAAAGGTACAATGTTAGGTTAGTATTCACTTTGGAGTTTCCAACAAAAAAAAGAGAAAAAGTATGATAAAGAGCAAATAATATATAAAATATCTTGCATTAGTGATATATCTCTACATATTATAGAGGCTACATTTGTTTTAAGTGAACTTAAATTTTAAGGTACACTCATCGGAACTACTCCCTTAGTTTAAAAGCTGAGAGTAGATGGAAAGATTAGATGGTTTTCTATAGTAAAAGTATACTTACAGTAGCTATTTTGTGAATAATTTCTTTAAATTAGACCACCTCATTATCTAAAAGCTTTTGTAATAAAGTAGACTGATTAATTTATACGCAGAATCAGCTGGTTTCATCAAAACATCCCAATTAGTAATACTACTCCATATATATCTCTGGTACTAAAAATCCTTGAAGTCCCCTTAATTCTAACACTTCTCCATAGGCATAAGGTTCTCTACTCTAGAGATACTTCCGCTTATAATTACCACTTTAATCATTTATATTCAATATTTCATGCTGAAAGGGGAGTTATTTGACCTTGAGTAGACGGTGGTTCTTCTGAAGGTTTTTCTGTTGAGGTGTTTGAGACTCTAGAAGCATTATTAGATATTGTTTGGTCGGTCGAATTAGGTGTCTCAGGAATCCCCGCCAATGTTGTTGGTATATGTTGAAACATTCTAGCCTGTAAAAAATTTGCAGATAAGAAAGGAGCCCATGGCATGAATGCTGTTGTATTGGTTGTATTATCACTACTAGTACCGCTAAATGGATTAGCTGAGGGATTTTGGTTAGCTGCTGAATTTGCGGCTGCAGCAGCACTAAACATAAAAAAGGGATTTGCAGCAGTTAAAGTAGCGGCCTGAGGGAAGTTTGTCATTGTACTCGATTGATTGGAGCCACTAGAAGGTGGAGTCCCTAAGCTCATACTAGCAGCAGCAGCTGCTACAGCAGCTGAAAATGCGGGATCTATAGGAAGACCCGCTGGTAAGGAAGACAAAGCAGCCATATGAAAAGGGAGACCCATTTGATGCGCAGCAGCAGCCGCCGCTGCTGTGAGAGCACCTTGTTGAGTTATATTAGGTATTACACCAGGTTGAGGTCCTAAGAGCATCGCATTTGCATTTGATACATTATTTACAATAACTCCATGGTTTGTTTCATCCAGACCAGATACTAAGTGTCCATTTGTAAGACTTTCAAGATCAAAGCTTGGTGTATTATTAGTAGTAGCTGAGGTGCTAGCAAGACTCAAACGACCTTGTATTTTTGGTGTATCACTTCCGTTGCTCGCGGTACTATTACCAACGCGAGGTAACTCTTCGTACAAATGTGCTTGTGTCTTCATTCTAACTTCTTCTCGTTTGTGGCGTAGAAATTCAATTGCACGACGCTGAGCTTCTTCAAAACCCAATTTTCTAGCTGAGAAAGTTTTGGACCGTCGTTGGTTATCTTCTTTCCAAAAGGCTAGCCATGCCATTTGTCTATTTGACCACGATACACCTTTACACCCAGATTTTGGATTCAAAAGTCTATTCACAGCATCATGACGAGATGATGACGAGTTAGTACAGTTCCCTCCAATACCATCATTTTCATTATCACTAGTCATATTTTCACTAGACTTTGTTACTTCTTCATTTTCCGACTTTTCTATATCTGGTACAGTATTACACTCTAAATTATCCTTTTTGTGCGATCCAGACCATTCTAAATTGTTATATGATCTACCTCTACTAGCTGTCATCACTACTTTGTCTTCATTGTCCTCACTACCCTCACTAGGACTCAGCCTATATGATGTAACAGGAGTACCTTGTATCTCTCCAGATATAAACTCTCCATCAGAATCATTAATAAAGCGTCTATCCTTGTCTTGAGTTAGTAAATGTAGAGGAATTTGAGCTTCATCATGGGTTAAGGGTACATGATTCCCAGTATCATTCAAAACACTTGAACGACGTCGTTTATTGGTTTGTGGTGGTGTTAAACCATTACTTAATGTCTGACGAGTCTCACTTAACATACTTTCTATAATATCTATTGTAATACCAGACCATAAATGTGGACCTACCAGTCCATCTCTTAAAAGTTCGAAATATAATAAACAATAGTCATATCCCTTCTCCGAAATAACCCCTAGGTTTAACTTCCCCTGAACCATATCTAGAAATTCCTGAATCTGGTATTTCTGAGGTAATAAATTCCATCTAAGGAATATATTAGCCCTATCCAGAGCTTTCTGTCGTAACAAAAATTCTACATTTCCATTACCACAAGTATTATTCTCTGTATTATTTAGAGGTTCAGCCCTATCTGTATATCCACTCAAAGAGGTGTCTACTTTTATACAATTGGAAGTGTTTTCCTCAGCCGTTACTACTACACCTTCATTTGTATTAATTTCTTCACATCTTTGAGGAGATTTTGATGTATCTCTACCACCACTTGCTCCAGTTGTACTACTACAGCTATCATCAAATTGACCCTCATCTACATCCTCTATTACAAAATTTTGAGGTGTTTGTGCAGTACCTTCTACTTTGCCTAAAGCCTCATCTTTAATTTGTTCTATTTCTCCATCTTTCATTTTGGTTTCACTATCCATTATAACAAATGCTAATTAGCATCTAATACTCTACTACCTCGATATACTTTAAAGTATGTCCAAATATTGCTATAAATATTGATTGTTATCAGTTTCAGTACCTAATTAAGTAACGAACAGACACATAAAATGACAAGTTTTTATCCAATGCAACATACCCACCGCCCTTAAAAATATACAGACTTTAGTATTTTTCGACATATATGTAGATGTCTATGTATTTCTTATGTATATTTGTATGTCTACTAGTCAGCCAGTATAAATCTGTTCCTGACTGTTGCTATCCCTTGCGTTAACCTTCTCTCCGGTACATATTGCAACCTATACAGTACATATTTTGTCTGAAGATCTATACGTAGACAAATGCGCCTTAGTATCCTCATTTTTCCTTTAAATTAAGGAATAAATTAGTCTTTGAGACGAGGAGACACATAAGCGGTACCTATTAGACGGTTCATTTTTGCCCCCTAAATGTCGGCAAGTTTAGCATGCAGAGCAATGCTCTCTACTCATCTCAAGATTCATAGCTTAAACAAGAACTAAGTGGCTAATTTCAATATTTATAGAATAATGAAAATGAATTTTTGAAATACAATAGTTATTGCTACGCTCAATATTTCTATTCAATATTCATAGACTTCATAATACTGAGTCTAATTTTTTTTTTTATGATACTCTTCCTTAATATTATAAATAGCTCCTAGTTTATATATTATACTGATATCATTGCAATTAGTAATATTATTACTGTTTTTTTTTTGAAAGAAAAAATACTTTCACTTGATACTTCACTATTTATCGGTAATTTGGAACAATCAAAGGTGTTTAGAGAATATCTTGGAAAGTATATTGCTCAAGTATAATGTAACTAGTTTATTTATTTTAGAATTTGAATAACTGGAGTTATAGGAGGTAGCTATAGAAAGTCATGTAGTACTAAATTAGATACTAAATATACCTAGCGCTAAGGGCGGTATATTACCAGTTTAGGAGAAAAGAGCAGCACGTGACAGATTATGAGCAATATACCTTTGAACAACACCTCAACCAAAGAAAAATAAATAGTTTTGGTGAATATCAATATATATGTACAAAAATGACAGATATGAAAAAGATCCATTCACGTTCCCCATCTCCATCCAGAGAAATAGACACGAAGAAACTAAAAATAGATTTATCTAAAGAAGCTAGAGACTTGCTAATAAAGCAATTAGAGTATTACTTTTCAGATGAAAATTTGCGTAAGGATAGCTTTTTCCAGAACATTATGCGCTCAGACTCAAAAAGTAGATTATATTTGAGTTATCTTTTGAAATGCTCAAAAGTAAAGAGCTTGGGTATTACGAGAGAGGAACAAATTGAGCAAGCTCTTGAAGGACATAATTTTATTATTATTGAAAGAAATGAGGATGGAAGGAGTATGCTTAGATTATTGAAGGATTTACCTGAACTAGAAGTGAAGAAGAAATTTAGGGAGAAGATAGGTCATACTAATAAAGACCATCACGCAGGAGGTTGTATTGTGAAGGTATCATCTTTACCAGAAAATATCTCATGGATAGCAGTAAAGAATGAGTTGAAAGCTGAATTGCAAAAATTAGTTCCAAATAGTGAGAACTTAGTTCGTTATGTATCTCAAACTACCCAAAATGGGACATGTTATATGCTACTTAAACCTTTCTTAAATGATCAAAATGTTGTCAAGGAAATTTGTCTAACTTTGGATGATATAAAGGTTCCAGTAGTTCTTGTTAGCCAAGAGGAGGCTAGAAAGGTGATTACAACAGCTTTACCTAGACATATTCAGAAAGAGAGAGAAAAGGAGATAAATAAGCAAAGAATGATACTTACATCCCAACCAATTTTAATAGGAGGTCAGCAATTTGCATCTATTGAGCATCTGAGACGCTGTTTAAAGGAAGTTCTTGAACAAAGCACTGTGAATACTGTATTTGATGGTGAATCATTATCATTTAATGTTTTAAAGGGACTGCTACACTACCATCCAAAAGGCTCTGATAAGACAAGAGGGATGTACTCAATCACTGTAAAATATCATCCTGAAACAAACAATAGCAAGTGTTTTTTTATTTTGAGGAAGAATGAGGCTGGTCAAGATGAGATGGAAGATTTCAGTGTTAGTAAGTGTTTACAACAGCTTGCTAGAAATCCTCCACTTGCTTCAAAACTCGGTAAGAATGAAGTATGTGAAGATAAGCAACAAGAAAATATTGAAAATAATCAAGAGGCCACCGTAGAAGATTGAGAGGGATATTTTAAATCGTTAAATAAATCATTTAATTTCTATTTCAACCTTAGAGATAATTTCAACTTCTTAGCCATTTGGCTGGAGCTACAGTTTTAGGACTACATTTAAGCTTTGAAGTAAGCATTCCTGTTACTTGTTTTGGCTCAGTAAATTTTAAATTTGCATCATTTAGAAATGTAGATGGTTTCCCCATATTTAGAGGTACACTTAGAAACAATCTGCATTTAGCTCTGGTCATACCAACATATGCGATTCGTCTTTCTTCTGCAGTAACATAGTCTTTGGATGCAATTTTTGCATCTGTATTCGTTGAGTCTTCTCGGCTTAGTGGAATTACTCCTTCATTAAAACGGGGCATAAATACTACTTGCCATTCAAGTCCTTTTGATTTGTGAATAGTTGTTAGAGTAATACCTTCCCCATGCTTTTGCCTCATGAGTCCATGAGACACATCTAACAAGAAACATATCAAACAATCAAAGCCTCGAGGCTGTTGCTTATTTGGATTATACATCTCTGAATATTTTATAAGAGCACCTACTGTTTCTACAGTTGAATGTTTTAATGTATTCTTTTTCTGTACCAATTTATCTATATGTTCTTCAGATTCCTCTAAAGTACTTGAAAAGAATCTTTTACGTGAATTTCGTTTTTTATTAACTTTTTTACTTTCAGAATCTTCACAATACTTTTCATCTTCATCTAGATAGTCCAAATATCCAGTTTCAGATAGCAATCTCTTCAGAATCTCAGATACCCCTACTTGTTCTTCTAGAAATTTTTTAAGATTGTCTAGACATTCAGTAAATTTTCTTAGACATTCAATAATTTTCTTGCTACCTCTACAGTCAGCCAGAATACTCGAATTAAGTGACTGACATTGCACTAACTTACGACATATTTGCAAAATAGATGGACAACTATTATTTGAAGTATGATTATATTTGTTAGCATTGCTACATAATACATCAGTTAACCCTTTAAGTGGTTGAGTAGATTTACGAAGCAAAGAAACTCCTTCAGCCCCAGACTGTTCAATTAGACGTAAAATATTGTTCCCAAAACCTCTTTTTGGGCGATTGCAGATACGGAGGAAACAATCATCAGCTGTCTCATCCACTAATAGCCTACAATATGCTAAAATATCAAGGATTTCTGTTTTTTGAAGCAAATCTCTAGTAATTTTTGGATTAGATTTTGCAGTATTTTCCATTGGAATAGTTCCTTCAGCTAAGATAAGATTTTTTATTTGTTCAGGTTTTACAGCTTCAAGATCTTTCGGCATCATGTTCCTCCATCCTTTCTTGGGTTTGTCTTCTGATTCCAAAATTTTATCTATACTTCCAGAAAATTTTAAATGATCTGATTCGTCTTCAATAGCTCGTTTCACAAATTTGGGATCAGAGAAAACCTTTTCAATATACATCAGAATTTCATTAGTTCGAGCCAGAATAGCAAAATCAGTCCATACATATTTATACCTAATTCTCAGTGAAAGAATAGTCCTACAAATCCATAAAGCTTCATCTAAATGTGTAGATAAAAACAATACTTGAGGACAAATCCCCTTAGAATTATTAGTGTAGATTTCCTTAGGAATTCTACACGAATTGGCAGATATTAAACATTTAGATGTATCAACGATGGATGATGTAGAACGAAAATTCTCCTTTAAAAACATAATCTGATAATTTTCACTAAATGCTAACGAAAACTGTTTAAATACTCCAATTTCTACTCCTCTCCAGCTATATATTGCCTGATCATCATCACCTACAACAGTTATACCACCTCTCTGAACTTTTATTGAACCTTCAGCTCCACTGGATATTTTTGATATTTGCCAAAGGCTCGATAAATTACTGCTTTGATTAGAAATATTTAATTTGTTTCTCTTCGCCAAAATCTCTAAAATTTTCATTTGCGATTTAGAAGTGTCTTGAAATTCATCACAAAATATAAATGGATATAATTTCTGTATCTTCCTAGTTGTTTCTTTACTCCTTTCCAAAAGTCTCAGTGTTGTCAAGATCAGGTCAGTATAATCTAGTAAATATGGTTTATGAAATTTCATCTTATTAGTATAAATATTATAAATAGTTAAAAGATCAACATTCCCATTGGTATCATTAATAGATAAATCTTTATCTCCATTCCCATATTGCTTATACTTTAAAAGCCTAATAATTTTCAGAATACGTTCTAACTCACTATTCTTCAAAAAAAAACCACTATTTTTGTTTACTGGTACTTGTTTATTTATATTTTTTTGTATATTCTCTTCATTTTCACTGTCACCCGCATCACTAGAACTTTCGAAATGATCTTGGTCTAATTCTGGATCTGAAAGTAAATCATCTAAAGATTCCAATTTTGATGCCGATAATTGTGAAGCAACAGCAGCTTTAGAAATATTCATTACTTCAGTTAAACATAACTTTAAAATTTTCAGCATCATTTCTTTGTCAGCAACTTCTATCTTTGAAGGTAACCCTATTGCTGTCCCATACTGTTTCAATAGCTTCCAGCAAAATGAGTGAATAGTACCAATAAATAAATCCTTATCTGTCAAGCTTAAAGATGAAATATTATATGAATTTTTTGAAATATGATTCACTGAATTTCTCTTTGTGCTCTCTATTGAAATAGATTTTAAGGATGAAGAATATGCTACATTAATTCTACTCTTTAATTCATTTGCTGCCTTCTTAGTAAATGTTAATGCCAGTATTGGAGTATAACCTTCTATTAAAAACTTTATAATTCTAGCTGTTATAGTTGCAGTTTTGCCACTTCCAGGTCCAGCAACTATAAGTAGTGATGATTCTGGAGGTACATCTACAGCCTTTTTCTGCTCGAGTGTTAGTCTCCCAAATATCATAGAGTGAATATGACCACTTTCCAAACTTTTTGTAGATAAATCTTGGTTATTTATAGAGTTTATTTGAAGAGAACTTGGTACCTCACACTTTAGATCACTTACCACACAGAAATTCTGATTAAAATTTTCAGTCATACCTATAAAAGTTTGATTTATCCGCGTTTACTCATAGTAACTACTTAAAAAATGGTTTTTAAGATGAATTGTATAAAATATATTGAAGTAGTAATTTAATGTTTAATTTTGGTTAATTTTAATACTAAAAGTATTAATTTTTGAGGGTTGCTAGAAATAGTAATAGATTCTACCGCCAATTTACTAGTAAACGAAAAAGTAACAGTATTATTACTTGAGTTGATTTTAATAGATAAAATATTAACCAAAATAAGAGGTCAATATTATTAAATGAGAGATCAACCTAGTCCAAGATATTGTATAGTTAATGAGGGCTTAATATGGAGGCCACTTATATCTGCCCCTGAAGTAATGATGAATTATACTAGAGCATTGGGAGTTTCTAATTATTTAGAATTTCAAGATATATTTAGTACAGAAGATTGGGCATTGGAGATGATAGAATCTCAAGTTATATCGGTATTGTTAGTATTTCCTCTTACTGAAGGTTTCAGAGAATTTAGATTGGTGAATCAGAAATGTTCAGATCCAATGACTTGTGAAATATATAAACTGATGGATAATAACGAATTGTGGTTTATGAAACAAGTTGTGGATAATGCTTGTGGCCAGATAGCTCTATTCCATTCCATTCTAAATAATAGGGAGAATTTACACTTAAAAGAGGGAAGTTTAGCACACAAGCTTGCGGCTATAAATGGCCCTAGTGCTGCTGATATAAGGGGTAATATACTTAAAACTGATCCAGAATTTTTGACAACTCATGATATGGTTATAAGTTGCTATGATCGAGATTTAAATGATAGTGAGGACTATAAAGAAGTTGATACACACTATGTTGTATTTGTTGATGTAAATGGAGACCTATATGAGTTTGATGGTCAACTACCACACCCAATTAAACATGGCAAAATAAATAGAAACTTATTGAAGTCTGCAGTAAAGGTCATCAAACATAATTTTTTGGACCACTTTTTAGGAGGTAAAGAATCCAGATTTGCAATACTAGCGATGTGCTTGGGCCAATCAGAGGAGATAAATATGGAGAAGTTGGATAAAGTTGAACAAGCAGAGGAAGTATCCTAAAGGATTTTCAAAGGAATATAATGAATTTGATTATAATAAGTGAATGAAGTAGTTTGAATTTAGATATAGTCAATCATATATGATACTAAACAATAAGTGGGGATTCTACTGAAATGGAATAAACTAAAATCTAACAGGTTAACAAGCAAAAGCATTTATTATTCTGGTTTTATTAGCGACAAGTATTTCCAGATTCTTCCCAACCACTTTAATGCAATCTAATCTCACTTACTCTACCTTCTTCTTAAAATTACTTCTTAAAATCTTGAAGAAATTGGTTTTTGTGGGTGAAGTAAATAAATAGATGATGAATATGAGGACAAATAAAAATAAGGATAAAATAAAAATTCCACATTTAACTCTCATTGCAAACTTATCTATAACTGTAATTGATTCTGTGAATATATCAAGACCATTTATTAGTGCAAATAAATCAAGACTTTGTAATTTTTCAGGAACTGTCTTTTTGTTAAATGTATTACTAGTAAGCTTTAGTGTGGTACCCTTTATAGTTCCATGTAAAACACACTTTTCACACTCAACACATCCAAGCATTCTAATCAATAGTTCAAAAAAATTTCTCATAGCTTGAATATTTTGTATGTTCTCTATATCTTTATTTATATATTCATCTTTGCAAGAATAGTATAATTTAGGATTGACAAGTTGAGATATTTCCTGTTTCAATGAAATATCTGTAGAATTTGAATCTAAAGTATTAATATAGTTTATTATAGTGGGTCCCAATATACAAACTCCACGTAATACATAATAAAAAGTTTTTAGGAGATTAGATCCACGGTTATCAAATTTTGCAAACTTATTTATAAAATTGGTTAAACTGTATTGATATTGTCCATCTTTAGTTTTATAATATCTATTAGATGCATGAATTGCAATATTACTCTGCATACCAGATATCATTTCTTCTAATCTTGAATTATTCACTTTATATAATTCGCTGTATACAACTTTCCATATTTCACCTCCTTGATAGTCAGTATTACAAGGAGGATTTATTGCCATGTCTATTAATGTCAATTCTTCTTCACAAGAGCTTGATTTTCCAGTTTTTGAGTTAAGTGCAGAGTATTGCGTAACTATACCACCAAATATCTGATTTAATCCAGAATCATCACAGTCATTTATTTGACACTTTTCTTGTTCATGACACATTGCAAAAGATGAATTATTTCCTTGGAATTTTGGGCATTCAGGAGACATATCTAACATAAAAAATCGAATGGACTTATGTTCCTTAATGCCTCTCATATAGTACTGAACCATATAAGCATCATTAAATAGTTCTTCTGTTGTAGGAGTGAATTCACTGCTTACTAGTGGTCGGTATCCATTACTATTTATAGCTTTAAATATAAAAGATATGTTACCATCTATAGTACATCTCCAAATAAACCATATAAAAGCAAACACGTGGTTTGCTATTAACATTCCTGAATTGCAATTTTTATTGAGCAAAATTCATATAAGTAGATAAAATATAACGTCATGTACAACACGCTCTCGTGCAACAGAAACCCGCTGAAAGTAGATTCGGATAAATGTTTTGGTGATAGGCAAATAACACTTTGGGTTATCTATTGTATTATAAGTGGAATATATTACTAACATTCGAGGTCATTTAGTTTCTTTACATAAGTAGATTTTATTGAATTTTTTCTTAAAGCTATGAAGAGATAATATCGTACAACCCGTATATAAACAGTACAAGATGAAAGATTTACTATTAAAAAGGTAAATTGAATGGATTAAGCAATTTTATTGTAAATTTATATATATTTAATATTAAGTACGGGGTATATAGTAAATATTGTTACTAAATATAAAGGATTAAATCATATATACAGTAATTAGGTATACAATACTATAGTTCACTTTCTTTTTTAAAGTAGGGATTTAGAAAAAAGAAAAAAACTTTGCCACATTCAGAATATTAGGACTTATATATAATTTTCTAGGCATAATTTATTGGGAGTTCTAAAGTCCGAGTAATTAAGATAATGAAATTCTTAAAATAATAAATCACTGTTTATGCTAGGATGTAGGATATATTTTCAGCTACCTAGTAATTCCTGATATCTCGAGATATAGAATTGGCAAAGTAATAAATTATCTAATTCAATACAAACTTGCTGTATATTTTATAATTGAGAGTTAACTTCAATTTTTCCTAAATCATAATATAGTAATACAAGCTAGATTTGAAATATAACAATTAGTTTACCACATATATAAATTACAGAGAAGGTGAACTATAGAATTTCAAGTAACCACGAAATATTTAAAGTTTTGCAGGATTTTGGTATAGATAACAATATATTAGATATATTTATCTGAGAAATATCTAACGTTTACTAATTATTAGTTGAACTAAACACTTATGTTAAAGTGAATTTTTAATAAGATATTATACAAATTATTATTGAATTTCTGTACATTAATGTCATTTTTGGATGTAAGTTATTCAAGTAGTAATTCATTTTTATCTTTATTAGAATGTATACAACAAATTGTGTTACAAAAGATATTTTATTATGTTACTCAAATTAGATTGTACCATTTTACTTAAAACACATTTTTGGAAATATTAAGGTCAAGTTATTAATTTGAGTAATAGAAAAATAAATACTCCAAGATTATTGAAGACAATGAGATATTTCTCAGTGTTTATAATAAACTTCAGTGTACTATTATATTTACCAGGGAAAATAATGAAATTATAAATACTTTTTAATATCTATATTTGGATATTTGAGAAATATCGCCGATTTTTTTAAGTTAATTAACCTTAATAATAATCTAGTGGGGACAATATATTCAAATAAAGAGAATAGTTAGAAGTCATATGTATATCTATTTACAGTCCTTTCAAGTAACAGAAATACTTTTAAATATCTAAGCAAGTAGAGATACTGCACAAATTATATGAATACTTCTAATTAAACCTTCCAATTAGCTAATTGCAATCTCCTCATAATATCTTTTAGTTGATGTAAAGCTTCTTTATCAATATTATCTTCGGAAATAAAATATTCTATTGCAGGTATAACACTATTATACAACTTCTCTATAAGACTTTGATATGTTACCTGTGAATTTGATCTGCTAAATAACTGTTTTATAGCATAGGACAATATATTTATACTTTTGATACATTCAAAAATTAATGATTTATATTCCTTACTTTTAAAAATTATTTGAAATATAGAAGGGAGATTAGAAATAAACTTCATTACATAATTGATTATGCTATAATCCCCAGTTGTACATAGTAAAAGTGATGGATAAGTTTTTATGTATGAAATTAAGAACTCGGGTAATAATATATTCATTTCCGGAATTAGTTCCATATCTTCTGAAAGAAGACAAATCCAATTGTTTATCTTATTGGGGTAAGTCTTAGATAATATAGAGAATATAAAAACTAATAGACTTGATAAATTTTCTAGTAAATCAGAACTTTTAATAAGTTGCATTATGGGATTTTTATAAAATTTTACTATATGTTCTCCTAGAGAAATAACTGAATTGAGTAAAGTATCTGAATTAGAAATGGAATCTCTAATTTCCTTGAAATAAAGTGAGTTATTTATAATATATAGGCACGCAAAATTAATTCGTTCTCTATTTTCATTACATAATAACCAACCTGATGGAATCTGCACTTTATTGTTAACCTCACCTTTTAATAATTGGATTGTCCCATCAAATAGTATTGGCCACATATCTGTGTATAATTTCCACTTGTTCATTAATGGAATAATCCCATCATAAAGTATCTGACTAGTATTAAGGTCCATAGATTTTGTTGGATAATTTAGTGAATAGTACCATAAATCTTGAATAATAAACTTTGTAATTAAAGGGAATTGAGTACTTGTAAAACAACCTTGATCTAACAATAACTGTATTATATGTAACCATAAATGCTTATCTTCATGAAATTTTGAAAAAATTGCATCATTACATGTTTTGAAAAAAAAGTCACTAGCCAATTTTGTAGTTTCTTGGTCATTATCCTTAAGCAATGGTTTAAGTATTTCCCTACCAGTAGATAGTAGTACTTTTGCTTTATTATGATCCATCTTTGCATTTCCTTTAAGATAACTATCAATAGTTGTTGAAATGAGCATTACACCAAGTCGTAGCCTTTCTGATGGTGGGATGTCATTTCCAAAATTTTTATCAATTGAAATACTTAAAGAGCTAGCATAACCAATTAGTCCAATAGGGCATTGTTCACAGAGGAAATGGCAATATTTAAGCTGGTCATGAGGAGATTTATTAGAAAATATTGAAGAATTCAGTAATTCAGCCAAAATGCGTGCTACTTGTAAAGGTTTATTAATAAGAGATTCACTAAAGATGTCATTATTACTAATATATTCCACAGAATCAAATTCTGCATATCCCCCTCTTTTTATATAATGAGTAGCTTGATTAATTTGATGCAAAATATATTCCTTGGAAATCCTTGCAAGTATTTGTTTCGGTGAAATGATTTTTTTATAATCCATACCTTCAATTTTAGATACTTGTAGCACAAGGAGGGACATAGAATATCTGACTAATATATCTATATCATGAATATATGAGCTCAAACGTGGGAGATAATTTTGTAAAGTATATTGTGATAAAGGATTACCTAGTATAATACGCAAACCATCTAAAACTGCAATTCTAACACCTGCAAATTCTTTATCTCTAATGCAATTTGTGACAAGTATATTTAATAGTTCCTGTAATTTGTCCACAGGTACAATTTCCCAATATAATCTTAAGACACGACAAGTGCCCTGAATTGCAGCTACACGAACTTCCGGGTGTTGATCAAATAGTAATTGTTGCAATAAACAGTATTGTCTATTCAAATCACTTTGATATCCTGAAGAAGTTATAGATGAATCAATTAGGGGAAATAAAATTGCAAATAAGGCTGTTGAGTTTAGACGAACTTTCCAGTTGGCTACAGATAAGTACCTCCATAATATGGGATCATATAGTCTTACAAGCAAATCATTTACATCACTTTCATAGCGATTTTCATGAAATGAACTTAATAATAATCTTATTTTTGATGCCATAAAAGGATTTAATCGAATACAACCATTACATAACTTTTTCTGTATTAGTTCTTCAGTATATTCCTTAGTTGAATTCATATTAGAATTTTTCCATATAGAATATAAAATGTTGCTTAATCCAGAAATTACACTATTATTTGATTTTGGTAATATTTCATCTATACATGCAAATAGCTTATCAATCATTTTACTTCCTAGTTGGACAATCATATAGGATATCAAATCTTGACCATCACTATTTTTAATAATTGTTATACTATTTAGACAATTTGATACTATATCCGAACAAATAGAATCTCCAAACTGTTCAAATATTTTCTCTTTAAATTTATTCAGTTCACGAATATTTGATAATTTTAAGCTATTGCGTCTTTTCCTACTTGTAGGTGACTCATTTCTCCCTAATAGAGTATTTAAATAGTCTTCACTAAACATACAACTCATAAACTATGTCCATTTATCCTTTTAGATAAAATAAAGAGAGAAGAAAAGAAAAACTGTGGGTTACAATCTCACTTGTGGGGTAAGGATATATGGTAAAGCACTATATGCAAGATAAAAATTCTTACTACTGGTATTTACGTAAATATAAAGTTAAATTTAGTAATACAGTAAAAATTATTTCACATTTAGCGAATTTAATAATTCTAATTTAGGTGTACATATATCTAATTACATTGAATAAGTTGATATTTTGATAGAAATTCTGTAACTGTACTTAGTAAATACTTTTGTATTAAAATGGATACCTCCTCAGTATCTAAAATTTTAGTATTTAGACTCAAGAAAATTGGAAAATTAAATGAGCGACCTATATAATTTAAGAAGCGAAGGGAGTCAAAAAATTAAATGAGGAATTAATAACATTTAGTAGAAATAAGACTTACATAAATGCGACGATATGGATGAAGAAATATCAAGCTCTTCAAGTAGAGAAGTAGTTGCAACCGTTTCTGGCCTTTCAGTGTGTCTCTTTTTTTGAGAAAAAATCAATTTGAATATAATAAGTTCAGGTTTGAGTACAAAGATTAATGAAGTCATATTTTTAAAAGAATTGAGGATATTGGTACACATCTTGTACTTACAGAAGATATATATGGGTAAGAGATACTGAGGTTTTCGTAGGAGAGATTTTCATCCCCAATCCATATATATATAGATTTTCCAGAAAATATAATAATACACCCAATAAAAGAGTTTAGAATCTTAGTATTATATTTCTCAATTAACAAATTCATTTTTCAAAAAAATAAAAATAAAAGGATAGTTTATTATTAACTAAAAACTTAGGAAGCGGTACTAAACTTTGACTATATTACAGATAAAAATATAAACTTTATATAGATAAAAGGAAATATAAAGTAATTTCTTTTGAGTCACCAAGTAATAATATTATGATATCTTACAATATTATATTAATAATTTCGTTATTGTTGATATTTCCTATTATATCTATTTTTAGACTTAAGAGGAGACACAATGTAGAGCTTATTCCATCAATTCCAAACTATATGGACTTTAAAATGGTCCTTTGTGTAAGGCAAGGTACGTTCTAATTATACTAATTTTTAGACATATCTAAGATCACATGTTAAAATGATATTTAACAGATCTAGGGATGGGAAAAGGTAAAGTAGCAGTACAGTGTAGTCATGCAACATTAGGAGCTTACAAACAAGCTAAAAAGCATTATCCATCATATTTAGAATCATGGGAGTCTCATGGTCAAGCAAAGATTGTTTTAAAAATTAGTGATAAATCGGAAATGTTTAAATTAGCTAATAAAGCAGAATCTCTTAGAATTCCATACTATATTGTATATGATGCTGGCAGAACCCAAATAAAATCTGGTGAATGTACAGTTATTGCAATAGGACCTGCACCTGTTATATCTGTAAATCAAGTCACTGATCATTTGAAGTTATTGTAACTTCGTTATATTACATAACTGACTCTTTAAAATCCTAATTAATTATTTGGCGCAGTGGCAAGTAGATAACATCATTTTACTACTTATATATAATGGGAAAATTAGAAATACTTCCATGTTATATACTGTTTGATGGTACTGTACCTCTTGAAAAATTCTTTAAACCTCAGGAAACTGAAATATCTGAAATTGATCATAACACATCCAATAATGTAGAAAATTGTAGACTTGATTATATGAATGCTACATTCCGTGGAAGAAGACTATATGGTTCTAAAATAGATTTAAAATCAATAAAATACAAAGCTGGTTTTTTGAGATTATCCGTGGATTCCATGGCTAATAATAAGTTGGAATGTGTCTCTAATGTTGAAAGTTTTAGATATTGGAATCATGATAATAAGCCTAATAAAATGGATGATATTCCTCAGTGGTTCACAATTGCAAATTATGAAAATTTAATACATCAAAGTACTTTTTAATCTATTAAAATATATCAATTAATCATATAATAAATTTTAGATAAAAAGTTTATTATTTTATTAAAATTTTCTTCGTTTTAAAATTTGTTTTTTATACCATTTCTTAGCTCCTTTCTGTTTAATAGTTTGAATTTCATTATATTTCATATTAGCCCACTTTTGTGTTGATGAATCACGAACTAATTCTTGAACAAATGAAGAGCCTGACTTATTAGATGTGCTTTGAGCTGTTGAACATTCACTTCCAAAACCAGTTCTTAACTTTGAATTATCAATGACCCTACCAAAACTAAAATATTTTGGTGGATTTTTCATTGAATTATCTGATTTATAAAATGCCTTTGGTCCCACTGAGTTACGTAGATGTAAAGCTCGAAATTCCCGTAGTATTTCTGGACTATGTTCTTGCAATGGTAATCCGAACCATCCCTTTAAACGTCTAGATAGTTCTAATTTTATTTCCTTTAATTTCTGTTTCTTGTTATCTACTGGTTTTGATTGAAGATTCTCATCTATAGATATATTTGGTACATTGACACTTTCTTCATAGGACAATTGATGATGGCTTGATATATTTATTACTCCCTAAAAGAATTATAAAGTAAAAATATTCATATCAAATTAAAATGAGAATATATAAATTTAAAATCTTCAAATTTCTATACTTACTGGAGGAGCTTGAGTATCAAAGTCATTTCCATCTTGTGATAGAATATACAAATCCTTGTTATTTACAGGTGGTTTTAATCTAATGAATAAGAACATGTAAAGTAATAATTGAATAAATTAAAAATAGCCCCCATAATAATGATAACATAAGTCTTTAATAGAGAAACTTACCCAGAAAAGAATGAATCATAAGATATATCTGACATTATTTATTTTAACTCTCTTAGAAAAAATTATCTTCAATTTAGTAGTCAAACAGTTTAGTACGCGCTCTATACTCTTCAGATAGATTACTATATAAACTATCAAAAGGTACAAATAACATAAAATAGTAAGTAATTCAAATATTTCAATACTAGTACATAAAGGTAATATGCTCGATAGAAATAGCCTAAATTTTATGCTTGCTCTATCTGGAGGGATAGTCTTAGGTATATTTGTTTCGAAATATTTGGAATTTAAAGATAATTATATAATGAAAAAGCTAAATTGTTATTCAAATTTACTTACTGGAGATAAATTTAAATATATTATATCCAATCAGTCAATTAAACCAAAAAATGTAAATGAAGAGTGTGTAGGGATAGAATCACCAGATGCTGGAAAAGCAGCTTCTTGTGTAGGCTGTCCAAATGCAGAAATTTGTGCTTCAGGAGAAACAAAACAAAAGGTCCCAATAAATACTATGAATTTGGAGAATATTAAAAATATTATATTGATATTATCTGGGAAAGGTGGAGTAGGGAAATCAACTGTTTCTATGCAACTTTCATGGTATTTATCACAAAATTTTAATGTAGGCTTATTAGATATTGATATATGTGGTCCATCAATTCCAAAGATGGCTGGTATAGCTAATCATGAAGTTCATATGTCAGCCAATGGTTGGTCACCAGTTTATGCAAATGAAAATCTTGCAATCATGTCAACCGCATTTTTATTACCAGATGAAGATGATGCTGTAATATGGCGTGGCCCGAAAAAAAATGGTTTGATTAGACAGTTTCTAACAGATGTAGATTGGGGAAATTTAGATTTTTTAATTATCGATACACCTCCTGGTACATCTGATGAACATTTATCTATTATTACATACTTACAAGGTGCAAATGTCAAAGGGTCTATTATAGTTACAACTCCTCAAGAGATTTCATTACAGGATGTTAGGAAAGAAATCACATTTTGTAAAAAAGTTGAGTTACCAATTATTGGAATAGTTGAGAATATGAATAAAATGTTTAAGAATATTCAAGGCAATGATTTAGTCAATGAAATGTGCAAGAAGATGGAAGTGGATTACTTAATAACAATACCATGGGATGATCAACTTTTATTTTGTTGTGAGAAGGGGACTTCCGTGAATTATGAAGTTCCAGATAGTGATTCTGCTAGAGAGATAAAAAATTTGGGAGATTTTTTAATAAATACATTTGTAGCATCATAATAAGATATTAACTACACATAACTTTCTTTTATAGTGAGGAAGTTTATTTATTTCCACTAAAACATAAAAATTACTTCTAAACTATCTTCAATTTAAGTTACCGAAATACTCAAATAACTTTTAATTTATATTCATAAAATTATTTATAATGGTTTTATATGTTTTGTACTTTACCCCACTATCGTGTACCGGTAATAATCATGCAATACCACGATCAATGAATGACTATTTAGTATTTGCATTATTTATAGTAAAATGAATTTTTATATCTTAACTTTCCTCTATTTATTCTTTTTGGAGTGTAATGCACTTGTAGGGCCACTAGAGCCCCCTCCAAATGGAGCACCAATTGTTTCGGACCTTAGGAGTTCACTGGAAAAAATGAGACGCTTACTAGTACATGCACCAGATAAGAATAGTCAAGGTAAGTGACTAATTTTAAGTATAATATAAATACATGTTAAATTAAGTCAATTTTATGATATTTTTAAAATAGAAAAAGCAAATGCCTTTATTTCATTGGAAGAGTTGGAGAAGGCTGTAGAAAAAGTTGGGTTTCTGATATCAAAAGGGAAGACTAGGTAAGTTTTGATAGCTATAAACATAGCTTACAAATTTTACATTTATCTCTTGGCTATTTTTTTATATTCATAATTAATATCACTTTAATATTATTTCGTGATATTAAAAATAAACTAAATTTACTTTTTAGTAGCGAGATAGTACTACTTGAATCTAATGAACAACCTGAAGCTTTAACAGAAACAACTACGGTAAGTATAATATTTTTAGTTAATTTATATCATTAGATTTTCAAGTAATCTGTTAATTTAACTTAAATACTCAGGAGGAAGCCACTGAAACTATAAAACAACTTACAAGACAGATCTGGAAGGCTACGGATGATATATTACGTGCATATACAGGTATTGGGTAGGTTAAATATATCTTATTTTAAATAATTAATCTTTAATAAGAAATTTTTTACTTTTTTTTTCTTTTAGTGGATTAGTAGGTGCTTTGCCACCACAGACAATCTCTTAGAGTATTTAAAGCTGAAATTTCGTGAAAATAAAACCCTAGATATATTTAATATCTTTAATTTTGAACTTGAGTTTATAATTATTTATTCCCTCTAAAGATATTCATATGCTTTGTTTTTGAAAATAATTTCCTATTTCAATGCTTTGGATATACCTTAATTAAATTACTACTTATCTGTAATTTTTGAAAATATTGATAAAACCTCTCAAATTAACTCCTGTTAGTGAGACGTGAGATAATATTAGTAAATACATCTATATATTAGAAAAAGAATGTATTTAGGAGTACAAAATCATATATCTTTTGTTGAAGTATAATGATATTTAAAAAATAACTAAATATAGATATACTTCGAGGATAGGGAGAAAAAAAAAGTACTAAGTTTATAATATACTTAAAACAATTATTAAATTTGATTAATATGAAAAAAAATGTAGGTACTTTTTGAGTAAATGTTATCTATCTTTGTTAAAATCTAATAGAAGTATTGTACTTTATTAGTGGTAAGCTTATATAAAATAGAATTTTTAATACTAATAGGATCACCTATAAAATTTAGATATTTATTGCAATATATTATTATTGAATAAAAATGTTAGATCCATGAAGTGTAGTGATTAAATTACTTCTAATATAAGTAGTGGTTGTATACCACTACACTTAATCTCATTTCTTGAAAATTATGAGTTAAGAAGATATACCTGAAGATATAATATTTTGCCAGTTAGTTTAATTTATGATACGAATACTCAAAATATCTTATATTTGTGAATAGAGTAGTGGATAATTCTACCTTAAACTTTATTTATAGATCCCCTTAAATTGAAGCTAAATTTTTTTCTTTCTTTTTATTTAGTCCTATAAATAATAAAAGATTATCATATATATTTATTTGGAATATTCTTATGATAATCTGGGTAATAGGTGTTACTCTGAGAAAATATAAAATTAATAATCTTTTATCTTATTTTACTTCCCATATATTTCATAATTTAAATGACCTAATGCTATTATTAAGTAGATAATAGTAATATGTAAGCATGATCAAATTGATGAAATCTCACTAGTATGTTTGCTATCTTTAGATGAAAAAAGTTATTTAGATTATTATTTTGTTAAAACAATGAAACTCAAGATATTAATAAAGTATACCTTATAATTAACAACGGATCAGCTAATATTAGAAATTTATATATTTGAAGAGGAAAATTAAATATATTCTTACCAAAGCTATTGTAAAAAAAAAATAATTAACTCTTAACTAAAATAATGTTGCAACATATATCTTTTCATATTTTAAATTCTCAATTTAATGTTTGAAATGATCGAATTTAATAGAACTTTTTAAGTGAGATAAATACATAATATTTCTTAAAATAAGCTTTAGTTCGTTCTAATATTGTAAAACCACTATCAATATTTAGAGTCTTAAATATATTTAAAGTGCTAAATCAGAAAATGTCGATAAAAGAATTTATGTAAAATGATTAATACTAATAAGTGATATATTTAGTATTTTATAATTTAGATTCTATAGTATTATATTATAAACTCCATCAAAAAGAAAAAAAAAGTTTTTAGAATATATCTTAAGCTCACAGAACATAATAGACTAGTGTAAATTCAAAATCCTGGATAAAGTTTAATAAATATAAATTGAGTCAATATCTTATATTTAGTGTTATTTTTGATCAATTAGTTGATATTGTAAAAATAAAAGGAAGTCTAGAATTATTATAGTATAAGGTGCTGTGAAATTCTTTATAAGCTAGATCTAAGTACTTAATGATGAATATATGATCATTCATATTTATTAATTTATAGATATATATTAAATTAATAACTCTAATAAGGAAACTAGTGTACAACTTCGGAAAATACAAAATTGAAAAAAAAAGTGGGAATTTCTAGAGACTTTCTTTTTAACCTTTATATAATAAAGTATACATTTTAAATATTATTTGGTAAATAACCTAATAATATACTATGAACTAAAGAATTTTAAACAGATTGTCTAAACTAATTCATTTCCTTAGAATGTCAATATCTAATTCTCCACTTATTTTCTCACAAAGTTATGTATAACTAGTACTACTAATCAAAGTCAATTGAATAGAGTCAAATTGATCTTTTAAATAGTTGAAAAAAATCAGAAATCAAGTAATAGATCAATAATTAAAGTAAGTCATTTGATTATGTAGACATTTATATAATCTTCTTTTCTCAATATTTGATTAGGATTGCAATATTGTACTGCGGGATTATATTGGCAAACTTCGCAACCTTAGTTTTGTGAAGTATCATAATATTATGAATTTATAATTTACTGACAGCTTTACTAAAAATTAATAAAGTATTTATTATATTACTATAGCTTTGTTATGCAAATTAAGTCAAGACAATGGAGTAGTTTATCTTTCTTTGAGAGAGCCATACAAAGATGCGAAGGCATTTTATGGGATATCTGCTCTTTCCTATTAATTGAGGATCTAAAGGAATTAGAACAATCAAGCCGTTGGATACGTTTCTCATTGGGATTACTGAGTGACGAACCTAATTTCCTATTGGTAAATATTTGGAAGCGTGTTTTAACTGACCCTATGTACTATCCTTGTGATTACCTAAAATCAAATAATATATATAAGCTAAATATTGAAATGATTCACCCAAAAAACTATAGACTCATATCGCTTGCACTCCAAGGAGGAGGATGGAGTAAAAGAGCAATAATTATCAAAGATAAGTTGTTTAATGGAATACTTGGAACACCGATAAACTCTATGAAAATATATAGAAAAAGAAAAATAACATCTACTGGTTTTTCCACAATATTAGCTCCAGTGAAGAACAACTCATTTCTAGTAAACAAGATGTCAAATCGTTCAACATTTATATCTCCATTCTTAAAAAAAAAAGTATAATTTGTCATTTTATTACGTTCATATATTTACTGACTGTTTAGTAATATTAGTAATATTAGAACTTCCATTCATTTCACATTGATCTGTACCCAATAATGAACGATTTTCTTCACTAACATTATTTAAATTGGAAGTATTTGATACGGCATTAATACATAAAGATTCCTCACACTTAACTTCGTTGAGTTGATTTTGGTTAGATTTCATATTATCTGTTAGAGTAGAATTAGAATGAGCTATAGTATTATTTGGAACAGGAATAGCATGTTGCCTTGAATGAGGTGGAACTATATAAAATTCTCTCTCCATCTTTTTACGATAGTCAATTGCTTTTTGTCTAGCACCTTCATCACCATATTGGAATACAGAGAATCCTTTTGTTTTAACTCTTCCATTTTCCTTCCAATTTGCACGCCATAACTTCCTAATTTTATCAAAGTATACACCTTGAATTTCGCCATTTCTTCTTGGACGCTTCTTAGGCGGCTGAGATGAATTATTATCTACTTTAACTCTATCAGGTGAGTTCTTATTTTGAGATACAACTGCAGCTGCAGCTGCCACAGCCTGTATATGTTGAAATGCTGCCATTAAAGGCCCAGCCATCCCATAATCAGATGGTGATAAAGATGAAGATGATGTACATGTTGATGGAGTGAAGGTAGATGTATGTAAATTATTAGATGTTATATCTGGTGATAATTCTGATCCTTTCAAACACGTTATTGATGTATGACCTGAAGAAATTTGTTTGTCACAATATGAAGAGCTATTTAATGATGAATCAGTATTAATTGATGGTCTAGTCCCAAATAACAGAGCAGCTGCAGTGACGGCATTCTGACTTTGGCTATGTGAATCTCCACTAAATAACAAAAAGCTAGCAGGATTATGAGGAGATCCAGGAGGCATCAAGTTATTCCTATCAAGGAGATTAGGTATAAAATCATTTATTTTATTAAAATCAGTATTATTTTGGTTTAGATTAATGCTATTGTCACTTTCTGACTTTGGCGAATAATTTTTATTTCCATAGCACTTCTCAAAATGAGAATTAGTGTTACCAATAGGAGAAGCTGGAAGGCTTATCTGTTGACTAGACTGGAATACTGAAACTGGTGGTAAAGGTTGATTTTGTGGTATAATTATATCTAAATCTGTTGGGATATAGTCAGCTTCAGAAATTTTTCTATATTCATCAAGTTGTTTTATAACTGGCTTCAATATAAATATAGGGGTTGAAGAGGGACTTAAATTTCCTAAACATCTAAATATAAGTTTGTATGCATGAATATCTTTGACACTAGATGCCCCAATAATTCGTTTCCAATGAAAGTAAAAATTTTCTTTATAAGATCCCCATGATGGAATAAGATGATGGATCTCTAACAATAAATCGAAGAATTTTGTTTGAAGTTGCATAAATAGATCATCTTTACCACTACTATGATCTAGTGAGCTATCAACAAGATCATCTATTGCATTTGCTTGAGTATTTGACAGTTTTAAGTTCTTCTCGTCAGTATTATTTCCATAACTTTCTAGTGAATGTAGATTAGTTCCAGTATCCACCATTATTCACAGTATAGTAATAGCTTCAGCTCTATTATATTATTCTATAGAATATCTGACTGTAAAGGGTATAAAGCCATGACCAACTTGTGTGTTAATAAATACTCTTCTATGTTAGTTACACACTTATAAACACACCAATTTTTATAAATAGTACGACTCAATCTTCCAAATTATGGAGGGATATTTGTCAAAAACCTTGTTCCTATAAATTTCAAAGCTATAAAAGCACTCTAATATCTCAGCTATTTAAATATTACAATTTAAACTAATCTGTAGTCAATTAATTAACCCTCTTACCAATAAGTTAATTGCGGGAATACTCCTAAAGGCGTGCTCATAGTGTGTATAGCGCGTGTAAGGCCTACACATGCGCCATTTAAATGGCGCTATATAATACACGATCACAAAAATAGTTAATAATTTATTTAAAGATAAAAAGCAAATATTAGTAGTAGTTGTAGACATCTTAACATAAATATTTACACTTTGATTATTATTGGAGTATTTCACATTACTAAAAATTATTATGTATATGCTGCTTGTATTTTTTTTGAGGATAACAAAGGAGATATTTCGTGTTCATCTAGTAAACATGTTTTTTTAGCAGGATATTATTAACTGAGATATAGTGCAAACTCAAAGAAGAAAAAAGTTTTAATTAGATCCATGTTTTATTATTAACTGAAGGAATTAAGTAAGTAGTTCTGTGGACTTAATAGATAACATATTGAAATATTTGCGAACGAGAGCTTATACACATACTTAGCTAAAAGTTATTCAAAACCTTTAATACTTTTTTAGTCTAAACTTTTATAAGAGAAGTAATTTTTTTATTAACTTCCCTTTCAGATGTGATATAGAGGTTAAGGCAACAATAAGATCTCTTCTTATAAAATATTCCATTAGATATTGATTAACCTCAAGCATAAATTACTAGTAGAGATTTTGGTCTTTACATTTTTGTTTGATATATCTCTGAAAAAGTTCTTATTCAGGTCTTGTTTCATTTAATTATATAGTAATTATAAATTACCCAGACTCTTGATTATATAAACATTTTCCATCTTCATAAAAAAAAAAGATATAGATTATATACATTATTTAAAACTTCAAACTTTTGGATTTATACAAATATCTAAGTTTTAAAAAATACAATTTTGAGATAAGATTAATACTTTCTAATAATATAAGTAGTAAAGAAATCAAATTATATAGTAACTTAACGGAATTTTATTAACTTATATATCGATCAGGAGTATTCGTTTCCAAAAAAATTTGGTAATATTTTTTTTTATTGTAAATATTAACTGTGTAACTTTTTTTAACTTTTTTAATTAACTATAAATAAATAATTTGATAATGATACAATTATGAGGTATTACAAGGTTTTAATGAGGGGCTTTCATAACTAATAGCAAAATTATTTATGAAAAGTTTTACTTAAAATATTAAATAAAACTTGTTAAACAATTTGATTATATTTATTTACTCAATGTTTAATATTTCAGATTTATTTTTTCAGAAAATTGGTTGTAAAGTATATTAAAATTAGAGTATAAATTTAATAGCTAGGAGATAGTGTAGTCTTACATTAAAAAAAAGTACTATTGAATATTCATTAATGGAAGAGAGTAATATCACATCTTGATAATATATCGTTTACATTATTATTTTAAAGTTTTTTGTAGTAATATTTCATTTAAAAACCTATATATTTAAATTTTAAGTACCTTGTTCATAATTTGACTTTATTCTAATAAGCAGTATTACTTCATTACTAAACAATAGAAAGTTGATCCAAATAGTAATATGAAAACAGTCAAATGAAGTAAAAATATTTTGCACATTTTAATCACCAAACATAATAATTAAGATAATGCCATTGATTTTTTAATGAATATTAGCAAGCTCAAGTAACTCCTAATTTTTTCTTTAGAAAGTGAGTTTGGATATAAAATTACTGATTTCATAAATAAGATATTATGTAAAGAAACCAATATACCTTTTTAATTTTTATTCTCTCTCCTTTCTTTTACCTTTAAAGCTTGCTAATCTTATTTTATCTGCAAAACTTCTTTACCTTATACACCCTTCACCCTTATTTCACACCAATTATATAAACTTGACCAGTAATATTTCGGAAAATTAACTCATTAAATCAAATTTAGTGTTTTATAAGAAATGAAAACAAAAACTTTAGTGTTTGAATTAATATTTGGTGCATTGATGTCTACCTATATTCTCACGAAGAGTTCAGAGATTTTCTATCTTATAGAACCTACCGATATATCTGATAAAAAAGAGCAAAATAAGGAATTTTCAGAATTATTTCCCACAGATTTTGATAGAATTCCTAGAGCAGAAATGATGTATTCTGAAGATGCTGCAAAACCTTCATCAGATTTCTTACCAGTTCTTTTTACAAGCTCTCTTGCAAAAAATGATATATTAGATATTGGTGGAAGCAATCGTGAATTAATCCCAGATAGTTTTGAAAATATTTTTATATTTATGGAAGAAAATATGAATTTACCTGTATTTCCTAGTAAAGAGTACAAACCAATAATTAATACAATAATAAATAGTACTGAAAAAACTAAGGATTTAGAATTTGGAGTTAAATCAGATATGAGGATTTCACAAAACTCTTCAAAACCCTTATTACTATTTTCAAGGGAGCCATCTTCTACATATCCAGAAAATGCATATCTTCCAACAAGTATGGATGAGGTAAATTTGGAAGATAAGCATACGCCATTAATCACAAACTCATATAATAAATTTAAATATATCCCTTATGGAAATAAAAAAGAAAAATTAAGAAGAGGAAGGAGATTGGGACTTCAAATCCCAACTGGAAAACCAGGACCAAGCCCTTTTGAGCCTCAATCAGCTAAGGAGATAATAACAGAGTCTAATATGGATACAACTTCTCTTAATCTAAAGAACGCGACAATAATTAATTCTGGATTTGATATTGTTTCAATAACAAACGATTTCCTGAATGAAGAGGTTGGAGTATCCTCTAAATCTCACATTAGAACTTCGTTAACTTTTATTAAAGAGCAAACCAATTCTAGTGCTACAAATAGCTAACTGGTATTTGGGTGGATTTAAATTATAAACTCTTAAATATTTGAAAAATTTAATAATTTAAGACTATTCTAAGGAAAAACTTTTAGATGACTAATAATACCATATATCATTAAAATAAATATTTCTAGATATATCAAATCTAAATAAAATCTTAATTACTTCTATAAATCCCTAATTAAATTTTTAAAAATTATAGATGAGATTTCTAGCTAGCATACCGTTTCCTTTGAAATGTATTATCATTTGACGAAGAATCACTACTTTCAGTTGTAGAACGCTTAGATGATATGACTATCAAGAAACCATCTATGTGGCCAAATTCATAGTTTTTTGTAAGGCACATCCATTTCGGTGAGTTAACCCAAAATGCTGCATAGACCATTGGTGAAACAAAGCTTTGACGATCTGATTTCTTGTATATCATACTTTGTACTTCTTGGTGAATCTTTGCAGATTTTGTAAAGTCAACAAGTTCAGATTCAATACCTCTTTCAGGAAAAAACATAAATATATCAGATAATAATTTGGCTTTCTTGAATCTAGGGAGATCATATACAGGGCCACATAGATATTTCTCAGCACTTAATGTTTCGGGAAATGTAGTATTTACAGTTGAAATTCTAACTTCTACATTAGGTAATTTTGGATCTCTGTTCAAGTTTACATGACAAATTGTACCACTAGTATTTATAACTAATATATGATTTGGTCTAGTTTTAGATTTGCTTGAAGTAGTTGAATTGTTATTATTAAATATATTCCCATTAATAGTCCAAGTAATTGAAAATATTGGACCATGTTTTAAAGGCGAGTAAATTTTTTTGGGGATATGAGCAACAAAGTTATGATCTATATTACTTTCCAAAGAATTATCCATGTTTTGATACAAGGGTAAAATTTTATTCATTGTTATGCTATATATATAGTAAAACCCATCAGATGTCATAGCAGCTAAAGTATCTTTCTCATATGGACTAAAGCAGACTGAGACAATTGGAGCCTTGCATTCTTTAAAACCAATAGATCTGTAAGTAGTTGTATAAGGTCTTGGTAAAGTGCAAACAACTTTCATAGAATCTAATGCTACAATAAATGCATCACCCCAAGAGGTTGTAATCCCCAGCCATTGGTTATCTGCTGAAGCAATAATCTTAGTAATAGATCCAAGGGGTATTAGATGAGAAATTTTAGAGTTTTCAGCATAACATTTGCTGGGATTGAGTAAAACTGATGATAATATTATATCCCGTTCAACATCTACAATTAGAACTTGGAGATTTGTTGATGATCTACTTTCACTATTGTAGCCACCAATTACAAGAACTGTATTGCTTATAAATATCATACTAGTAGCTTCAACTCCCCTTGTTGATTCTAGTGGAATATCAGCAACTTGAAGATTTTCTAGGTCAAAGTAAACTCCTTTAATTCCATCGCTCAAAATAGATCCAACAATGTAGTTACCTTTATGGCTTAAGGCACTACAAATTATATGAGGATTTTGAACTGTTGCAAATTTCAACTGTAATAGTTTTACTGGCTGAATTGGTACAAAGGAAATATCACTATATGATTCACCTGCAAATGAATAGGTGAGGGAATTTAAGGATTTGTATGCAGATTGTAATGGAGTATGTAGAATGCTTGACTCAATACTATTAGGTTTTGCTGACTTATGTTCTAAAATAAACCAAATATCCAAAAAATCCTCATTTTGATGTAAAATAAGACGTTCATTTAGACTTATTTGGGTCACTGGTTTCTCGATTGCTACACCAATAGGTAGTGTTTTGAAGTGGTGATTAAGCTTAGAATTACGAGATCTTATACATGTCTGGTTGTTATTCTTACTTCGGTTTATTGCAATCCATAAGACAAGACTGCCATCCCAAGAGCCTGTTATTGCAATGGGGCCATTAGGCTGTGGATCTGAAACAGTTGATATAGCACCAATATGGCTGGAATGAGGATAGCAGAAGTCAGTGGGTAACCAACGTGTAGTGCCAATTTCCATATTTTTATTACCATTAGTACTATTAATATACGAAACTACTCTTCCATCCATACCTGTAGAAACTATACACATATTCTTATTTGGTAATTCCCATTGATATAATATAGATAGTGTTAGTACATCAGCTTGATGCTGTTGGAAAATATTCAGAGCTGTATATGTATCTAAATCCCATACCATAACAACTCCATTAGAATCTCCACTAAACAAAACACCTTCAGACTCAATATATAATAAACACCACACAGACACTTCACTATTCATATTCTTGTCTATAATCTTTTTACCTGCTTGTACTGTCATCCTCTCAACACATATCTTCGATTTCAAATTGTATTGTAAAATACATCCATCACTTGATCCAGCAAAAATGTAATCCTCAGTCATAAATGTAAGAGAAAGAATGCTACTAGAATGTCTAGGTAAGCCATAAGAATATGTAACCATGTTATTTAATAGGCTAAATATGCGTATGGAACCATCAGTACATGCTACTGCTAGCTGTGTTTCATTTGGTGATAAGGCACCCTGAAATATAGCTCCACCAAATGACAATAAACTATCTAGAACTCTACCTGTACAGATATCCCATTCGGTTATATTTCCATCTAAACCTGTGCCAATAAGACGATAGTTTTCCAGATAATGTGCTCCACCTATCAAAACATTATCGACCTCAATATCCCCATATGTAATACGGTTTGGGGTTTTATTTGGAGATGTACAAGCTGTAGTCTCACTAAAAACACTTTGTACATCAGTATCTGAATCCAATTGAGTCATATTATCGTCATTTATATCCTTACTTTCAAATTTTCGAAGGAGAAATAGGCTACGTAATACACAATTTTTACTACCAGGTATTGATAACCAAGGGTGAAATGTCAGAGTATCACATACAGTTATATTACCTCCATTGCGTGATATTGCACAGAAATATCCATCAGGGCTTAAAGTTAGACATTCTACTTTTTCCCTCTTCTGTTCTGAGAAAAGCTGGCATTTCAAAATATTTAGTGACTTCTTCTGTAGTTCTGCCACAGGATCTTCTGCTCTGGTCATATCTCGTAGTATATTAAAATATAACCTGTTATACTGATTTCGAAATTGAAGTAGTCTTAGATAGCTATTTTAGCAAGTCTCCACTAGCTGTCCTAGTCAGTAGTTGATTTTAAACCCCTTTATTAGCGCCTACCTGGGAACTCTTCTCAAGACCTCCAAATCCCCTGTGAAAAGACAAAGCGCTAAGTGTAGCTGTCGCAACATGCCTAAGTGCGTATATTAAGCAAATGTCAGCTATTGTATCTTTAGAAAATATACCTATTAATAAGAATTGTAGAAAGAATAAAATTAAACAAAGAGCTAATATATGAATAAGGGAGATCTCTAATTGACTTAAATGATTTAGAGCTTTGATACTTTTCTTTGAGCTAAAATAAAGAGCTACTTTAAAAGAGATTCAACATTTTCCTTTGCAATTTCAAGCGATGCAATTGTTGCAATTAATTGATTAATCTTCTCTTCGTTTAGTAACTTCACAGACTCTGGAACTTTATCATAAGCTGGTGACTTCTTTTTTATTTCATAAGATTCAAGAGATTTCTTATTTACAGCTAGTTGTTTATCAATTTTCTGTAAAGCTTGAGATAAATCAACTTTTTGCGGAACAGTAAGATATATATCTATCTTATCATCAACAATATCCAAAAGACATTGAGACTTTAATTCGTTAACTTTCTTTATATCAGGGTTAATGACAGTCACTGTTGAACCAATATTTGCAAGTTTAGTTATAAATGACTCAGCAACTGTTTCTAATAGCTGAATAGTGTCGCAATCCTGTCCTTTGTATATAATATAGACTGTTATAGATAGCTTCTCTTTATTAGGAATTTCCATAATAGATGTTAATGATCGTATTTGAGATACTATACGCATCATTATCTTGTATTCTAGATCTTTCTTGTAGTTAAGTTGTGAATGTTTCAAAGTAGTTGGGAATTTAGCAATAGAAATTGATAAGAATCTTTCCGGACTACTAACAAGTTGATAAAGTCTTTGGTAAAGCTCTTCGGTGACAAATGGTATCATTGGATGTAAAAGTCGCAAACCAAAATCAATGCAAGTACAAAGAACTTGAGCCGCAACAAAGGCAGATTTAGAATTATTCAGTTCCTTAAATCTCAACTTCGTTAGTTCAAGATATATATCACACAATTCATATAGCCAGAAATTGTAAGTAGCTGCGACAACTTCAGCAAATAAATACTCTTTAAAGGAAGCTGATACTTTTGTAATACATTCATTCAATCTATGTATTATAAAGAAATCTTCCCACATTAAATACGAATAGTAATTTTCTAATATATTGTTCAAGGACAAGGCTTGAAATTTTGTGGATTCAGAGTAAACCTTCAATTTTTCAATATTTCCAAAAGCAAATTTACAAGCATTCCACAATTTATTACAAAAGTGTCTATAAGCTACAACACGTTTAATATCAAGATTAATATTTCTTCCCTGCTTTGTGTAAGCAAGCAAACCATATCTGAGTGCATCTGCTCCGCATTCAGGTATTCCAGTTGGGAAGTCTTTGGAGTTACTTTCTATTGACCTTTTTATTTCTGAAGTAGGTAAATTACCTTTTTTCACTTTACTATTTAAATCTTCTAAAGAAATACCTTCAATAACTTCTAGAGGGTCTATTACATTTCCTAGTGACTTAGACATTTTACGTCCTTGGGCATCTCGAACCATTGCGTGTAGGTAGACGGTTTTGAATGGGAGTTTCCCAGTACAAGCATAACTTAACATAACCATTCTTGCAACCCAAAAAAAGAGAATATCTGATCCCGTCTCTAAAAGAGTTGTAGGGAAAAAAGTAGATAGATCATCTTTTCCGGTCCTTGGGTTTAATTTATAGGGCCATCCAAGTGATGAAAAAGGTATAAGTCCTGAAGAGAACCAAGTATCTAAGACATCGGTATCTCTTTCAACTGTAAACTCTCCTAACTTAAGCTGAAATTTATTTATAACCTCCTTTATAGCCTCTTCTTCACTGTCTGCTGCAACCCAAATATCTTGAGGTTTCTTCTCCGCATTTATATTTTCCATACAAACCCTATAGGCTGGTATACGATGCCCCCACCAAAGTTGCCTCGAGATACACCAGTCCTGAATATTTTCAAGCCAATGAAACCATGTCTGTTCATGAAATTTAGGCTCAATAACCAATTCTTTATTCCTAACAGCTTGGCAGGCCATTTCAGCAAAAGGTTTACAATTCATCCACCATTGTGGAATCATAATCAGTTCAACTATATCATCTGAACGTGAACAAATTGGTAGCTGCATACTTTTTGTATTTGGAGTCTTGTCAACTAACAAATTCAATCTGCTAAGCTCTTTTTCACATAATTCTCTACAAGAAAATCGGTGAATTCCTGAAAATGATGCACAATTATTAGACATCTTCCCATCTAAAGTAAAAATTGAAATGAATTCTAACTGCTCCATTGATGGATCATCTTTATATTTGTTATTATAACGTGTTGCCACATCAAAGTCATTTTTGTCATGAGCTGGAGTTATCTTTACACATCCTGTTCCAAATTCTGGATCTACATATTCATCTGTAATAATCCTAATCTTCCTTTCTGGTAAAAAGGGATGTAAGCATATATTTCCAACAAGATCCTTATATCTCTCATCATTTGGATGGACCGCAACTGCTACATCTCCAAGCATAGTTTCAAGTCGTGTAGTAGCAACAGTTATTTTGGGTATTTTTGAGAGGTTTTCAGGTTCAAAGTGCCAAGAGTATTGTTGCCCTTTTTGCTGGAGTGGATAGGAAAAGTACCACAAAATCCCTACTTCAACAGTTTTGTCATAGCCAGGAATACGAAGTCTCGTTGGTTTCTGAACCTCTATCACTTCTACTTCAATATCAGATAGAGCTGTACGTAAGTAAGAACACCAAGAAACTAATCTTGTACCACGGTATATATAGCCCTGATTAAATAAATTAATAAAAGCTTGTGAGACTGCCTTTGACATATATTCATCCATTGTAAACATCTCACGTGTCCAATCAAAAGAGCATCCCAATCTACGTAACTGAGTGCAAATATTAGCTCCATATTTCTTCTTCCAATCCCAAACTCTAGTCAGAAATTCATCTCGGCCATAGTCATGGCGAGATTTGTTTTCACTTTTAAGCAGAATCCTCTCAACAACAGTCTGTGTTGCAATACCAGCATGATCTGTCCCTGGGATCCACAAAACCTCCTTATCACACATTCTATGATATCTACAAAGGCTATCTTGAATAGCTGAAGTTAATGTATGACCTATGTGTAGACATCCTGTGACATTAGGAGGAGGTAATGCCATTACGAATTTCTCCTCTTGACTTAACGTCTTAGCACGTTCGAAATTTGGAGAGAAGAAGCCGCAACTGCACCATAGATTGTCCCAATCAGACTCAACATCCTTTGGGCAATATGATTGGGGCATTGGACTTTCAAGGCTTTTCTTGAAAAACGCCTGAGCTCCACTTAATTGATATTCCTCTGTTTTCATAAGCGCTACCTTATTAGCAATTTTATATTAAGTACTCTATAGCTGTCTAAATAAGAATTTAAATGCACTTTCAGTTGTTTTATATTTCAAATAACTTGTAGTTAGACTACCTTCCCTTATTTAGTTTGAAATTGAGACGAGAAGACACCTATATGGTAACCGCACCTAGCCCAAATATTGTTGCTGTTTTGTTACTCTTACATATTCTCTTTACTAAATTCACTTTTTTTAATTATTACTCAGCTTAAATATTGTAGTAATAGCATGAACTATTGATATTTGTGGTTCAGCGATTTAGAGGGAAATAGGATTAATACACACAAGGTATTTGTCAAACTATAAACGAACTTAGGTTAAATCGCAAATTACTAATTGTCACTTAAGAAGACTTTTGCACAAGCACAAATAAAGTACTCCATATATTCACTAATAAAGATCCTATATGTACTATTAGTAATGTAAAGTACTTCACAAAGTTTGTCAGACTTCACATATACTAGTAAATCATATTTATATCTTCCGAATTTCTAGGTTTACTTAGTTTCTCCCAATTTTTTGTTAATAGATCATGTAACCAAGCATAGTGATTCCTCATATCAGCTACAGAGCAACGTAGGGAGACCCAATATCTCTCGTCAAGTTCTCGTATTGCTTGTTTGAAATCTTCCACACCTGGGTACTTAATAACCTTCGATGACAGACGAGCTCGCTCTGAATAATATTTACATACACTTTCATACAAAGAAAATGTAGCATCCTCAACTCGTCCTAATTCTTGTATAGTTTCTTCTTGAATTCCAACACCAAAATTGTTGCCATTTTGGATTTGTGGAATATTTAATTGTACCCACAATTTAATAGATCCAATCATCTCAATAAGTTCACTAACTTCGCTTTTTACAGAAGTCACAAGCTCTTTTATTTGATTATTTGATGAAATACTAATAGGTGTATCCTCTATAGTCACTTCTCTTAGTTCATCTGTATTTAATACACTTCCCGGTCTATTTGATATATTCACTTTATTATTTAGTTCCACAATCTTCCCAGGAATTCTATCTCTTAAATGAATTATGACTTGTTCAGTCAGTTTCTTTCGAAATTCAATGCATCCATTTTTAATATTCTCATCTGTGATCTCAATCTTTGTATAGGCAATAGATGCATATTCACTCCAGGAATCTCCCTCACGTATTCGTTTTGTCATTGTATAACTAAATAAAGATATTTACCAGCTTAATGAGGATAAGTCAGTTAACGTTCCTTTGGACTAAACCAAGCAATTCAAGCCCTGACTCTTTGTTTAAAGCGGGAGTTAGCTTATTTCAATATCTTAGCCTATCCTTCAGGTTTTTACAGCGCACTACCCGGGGAGCCTATAAAAGGTAAGTCAGTATTTGACACGATACACTTTACATGTATAGTATATAATACATTACTATAGCAGATCAAGCTATGTTTTCTATTAATTAGCTGGTACATGTCCTATATAAGTGATTATATACTAATATTGTCATTTATAAGTGACCTCTTATTCATGTCTAAATCCTATAATTTATCTTCATTTGTCCTCTTGACTTTCCTTTACAAATTTGTCTTCCATTTCTTCTTCATATTCGTAGTCCATATCTGCTGCTTCTATTTGTAGTTCAATAAGATCTATTTCCCGTTTAATGTCTGGAGGTAGTGCCACTTCTTCTAAAAACCTTATACAGTATTGTAAAAGATCGTTAATTTGAATATTTGTACTTGACTCAATTGGAGTATTGACAGTATTTCGGTTGTATTTCATATCTACAGACTCCAAGATGTGATTTTCATAGTTATTTTGTTGGGTCTTATCTCTAAATTCTTGTAGGAATTCATCATTTTCAGTAGCCAATTCTTTCGAAAACACATTCATTGCTGAGATATCATCTTTATCTTCAATAACTCCTAGAGCTTCTTCAAATGCTTTGCGATTAGGGTCGCAATTATTACTAGTTAACATACTTTTATTCGTCGTGGAACTCTCATGTAGGATTCTTGTAGCATATATATCGTCGTTTGAATTAAGCATATTTTGTGACCTAGTACCAAGCATATTCTGTATATCCCCTTTAGTTATGAACTCTGTTGTAAATTGTCCTTGATCAACTACAACATCATCTAATAATCTCTTTTGTAGCTGTTTTCTAAATATATTTTCTTCTATTGTCCATTCAGATAACAGCCGATAAATGTGCACATCGCGAGTTTGCCCAATTCTATGGCAGCGATCCATTGCTTGTCTATCCATTGCAGGATTCCAGTCTGAGTCATAGAATATAACTGTATCAGCACCAGTTAAATTCAGACCAACCCCCCCAGAGCGTGTGGAAGATATAAAAAGAAATAGTCTTCTATCCTTATTAAATCTATCTACGAGTTTTTGTCGTGCATCTACTTTAGTTCCACCATCTAAACGAAGATATGTATAACCATGAAAATTAATAAATGCCTCTAGTATATCTAACATTTTGCTCATTTGAGTGAAAATAATGCATCTATGATCTCCCTTCTTTAAATTATGAAGTAGAGTAGAAAGGATCTGAAATTTTCCACAGTCATCTTCAATAGTACGTCTCAAAGGGACCAGGCATTTTTGTATATAAGACACTTTGTGCAAAACATCAACACTTCTTCTAATCTTACAAAGAATTTCTGGATTAATATAATTTTGCAGTGCCCACTCTCTTTTTATTATTGATCCTTTACCTTGTAAAGAGATGTCAACACCTAGTGGAAGTATGGGATGTGATAGTTTAGTTGTAAATAGTGCCAACTTCCTATGCATTCTATCTATTATTATAGAAATATTTGGTACTAAACCTTCTAAAACTGTTGACTTGGTATATATATTAGCTGAAATTTTTTCTTTATTGTAGTGGCACCAAAGTGGAGGCGGAATCTTTGTTGATTTATTGCTAAGTTTGCATCCGTGCTGAGGAGACGCATTAGGGAATGATGAAGCCAAAATCTGATTTTTTTCAAGTTCGCTTTGTTTAGCATTGTGCAATTCATTCCATATAAGTGAACGGCAATCCGTTCCATATATAACTCTTAGATTTGATTGTTGAATCGTTAGAAGTTGCTGACTACTATTATGCATCTTCATATTTAACTTGTAGGACTTCTGAATAATTTTATTAGCAAGATATGGAAAATCACACGAAGGTACCCATAATTGGAAATTCTCCAGATTTACAAGATTATTCAATCCTTGGTATTCGATTGAAGATAAGGTAGGGTTATTAGTATTGTCAGAATATAACTGACTATTTGGAGATAACTTACATGTAGAGAACATCTTACTTTGAGATATAGCTCCAACTGCAAAAACCTCCGCATAATTTTTATTGGCAATTTTGTCAAGTTGCATTGATATAAATTTATTAACTTCAGGAAGCAGAGCTAAACCACAGAAATTAGATGAAGTTTCTTGTATATAAAATTTTGTGTTAGTAAGCAAATTTTCGTTTTTATCTTGATGCAATTTCCAGTAGTTAAATGACAATTCACTTTGGGTCTGAATCTGCCTTTTGCTCGATCGGAGTTCATAATGCAAAAGGAATAATTCTGGTAAAGATAAAATTATTGGGTCACATAGGTTTTCCAGTAGAGAATCTTCATATTTATAATTAATTTGATTTTGGGAAATTTTGGAGTGATAAATGTAATTTCTAGAGGATACTTTTGGACCAGCGAATGGGACAGAGCAGGTGCTAGTTACATCAAAGGTAGACCTATATAAGCTTGAATTGCAAGTAAACTTAACTCGAAGATTGTCATCTCCTATAGGAGTGAGTATTAATCTAGGTTCAAATAAGTCTGGATGGTTACATACTTTTCTCAGTTGCATCAACACATTCATCAATCCAATGTAATCTCCAGAACTTAAAGTTTGTTTAGTAGATTTTAACTCTAAAAACTCATCATATAACTCCTTTTGTCTTTTACTAAGTGGACATCGTATTACATGTTCCACTTTAGAAGGCATTTCTTTCTCAACATCTCGTTTTAGTCGACGTAGTAGGAAGGGGCGTAAAACTGTATGTAATCGTTTAAGTAAGGTTCTCTCATTTTCAATTTGCTGTTGTTCAATTGCAGAAGTTAAAGGATCAGCAAACCAAGTTTTAAAGTCGTGGTGAGAGCTAAATATTTTTGGCATTAAAAAGTGCAGAAGAGACCATAGTTCAAGAAGGTTATTTTGAAGTGGGGTTCCCGTTAACAGAAGACGCCTTTGGGTATTAAAAGAAAGTAAGGTTTGCCACTTTTGAGAACGAAAGTTCTTAATATTTTGGGCTTCATCTAAAATTAAGTATTGCCACTTTTTTCTCCTAAATATATGAGCATCTTGCAAAATTAAGGTATATGATGCTATACATACATTAAATGCATTTGAATCATTCCATCCACTTCGTTTCTTTTGACGTTCTTTAGGATTCCCAAAGTATGTTAGAACTTTAAATCCTGGGAGCCAGCGTTTAAACTCCATTTCCCAATTTAACATAACACTTGTAGGAACTACAATAAGATGTTGCCCCCATATACCTTTTGAACATGCTAAATATGCCAAGAGAGCAATTGTTTGAATTGTCTTCCCTAATCCCATCTCATCGGCTAAGATACCATTCAATCCTCTATTAAATAAGGCTGCTAACCAGTTCAAACCTATACACTGATATTCACGCATCTTTAATCTTAAAAGATGAGGTATTTCAACACATATAGGGATTACTTCTGTATTTACCTCAGTGGGTCGCTTAATATGTTCTTGTTTATAAGGATTTTCGGTGCATTTATGCTTTCTGGACAATTCTTCGGGTATATTTGAAATTTCCTTTGTGCCCTTTATATTAATCAAGAGGTCTTCCATTGGCATATTGGCCTCATTCTCTAAAGCTGCGCATTCATCTGACCAGTTGCTTGCATCATCTTTATCTGCTTCACTCATTTCTTTTTCAGCCTCTAATTCTTCTATATCCTCTTCATTTGAATCGAAGTTTATAGAAGATTCTTCAGTTTCTGAGTTTGAAAGCACTTTATTGTTATCAGTAGGTGTGAGATAGTCCATTGTATCGCTATATATTTGATCCTCACTTTCGACTGGAGTATTTTCAATATCTGAATTTTCTTTTTTACTGCTATTTCTTGATTCATTTATCATCTTTTCACCTCCATAGTATTTTGCATATAGTTCTTCTATTGATAAGTTTGCATCTATGTCCAAATCTTTCAGCTCTGCATCTTTGTCCTTTTCTTCATCTGTAGAAGACATTTCTCTATCAAATTTTAAGTCAGATTTTTCTATTTCATTCCAATCATCCATATCTACATCTTCATCATCGCTTTCTGTATCTATAGCACTTTGCAGATAATCAGTTTTAGTATGTATATTTTCAGATGTTATATCCGATACTTCAGAGTTGAGTTTTCTTTTGGGTTCCTCTTTTACAAAAGTTGTTTGGATTCCTCTATAGTAGCGTTCCGTTTCTTCTACCAATCGATCCAATTTTTCAAACTGTTTCTCTCTTAATTTAGCATTTAATTTACCAATTTTTCTATGGCGTACTATCTTAGATATGCTATTCCAAAACTTACTCATACTATAGGATACATTTTTAGCGATTAATCTGAGTCTCTTGTCTTCTTCTTCGCGACGCTTCTTGATTCTGCTATCTTTGGTTGTTAAATACTTAGCAGCCGCATAAATGACAGCTTTAAATGACTTGATTTTCCATCTGTGTTCACTTACAAAGCAATCGTACATCCACTTTGCTTCTTTTAACAAAAAGTCCCTATGGTCTTCTGTATCACGTGGAGGCTCATCATGTGTATTGGGTGATACTTTAGTTCTCGTGGATTTTGCACGTGGTTTCATTGAGGAATTTCTATCAGTAGTTACCAGATATATCTCCTCTCAGAACTAATGTTCAGAACCTCGACGCTTCAACAAGCTGTCAAAATATAGGCGGTAACCTCCTTGTAATTAATGTGTGGATAGTTCTCTTGTCAAAGCTACAATAGTTAAGAAATATAGTCAAAAAATTGCAAACTCATTGATTTAGAAATATACAACCATAAATTGTTTATAAACATACACTAAATATCAAAGGATCCTTAGTATTAATTATCAAAAGATTGCTGTAGAAATCCCTTAGTACCTTGTATTCTTCGCAATGAGCGACTATATAAGTTAAGTGGGTATAGCAGTGACGGTGATCCTAATTGTTTATCATCTTTTACTTTGTTTGTATCTGCTAAAAGTCGTATAGGTGGTGGAGGAGGTGGTGGTAGCACCATAGGGAAAGATGGCAATGATATCTTTGCGTGTGGTAAACTTCGAAATGAGCACAACCCTGGATATGCACTACCAGTTGAGATATCATCTGGAGTTGATGGAGCAGTAGTCTTATCATCAATAGGTGATGCAATCTTCTTTTTTAGATTCTCTATATTGCCAGTACAATTAGTACTATTATTTACACTAGTTGGGATAATTACTGGATTTGACAACAAATTTTGTATCTTTTGAGATATATTTGCGGGACTAATGATGTCAGTATTGAATAGTATTTGATCTTCCTTCTTTTCGTTGGGAGAATGTAGCTCACTTGAACTTGCATTAGTTGTTACGACTTGAATAGGTAATTGTTGTCTCTTTTCTGAGGGATAACTATCTAATGACAAGAAAGATAAAGCAATGCAATCAATTTTGTTGCTTATCTTAGAAATCTTTGAGTTACTATTAAATGAAGCAAGAAATGGATGTTCTAATAATTGATTGCAATTTGGTCGCTTTTGTGGGTCCATGGTTAATATAATATTCAGAAAGTCAAATGCTATCTCATCTATCTTGTTACCATATCGTTCCCTTAACGAAAGTATTTGATAGGGTGGAATCACATAATTAGCATGTTTATTTGTATTATATTTCCCATAGTTGTATTTTGCATCTGATCCTATCATAAATCCTTTCGTTATATGTTTTTTAAAGGCTGTATGTAGTTTTTTATTACTTTCTAACAAAGTCTGATGCTTCTCATCTAAACGTCCTATACAATTTCTAATGAGATAGAGCTGATCAATGTCACTGTTCCCTGCAAATAGAGGTTCCCCATCAATTAATTCTGCCATAATACAGCCAACAGCCCAAATATCAATTCCTGTACTGTAATCAGAACTCCGAATTAGTAACTCTGGTGCTCTGTACCAACGTGTTGAAACATAGCTTGTTAAGGGGCGATTACCATATTTGCTTTTCTCTCCAATACCTCCACAAAACTGTTTGTCATCTTTTAAGTTATTACTATTTTGCTGAATAAAACGCGCAAAACCGAAATCACAGAGTTTTACATCAATATCATCAACATCTTGCCCAGATATAAGAATATTTTCTGGCTTTATATCTCTATGAATTATACCCATAGAATGGCAGGTACCTAGTGCTTGAATAATCTGATATATACATGACTGGATAATTTTCATTTGAACACCATTTGATGATTTTTCCAAAAACTGAAGTAAACTTTGGGGATAGTATTCCAAAGCTATATAATAACGATTCTCATGCAAGAAAAAATCCCGCAGCTGAACAATATGTTTCTGTCCACATAATCTACGCAGAGTGGCTATTTCACAAAGAATTCTATTGTGAGCAAACTTGGAAATGTTATCATTAGCCTTATTTTCATAATCAGAAGAGTTTTCATGATTGTGAGATAAGATAATAGATTTGAACTCTTTCAAAGCAACAATATCACCAGTCAATCGATCTTTACATCTATAAACAATTCCAAACGCACCCTCTCCAATTTCACCTAATATCTGATAACGGTGTAAGCCGTGAAATGAGTTACTTGTTACTCTTGAAGGTTCCATCGAAATAGAATATTAAGATATTTAAGTATTTAGAGACTTAATATCCACATTAATTTGTAGCTATATACAGCCTTATTAATTATATATGCATATATCAAAAGAAATATTTTAAACTACAAAGTTGTTAACTTTTGCATTACTCACAACCTTTCTCATGTATTTGCCAGCCACATTTGCATGTGGCGCCATCTCCCGTTAATCTTCATTTTATCCCATGTCACATGGAGGGGCAGTGTAGTGTCGCCCGTCTCAATAGAATAAAGTTATTAAGTCATTATAGAGGATGACAGTTGAAAGTAAATTAATGAAGATATGATACAGCTGAATAAAGGTGAGTCAGCTCTTACACGCATATTGCATACTTTCGCAGATGTACTATAGAACTCCAACTTAACAACAACTCTTAGTTGCTTAAAGCTTCCTACAAGAAAAAAGTATGAATCAGGTATTGAGGATTCTGATACAAGAGTATTATCATTATTTCCCAAAAAAACTTGTAAGGCATTGCCAAGTTTGCATGCATCAATTATACCAGACAAATTTCCTTGAAGATCTTTATCAATTTGGATTTCGTTTGTTACTTCTGAATATAAAAATTGCTCGGAGTGCCATAATTCGAATACAAAGTTATTTGTATGCTTCTCAATTGGACTCATAAATTTACTGATTACTATAGGTAAAAATAGCACTAATTTCTGAGGGGTATTGTCTGGTAGAAGGAAATTGACTAACAGCTTTGGAGCTCCCTCATATAGTTCAAGGCACTTTATACTATACTCTTGATAAATCTGTTGATTTGGCAATAAGTAATCATGTACCAAACCATTATATGTGAGACAGATATCTAGTGAAGTACTATTTATAGAATTTGTATTAATTATAGCTTCAAAGTTTTCTAAACGAAAGCTAAATTTATTTCCAAAATATATACAAATATGACCAGTATTATCAGTATAAGTACTTGAGATTCCAATCTGAAGTATTTTGTCTTCATAGCAAATCCATTCATTATTGAGAATCAAGTTTCTCATATTCTCAAGGGTATTTCTATTTCCGTTAGAGTAGAGACTTTTGTTAACTTCGATAGCTTTCCTTGAAATTACACTACTACGACTTATTATATTATTAACATGAGTATCATCTTTGATTTTCACCTTCTTTAATGTAAATTCATCATGTGTATCAAGATTTGGTAAATTCTCTGATTTGTACATTTCATAGAAATTTATTCGAGACTGTAAGGCATCATTCTTTTGCATTAAAATTAAGTATGATTCTTTTAGATGGTTGTATTTAGTTTTTAGGGATTCCAATTGATCCGATAAGTTTGTTGCCCTAGTAGTCTCACGCATCCACATTGAACGAGTATATTGAAGTTGTAAATTTAGTTCACTAGATGATGTCAAAATATATTCATCACTCTTATTATGAAAGTCAGTATATGGAGTAGATATATTCTGGGCTATATCTTTTAGTTTATGTTTGAAGTCAACTTGAGAAGTTTGCAATATATTATTTCCATTTAAGTTATGTAAATGATTATCATCAGATTTGTCATTATTCACAGTATCTGGTTGAGGTGAAGAGGTATCTTTTATTAAAATTCCTTGTTTATTAGAATATTCAGAATCTATAGAATCAGAAGCAATAACAGAAAAATCCTCAGATTTTATAGTAGCTTCTAGGGAAATATTATTCAGATAATTAAAATCTGATAAAGTAATTGAGTTTGCCGAGATGTGTTGATTTGCTTCTTTATAAGTTTGGTCATCCCATATGCACTTTGAATGCTCACTTCCAAAAGTAGCTGAAATACCATCACCACTGCTCTCCTCATATAAAGCTTTAATCGGATAGGGTTCAATCTTTGGATGTTTAGATTCAAAAATTTCAGCTTCTTTAGACTTAGTTGAAGTTATTCCTGATTCTGAAGCTTTAGTTGTATTATATCCAACATTAATGTTACTTGGTGAATCTAATGTTCCCATTACTTTTAATTCTGACTTCCTATTCTGTTCCATATTCATTAATAGGTCACTAATGGGATCATTAAAATTTTTGTATTTGTTGATCCATCTATCAAGGCATGCTAGGGCATAACTACAGAGCATCATAATAGAATCTTCTCTGTCATTTTTGTTGAAATTAGAGCTTACATTGTCTAAATTAGAAAGTTCAACTATGTAGCTTAAAAGCTTATTGCAATTGCATAACTTAAGGTACATTAACTTAGAACATATCAAGGAATCCACAAAAGATAATAAAAGATAGCGTCTTTCAGCAGATATCTGGTTACACTTCATATCCATCTTTACATTATCCATAAGGATTCTAGCTTTAGATTCAGATAGCTTCAAAGCATTAGCTATAAGTAATTTAGATTTAGTATTATAATCTACTTTTGTTCTAGTGATAGCTAGTAATTTTCTATGAATTCTTCTACTCTTTATATTTCCCAAAGAGAAAAATCTAACCAGGAGACACATATTTCATCGATAGAATTTATATGTTGACTTCCATCAAATTAGGCGACAAAATCAGTATATTGCAGACATTTATAAGTAATAAGATAAGAATAGAATAAAATCGGATCCCCGCTAGTACTAAGTACAATAATAACAAAAATTTACATGAATAGAATATACACAATTTGAAGCTACTATTTAGAAAAATACACAAACCTACAGTATTAAAAAAAAAGTTAAAATGGGTTAAAGATCACGAATTGATAAGCTACTTAAGTATTTAAATAAATCAATTAAAAGTTACAATCGAAAGAAAAGTATTAGTAATTACAGGTCTATTCTGAGCATGTCTCTACATATTTCATCTATATTTAGTTATTATAACACAAATTCGGATTTACTGCCATGCAGATATGATGGGATATTAGTGTATCCTTTATATTTACTATCATTTGATCCAAACTTCAAATGAGTAGGAATTGTTTGATTTAGACTTGTATATTGAGAGTTGTAATACCTATCAGGACTTGTGATATTTGGATAATTTTTGGGAATTTTATATATCTGTGAGTGGGGAGTGCAGCCAGTAATTGTAGATCTAATAAATCTTCTTGTTGTCCATCTTGCATTCTTAATTTTTAAGAGATTTCTAGCTGATATGTATTCATCAGCACTTCCCCCTATTCTCAAGACACTCAGTGTATTTAGTGAAATAATTAGATCCAAAGTATAGCTGAAATAATCAACAAGAGTATAAGGTAGAAAATATAAAAATAAGTACAAATAAATCGGATGTAACCAGAAATTTGATGAATATATTTTATTGAAGTATTCAACATTTTTAGCAGCTAGGAAAATTAAAAGCGAAGCCAATGAAATTAAAGATAATAATTTAATTCCTATTAGTAACAAAATATGTATTTGCAGCATGAATACATTTCTTCTTTGTTGAGCTATTATTCCCAATATTCCAATTAAACCAATACAAATACAGAATGGAATTAATATAATTCCTGTAGTTACTTTATCAGTCATATACAAGAGAAATAAACTTTGGACTATCCACATTGTGTTAAGTAATATACCACTCTCACGTAGTGAGAAATGTAAAATTTGACCTACTTCATATTGGTGACTAGCTCTATACACAATCCAAGATGTAATTGGAAATAATGCAATTAAAAAAAAAACTAAGAACCACATAAGAGAGTATTTTGTTGATATTTGTAATATAGATGAACATTCAATTTGGTTAAAGTGATGTAAATTATTATTAAGTAAAGATAAAATACACTTAGCCTCAGCCAATTTCCACTTTGATAAATCTGCTATAGTACTTATCAAGCTATCTAAAAGTCCGTTTAGGTTGTTTATGTAGGTATACTTATTTGATATAGTTGAAAGTGTATCATCACTTACATGTCGCAACTTTCCTTCTTTAGCTGTAACAATATCTACTAAAATAGTACTTATTACAAAAAGATATAGGGTAACCAATACTAATACACGTGGCCAATCTAATTTAGAGTGTATATATAAATTTGGTAAAGTTTTAGGAAAACCCATCTTAAAATATCCAGAATCATTGCTATGCTCCAAGCACATGTATAATATCTGAAGAGAAAGTTGCTATAAACCAGAGGATCCTGTCCCCTGCTACACAGTTTCTTGATTAATTTAAACAGTTAAATATTTTATTAGTAATGTACTCAGATATTACTAAGTACAAGTAACTTTAAAGACCCACAATATCTTATGCAACTCTGGCGCTCTTATCTTTCAGCATTAGTATATCTCAGGAGTTTGATCCCTAAAGAAGGTATACTTTAAGAATTCCTTGCCTCTAAAGAGATTCTACATAGATAGAATACAGACATAAGCAACATGAAGTCTATCAATAAGTTGTACTACTTTTAAGATGAAGCAGATCTTAGCTTTGAAGTAACACAAAGGATTATCAGTAATTCCAGATGTTTTATTAAGTAAAGAAGAAGAAGAAAAAAAGAAACTTAAGATGTATCTGATCTTAATAGACAGTAATATCATCATTATATCATTTGAACAATCTATAGAGAAAGATCCTACCAGGATCCAAATTTATAACCACGCGTTAAATAATACTTAGATGTTTAGGATCTCCAAGGTAAAGAAAAGATCTAGATTTTTGATAATTAAATTGTCTATATATGATTACTAAAATTACTGAGGTGTAAGAATATCTCTTGAATGAAACCCACTAGTTTCTAACACTTTATTAACAAAAGTATAATTAACAATAACTCTCTTATTGTCTTGAGATTCTGAGACAGCCATTGATGCAATATAAATTGAAAATAATATTGAACAGCGATTGATCATATCTAGGGCATCTCGAGATATTCGACAATTTGAACCCATTGATAGTTTAACTATTCTACTAATTGCTGAGCTAGGATATAGAAATTTAGCCAACTCTCCAAATTTACTCTCATTCATACTGCAATGAACCAAGATATCCGATATCACTTCACTCTATATTTATATATAGGTAAATGAAGTTTAATTTAAGTTATTGGAATTAAGTAGAATATTGATTTATGTGATGGATTCAATAATTTCCCTATAATTTAGTATTTTGTTCGCAATTATTATATTATGAGCTTGAGCGCCCAAATAATTTATTAGTACATTTGAATTTCATAAAAGAATATAATAGTTAACGTAGTAAAACTCATTTTCCCAAATCTATATTATTTTCAAAAGTTCCTAGGCGAGGGAAATAGTGATGAATGAATAGATCTCGGTGTATTGTGATATGATGACATTGGAGTGTATGATGTTACTGGCAAATATCCCATTTTACTCTGAGCTTCTACTAAATTATGTGGTCTAATGATTTCCACTTCACTCTGATCTACAATGCACTTTACTGGTTTGCAACAGCAACTTGGACACAAAATCTGACCCATATTAAACAATTTATCTCGAGGGGGGGGGGGGGGGGGGAAGAGAATCAGTGATAGTTAATATACAGTCATATATCTTGAAAACCAACAATAACTCCAATATTTCCCGATTTAAAAGGAACTCACAAAATTTCACACTTCCTTTTGTTGCAATAATTCCATATATGTAGTATTAGTATAGAATTAGTGTTAAGTGATGTGAAATATTGGTACAATTTCCGCATGTGTGACTTCACACGTGGATCTGAAGTTATCAGTATTTAATTTTTCTTTTTCTTAGAGAAAATAGAAAAAGAGAACAAGTAAATTTAGGAGTCACAGTTGACTTCAAGTACTCATATTCCGTCAATTTTCATCTAACTTTATGCTCTCATTAGATTGGAATGTTGTGACTTTCTGTCTAATTTTATTCTCCTTAGACACTCTTAAATAGCAAGCGTTACACACTAGGACTTTTCCGCGATGGCCAGTACTACTACCTTCAATTGTGTTTCTCAGATACCTCCATTGAGCTGTTTCAATGCATCTACACAAACTACAACACCAGTCTGATCTGTCTAGGCGAGGTCTTCCTGCACAACTTTTTCTAATGGAAGAGTTAACCTTATTTGTTGCTGTTACCTTTTTATCACATTGTCCCTTCATATCATAAGACAATTTCCTACTCTGCTCAAGGAAATTATAGAAAATCAACTCATCAGAGCATTGTTGATTAGTAGTACTTGAAGTAAATATTGGTGATTGATTTTCTGTTGATTCTATAATAGGTGACTTTATAGGCGTATAGGCCAAGCTTGAAGAAGTACTCATTTCAGCAGGTGTTGCTACATGACAGGGACTTTGAGAATGTGACAGTAGCAGATTATTTATGTATGATTGATGTAACAATGGACAAGTGGTGCTTGCAGGAGGCTGATTTTGTCCATAATACGATGCCATTATACTAGCAGCTCCTAGTCTCATTAAGTTCATTAATATATCAGGTTTATCTAATAAAGAAGATAAAGTTGTTTCAACCCAGTTATTCATATTTGTAGCATTTATCATATTCAAAGGTACTGCTTGTTGGGTCTTTACTTCAGGATTTGTATGCAAGTTAGCAACTCCATTCTGTACTGGAGAGTTAACTTCCTCATGCGATTTATTAGTAGGAGAAGCTATATTTGAAGTTTCAGTGGTTGTTATTACCTGAGACACAGAAGTAGGGTTATTTCTTTCGTATGGTGTTAATGTGTTCACAGAAAATGTACTATTTCCCCCGTAGGCTGCTAGTATTTGTTCAGTCATACTATTTACTATGCTAGGTTGATTACACAAATTGCCAAGTATAGGTTCACTTGCTACCCTTGAGAAGTAAGGAGGAAATAAATTTGTATATTGTTCCAATAAGCTATTATTATTGTTATCTGTTGTATTCACTGGAATCATACCCTTCATTGTACTATCATGATGTTGTTGATTGAGGATTTGGGCCAATTGCAATGCTATATTATTCACGATTGACATCCAATAACATCAAGATCTTTACATAATTTAACGCGATCTATATTTATATTTATATATCTATTTTTTCTTTACCACTCGCGGTACCACTGAGTACCGGATACTCTCCAGCACGAGCTACTATATTATTACTTTTTGCATATGGACGTAAGCTTTGTCTACGCTATTTAATAGACGAGGAAAGATCAGTGACTGAAGCCGCGTAAGTATTAACAAATAATTAGATATTATTTGTTATTGGATTGCTAATCATACATTGGAAATAGCTTCCCAGAAATATTATGGGTGAAATACTTCTGCCAGTAATTTATAACTTTCTTGCACCTCTCTTCCAAGTATATACTACTTTGTCTGTAGTTTCTTTTACTCTTATTAGTTAAATGGCTCTTTAATATTTCACTTTTTCCACTTTAGGAAGCATAATACCAATATTATAATTAGGACTTTCCAGAAAATATACTGAGTTAAAGAAGACTACTTAGCCTAAGAAGTATATTTAATATTAGTTGTATCTCCAAACTTATCTTTTAGCAGGTACTTATCGTTGAATCTATAAAGTCCATACCCCCTATATACTGCTAACTTGTGACGATTTGTCTCTTCAATAAATAATTTAATACTTTATAGAGCATGGAAGATATTGAAATCTAGTAAAATACTTTATCATTACATAGGAGCTTAGCTAGATAAATATCAAATCTCATAAAGAGATAACCTTTTGAATTTCCCACTTCAATTTAGGAAATTTTGATATTAGTAAATAGCTGGTAGCTGATATTACTGATTTACAGCTTAGTAAAATTTATGAAATAAGAGTATATATGCGATATGTAGATCACTTTGCTTAATATTAGTGTAATATCAATGAATTTGTTGATATTTTAAGCTTTATCTGATATAAAACGTACTATATTAGATTACTAATCTAGGATATATTCATAATTTCGTATTTTTTTTAAAGTTTTAATATTACAATTGGAAAAGATTACTAATTTCTGAAATCTTCTTAAAGTTAAATAACTTCTACAGATATTTACTATATAATTATGTAGATCATGTATACTAAGAAAAATAGATTTTTCAAGTGTGGCTAACTTAGTTGGGTCTAACCTGACTAAAATTTATAAAGACATTAGGTAACTTGTTACATATTTTAGTGAGTAAATATAAATATATTTCTTGCTTATAGTCTAATACAAATTGAAGTTGCAATAAGTAGCTAGTTTTGAATGGTGACTTCTAGCAATGTAGTATAATAGATCATCCAACCTAATAGATAATTACCAAAGAGAGGTGTGTAACATTGTATCTAGTAGATTGAAAAATTGAATTAGTCCATTATAACCTGTTAATTAGTGTAGAGATTAAAGTAAGTCAATGGGTAAAGATTGAGGGATGCAGGTGGAATGTACCAATATTTATTTCTAAGGTGTTCATTTGATATATATTCAAATTTGTTAGTACATGAAATTTAGTTACATGCTAGGAAAAGAAGAAACAACTATGTTTAAGGATCTCATAAAGGTGAATGATAATGAAAAGTTGAAATAGTTCACTATTTCTATTACAAGTAATATAGATTTGCTTGAGCAACATGTTATTGAACAAAAAGCTGCATCATGCACCATATGATGAAAAACTTTACTTAATAATATTAGTTAAGAAAGGCAGTTATTTTTGTCAAGTTTAAAATGATAGATAACTCCTTCAATATATTGCACTAGACTAAGTCACTTAGGTACTTAATTTAATAAAAAGAAACATATTGAAGATCTCTAAATAATTCTTTAGACTTTTGCTATAATAACAGCGAACTGTGTTGGACTTGATTGGGGATATTGGGTAATATATACATTAGCCCTTCTATAGAATAACTCTTAATTTATGTCTTACTTAAACTAAGGAGTATAAAGGCAGAAATATAACTAAGAGATCTAGGTAGCGCTAAAATATTTTTTCCTAGATAATTAGTTTACAACCTTGCAAAAGCGGAGATGTTGTGAAGTGAGGCTGACAGTTCGTTGTAGTCTACTGGTACTTATTTCGATGTGAGAAAGTACAAAGTGACTGGGGCTGTGTACGTATATATCCTTCAAGTATTTATCTAAATACGGAAGTGGTAATTGGGAACCCACTTAGCTTCTAGGTGATTCAATCAACTGAATGATGTGAGGGGTGTTGTATTATTATGGTCTTCATAGAATTTCTCCATTACTCTATTGACTAGCTATCAGTGTGCGACTCTCATCTCTCATTGGCCGAAGTGGAAAGGCTTCTTTTCGTTCCTTCTTTGAAGATTTGCAACAGTAAGAGTTAACTTTACTTTTATCCTCTTGTGACCTTTGGTTGTGAAGGCGAAGAGAGGTGGCTTGTGCTTTTCAAAAGTTGCCTTCTTGGGGGTTGGAAAGCGTACATCGTTTGGATATTTTGCTACTACTCTTGCGTAGGTAAAGTAGCGAGGATACTCCGAGTGTTAGCTCTGTATCTCTCTACAGATCTCTAGGTCTTTCCTGCCTTTTTATACCTAGAGTTTGAGACCTCTAAAAAAAGGACATTTTCTGTCTTAGAGGGGGTTTCTCCATGACTGCACTTTTATCACACACTCCTCTAACTACCTCTTGGGTATCT